GGGATATTTTGTATTCTCCCTTTTTCTTTCGGCAAACAATTGGTTCTTGCCAGATCAAGACGGCAATTGATCATTTCCGTACCAATTGACCATCACAAGCATGAAATGCGAGGTACCTGCAGAGCTGACAGGGAACGTGAGACATCAGCATCGGTCCAATGACATTGTCTGCTTATTGTTAGTTCGACAAGCGAGAGAAGTCAAGGGAGACAACAACTGCTCGCCTCCCTGCATAATTGCTTTTCCATCGATCCACTTTGTCTCACAGCACTCAAGGGATTCTTAGCCACATTGCAGATCCTGCCGCTTACGATAAGCCCAACCGTCGTTTGCCGTGATTTACATTAATTGAAACGCCGAGTTTGGGGCAAGATGACGGTTAGTTCCGAATCGGATTTCCTATAATGGAATCAGCTCCTGTTTGGGACGAAGGGAGGAAAGACATGTCTCATGCTCAGCTGGTGTGGAGTGAGAGCACTGATCACGCACGCATGAGTCTGAGATTTGTAATGGAAGCTGATGATGCTAGGGAAAGATAGAGTTCGTGATGGACTTGGGAGAAGGTCATGATTGCAACCAGGACGAATGCAGGGAGGGAGTTTGGTGTCAGCATGATCCATACAATACGAGTCAATTCGAGCATGGCTTAGCCATCTGGTGGTTCCAGACTGTTGGGCCCACGAAAGCTCAATACAATGCAAATGTGCATGTATGATGCGTAGATGCCCACTCAGTAAATGATGACTCACAATTGATGGTCCATTCGTCGAATCTGATTTGTAGATAAGGTGCATCTAGTCTCTAGTCCTGCATCGTTACCGCATAACCGCATATCAAGGGCTCCCGGTGCCTGCATGATATTTGCGTGCATGCATACATGCATCCACCAACAAACACTCCAGACTCTTCAATACCTGTCCCAAATCCACTAGTTTGGTCAGAAATCGAGAACACATAAGGTCACTAAGGTTGCACGACTTAGCTGTGGCAAATCGACGCATTACAAAAAATAATGTTCTGCATAGATTAAGACTTGATGAGAGCCACTTAGTTGCATTCTCCTCTGTACATACTTACAAATACTTTAACTTTCTTTTCCTGGTCCATCGATCAGCATGTATCCCGGGTTTCTTTTTCTACTCCTCGCGGTACTTGCCGTCTGTACAGGAGCGATTGGTTCAGCACCGAGATGCAAATGCGTATGTATTCGAAATCCAACCTATCATGTACAATTCAGCTAACGGTTCAAGATTCCCGGTCAATCCTGCTGGCCCTCTTCTGCCGAATGGAAAGCCTTCAACAAAAAGATCGGCGGCGGTCTTATCAAGACTGAGCCAATCGCACAGTCATGCTACCCCGGTCCAGGCAAGGATCTCAAGCACTGCGCCTACGTGAACAAAATGTGGTCGGATCAGGATTTCCAGTCGTCGAATCCTATCGGCAGACCTTATCCGTATAACATCACCTGCACGCCGGTAAATTACGCTGCAGGTCAAAAGCCTACCACTTGCAGCCTTGGGTCTTTGCCTGTTTACGCTGTTAACGCTACTACACTGTCACAAATCCGAAGTACGATTGCTTATGCGCGTGAGAGGAATATCAGGCTTGTTGTTACCGGAACAGGCCATGATCTTCTCGGTCGCTCCGATGGGTTCGGTGGTCTTGAGCTTTGGCTTCATCAGTTCAAGAACGGTATTGATTTTCAGAAGGTTTACAAATCTGAAAACCAGTGCAAGAAGTCTAGGTGGAGGGGCAGTGCTATCAAGATCGATGGTAATTACCAATGGCGCGATGTTTACAAGGTTGCTGAAGCGAATAATGTCATCGCAGTTGGTGGTGGCTCTCTTACGCCGGGAGCGATTGGCGGATGGGCTTCTGGTGGTGGCCATGGACCTGCGACGAGAAACTACGGCCTTGGTGCCGATCAGATTCTTGAGGCGGAGGTGATGCTGGCTGATGGGAGAGTGGTCACCGCCAACCATTGCGAGAACACTGATCTCTTCCGTTCAATGCGTGGTGGTGGTCCTGGATATGGCATCACTCTAAGCAGCACCATCAAAGCTTATCCGAATGTTAAGACCGTCACAGCTCACCATCTCCAAATCGCACCGCTAGAGAAGACAAAGAAAAATGCAGATTTACTCGACGCTGTATCTGTTTTGCTGCAGTCGCTTCCTGATCTCAACGACGCTGGCTTTGCTGGCTACGGTTACTGGTTCCGAAACTACCCGACTGTCTTTATTGGAAACGCTACATCTGGTTACTCACACGGTTTCTGGACAATTGGTAAGTGCCGTGAAGAGGCTGAAGCTGCCTGGGCTCCTGTGAGAAAGATCCTATCGAATTTTGAGGATAAGCTCCACATCAACGAGAGCTGGGCTACATACGACAATTACTGGTCCTTCTACCACGCCGAGTCAGGGCTTTATGATCCCACAGGTGACACTTCAGTTCTTACATCGCGATTAATCGACCGTCAGAGCGTCAAGAGTTTCGGCAAAGTTCGAAACGCCGTCGAAGTCATGAGTGGCAAACCTGATGAATTCGGCACGAGTGTTATTCTTCTCACGTCCGGAGGCCAAGTCTTCAAGGACGCTTCAGACAAGACAAGTGGCCTGCTCCCCGCGTGGCGAAAATCCCACTATGTTCTCGTCTCGAGCACAGGGATTTCTCGCACCGGAAACATGACTGAGCGCAAAGCAGCGAATGACGACGTCACGTTTGTCAAAGGTGCCGCGGCGAAGAAGTTGGCTCCTAATACTGGTGGTTACATGAATGAGGGTGATCGCAATGATCCTGATTGGAAGAAATCGTTCTATGGAAGTTTGTATGGTGAGCATCTCAAGACGAAGAGGAAGTATGATCCTTGTCATGTTTTCTACTGTCCTACTTGTGTTGGCTCTGAGGCGTGGGTGGAGAGATCTGATGGGCGTTTATGTAGAGTTGCGTAGATAATAGACAGGATCTAGTCTTCAGTATATAGCTTATTGTATTTAGTCTATTCAACGATGCTTCTGAGTCGTGTCTCCGGTGGATCCCAGACAAGATCCTGAATGCTAAGCCTCTGCCTCGCTGGAACGTTGACGCTTCCACTCACCGAACTAATCTCGATGTTCTCCTCATTCTTGAACAAAAGCATCGGCATCGTCTGGTGATACTCCGCTAATGTGAACATGTCATGATGTTCTTCCGCGCGGGGATTTAACGCGTCCATTGCTCGCGTGCTGATAGCTTCGTAAAGAACTTTTGCATCCTCAACTGTTCCGGCGTGGAATAGGCCAACGCCCAAGCTTGCTACTTTGAGGGGATCACCATCGCCGTGGGGAGTGAATGGGTTGCCGACGTTGTTGACTGATAAGCAAGCATTGATTCCGTAGTCTTGAATGAGCTTGGGGACCATGATTGTACCGCATGGCCGACTGAGTGGTTCGCTCTGTTCTGAACCATCAGAGCCATGTCGGCCCATCATGTATAGATCGCTAGTTGGCAATCCGACAAAGTGGATCGGTAATCTTGTCTCTCTCAGCTTCTGTGACAGTTTGACGAGATCATCATGTCTAGCCAGAGTAAGTCTCGTAGCATGCCCAAAAACAACAGTCGGAGCGCCGGGGTATGTAGGCCAATTAAGACGCTCGAGCTCTTCAATGACATGGTCAAAAACTGACATGTGGGTTCCATCGCCCTTTAAGTTGAATTCGATGTGAAAGTCGAGATGTTTCCCATGTTTCAATGCCGTCTCAATAGCCCACCGAATATTCTGGTTTTGCGCTTCGAGATCAGATTCCACGTACGGAGTACTTCCAATTACCTCAATATCCGAGCCGAACTGTCCAAGCGCTTTCTCAAACATTGCTCGGTTCGCCTCTCCCTTCTCCGTCGAGAATATGGGGTCCTGTGCAAAAGCGCAGATTTGCACTGTCAAAAAGTCCTCGAATTCCTTCTTCAACCGCAGTCCTACCTCCAGAGCTTTAAGTTCGGTGACGGAATCAACCTCAACAAAGGCTCTCATAAATGTAACGCCCTGTTTATAACTTGTGGCTATAAGCTGAGAGCCTCGTAAGTACAAGTCCTCCTCGGTGTAGCGCTTCTTTGCTTCAGCTGTATTGGCCAAGGCTTCTTGAAATCCTCCTGTTTTGGGGGCTAGATCAGAGTAATCTGGATGATTGGAGGATTTTGGGTGGTTGCAGGTGAGGAGATATGGTTTATCGAGATGGATATGAGGATGGCAGAGTGAGGGAAGCATTACACTTGGTGTTGTCTTGTCGGCGGATGGTTTCATGGAGGTAACTACTCCTTCGTCTATGCGAATGTCCCATTGTGTTGAAGAGTCTTGGAACGGAAGAATGATGTTTTTGAAGTCCATATCGAATCAACTCCAGATCCCATACGTTGGATTTTAAGAGAATAAACTCGCAAAGATCGTGAACCCAGTGACAGTGTCATTGATTCCCCTCATCTCGAATTTGAACCAATCAAGTCGGAATCTGAATGGATATGAGTTTAGGGTAAATAATTATCCGACCCCAACCACTGTAAGTTATGCTTTCATAATAGCATTTATGGATTGCATGGATAAATATCCTGATGAATTGGTGTCGTGTCGCCATTTAAAACCAATTGCTAAAATGCTTTAAAGTCAGGTTTCTTATTTGCGCGGATAAACTCAACGTCATAACCAAGTTTATTGTCCAAACGGGTCTCCAATTCTGGGGATTCTGGGCTGATCCTCCGCACAAACGATGACGATCTTGACTCAAAGGGGTATCTTTCGGTAGTCCACCATCATCAAGTCCAACCTCTCCCCCACAAACTCCAATTCAAGATCGGCCCGAAGTCGAGATCATCACGAGTGCCTACATATTGGGATTCTCGAATTTTCCTTGTGACTTTTGAACTTTTGAACTGATGATCTTTCTCTGGGGATTTATAAACATGTCGGCTCCCGCGGATTAAACCCCTCGGATTTGACTTTCGTTTAAACAACTTTTGCTAGGGTCAAGATGGTGCTTGTTACATTGAGGGGCATTACGACGACGGCAGTTCTGTTCTGCCAGGCCATTTCGGCTCTCGCGGAGAGCTCAGATCGTAAGTCTTCATCTTCATTATTCTCATACTGAACAATATTAACATGTCTGCAGCAATTCACGTCGACGGCACCTCTTTCGCCCTCAACGGCGATAACGTCTCATACCGGTTCCACGTCGACAACACCACTGGAGACCTTATCAATGACCACTACGGCGGCCCCGTTGCCGAAGATGGAATCACCGCTGAGATCGGCCCCATCCAAGGCTGGGTCAACTTGATCGGCCGTGTCCGACGCGAATTCCCCGACCACGGCAGAGGAGACTTCCGCATCCCAGCGTTCCAGCTCCAACAAGCCAGCGGCACGACCGTCACCGACTTTCGCTACAAGTCTCACGAGGTTGTGCAAGGAAAACCTGGATTACCTGGTCTTCCGTCGACGTTTGGCGAGGCTGATGATGTGTCGACTTTGGTGGTGCGCATGTATGACAATTATAGCTCTATTGCTGTTGATCTGTCGTATTCGATCTTTCCGAAATATGATGCTGTTGTGCGGAGTGTGAACATCACGAATCGTGGGAATGCGACGGTGAATTTGAAAAGGGTTTCGAGTTGGAGTGTTGATTTACAGCAGGATAATCTGGATCTTATTGAGATCAGGGGTGATTGGGCTCGTGAGGGCATGCGCGTGCGTCGAAAGGTTGACTTTGGAACTCAAGGGTGAGCATCATTTCGGTGAAGCAATTACACAGACTGCTAACGGCATTGTAGATTCCAAAGCTCTACTGGTTATTCGTCTCATCTTCACAACCCGTTCCTCGCTCTCGTTGCATCAACGACTACAGAAAGTCAAGGCGAAGCTTGGGGCTTCTCCCTGGTGTACACCGGCTCCTTCGCCGTTGACGTCGAGAAGAGCTCACAGGGACTCACCCGCGCCATTCTCGGTGTCAATTCTCTCGACTTCTCGTGGCCACTGAAACCTGGACAAACCTTCACCACTCCCGAGGTCGTCTCCGTCTTCTCAAACAAAGGTGTCGGCGGCATGTCCAGACAATTTCACCGCTTGTACAGAAAGCATTTGATGAAGAGTAAATATGCAGAAGAGACACGTCCTGTTCTTCTCAACAGCTGGGAGGGCTTGGGTTTCGAAATCAACGAGACTGCTATTGAAAAGATCGCCAAACAATCTGCAGACCTCGGTATCAAGCTGTTCGTCATGGATGATGGCTGGTTCGGTAACAAGTACCCGCGAGTTAACGATTCAGCTGGTCTTGGAGACTGGCAGCCTAACATGGAACGCTTCCCTGAAGGATTGACACCTCTTGTTGAGAACGTCACGGATCTAAGAATTGCCAATGCCTCCGATGATCTCAAGTTCGGTATCTGGTTCGAGCCCGAAATGGTGAACCCCAAATCAGACTTGTACGACAAACACCCCGACTGGGCGATCCACGCAGGCTCCTATCCCCGAACTGAGACGCGTAACCAATTGGTTCTCAATGTAGCTCTGCCCGAGGTCCAAGAGTTCATCATCGACTCCGTTTCCAAGATCCTCCGCGAGTCACCGATTTCCTACGTCAAGTGGGATAATAACCGTGGAATCCACGAGACGCCTGATCCTACTCTCAACTACAAGTATATGCTTGGTCTTTATCACGTCTTTGAGACTTTGACGAGTCGCTTCCCTGATGTTCTATGGGAAGGCTGTGCTTCAGGCGGTGGTCGGTTTGATCCCGGTGTTCTTCAGTGGTTCCCTCAGATTTGGACGTCGGATGATACAGATGCGGTTGAGCGTATTGCTATCCAGTTCGGCACGTCACTTGCGTACCCTCCATCTGCCATGGGAGCCCATCTATCGCATGTGCCTAATGGAAATACCCAGAGAATAACATCCGTCAAGTTCAGAGCCCATGTTGCAATGATGGGCGGCTCCTTTGGCGTCGAACTTGACCCAAGCGATCTTGAGCCTGAAGAGAGGGAACAGATTCCTGGTCTCATTGAACTTTCTGAAAAGATTAACCCCATCGTCATCACCGGCGACTTTTATAGACTTGCATTGCCTGAGGAAACTAACTACCCAGCTGGGCAGTTCATTTCTGAGGATGGCAAGAAAGTTGTCCTTTTTGCGTTCCAGACGAGGGCGACTATCAATAATTCTTGGCCTTGGTTCCGACTTCAAGGTTTGGATGCAAGTGCCAAGTACAGGGTGGACAATAACCAGACGGTTTCTGGTTCGACGCTGATGAACATGGGTATCCAATTGACGTTTGAGGGGGATTATGATAGCCATGTCTTGATGATTGAGAAGCAATAGTTCGGATGGCTAAGCTATGGATGACATACTGTAAATAGCGCTTCAAATACAAGATTCGCTCAGATCTCAACGTCGACGCAAGACATAAATAACTCGAACTGTTCATCCAACGCGTCAAAACACACAAGCAAGCTTTCACCAAGACAATTCATCGATCACCGACAACCTTGCATCGTCACCCTCCCGTAAGTCCCGAGAAACCCAGGGCTTGCATCAACATAAGCTAGGTAGCTCAATTCTGTGGCAGCTGCGCATTGATAAGCTGCTGCAATTGGCGTAGAGTGTCAACACTCATTGTGACGTTGACCATCTCGGAACCTTCGAGGCCATTGGAAGTAGCCACGTCGGGGTTTGGGTAGTACCAGCACGCGATAGCAATAATAGCATAGATGACCTGCGAATGTCAGTCACTAGAATCCTTACAAGTTGGTCTTGACTTACTACGAGGAGTGCACCCTCAAGCCAGTTGGACTCTCCATCACGAAGGAAGTTTCCAACCACCAAGATGGACAAGACAAGAAGAACAATCATGAAGATCTCAAAGTTCAGGTCCATGGGCTTTCCGATGGCCCAGCCGACGAGAACGACGAGGGGACCGTTGAACAGGGCAGTTTGGATGGAAGGTCCGAGACAGTGGTACAGGGCGACATTAATGACGCCATCTACTCAGGCTATTAGCAGTGATTCATTCGTGATTGCAGCATTTCGCTCACCATATGCTTCATCAATGGCTGTCAAGTGTTCAGCAGCCTTCTCAACAAAAGGCAATAGAATAAGACCCAAGAACTGATCGGGCACTCCACTCTCGACAACATGCTCAATCTTCTCGACGAGGAAGATGAGAAGAGCAGTCACAAAAGCAAGAGCAATCAATATAGCAACAATAGCCTCGGTCATGGTAAACTTGGGCTTCTCCATATCGGCCTCGCGATCAGCATCTCGGTGCTCATCCATCTCAATAACCTCATCGAAGATACTATGCTGGCTACTGGCCTGATACCAGATGTAGAAGAAAAACGCGATAATCAGTGCAATAGACGTTGCCTGACTGATGCGAAGAACATCATCTTGGAGTTTACCCTCTGTGAACTTCTCGTGCAGAACTCGGAAGCCTGGGAAGTCGGGTACAACCTCGGCTTTCAGGGCGGAGTAGAAGGCGCTGGGGATGAGGAGACCAAATGCTGCGACGAGTAGGAGTCCAGTACCGACTTCTGAGACAATGGCGTGGAACTTTTGGCTGGCTTGCTTGAGGCCACCAACGAAGAAACAGAGGCCGAGACAGAGGAGAAGATTGGTCAGGATGCTGCCGAGGATCGCGGCTTGGATGATGGGGATGAGATTGCCTTCATCGCCGTTATCTTCAGGAGAGTTGGCCTCGTGCTTCGAAAGCAAGACAATGAAGAGGATAATCTCGATGATAGATCCAAACGTCGTCTCGATGAGAATACCAGCTACCTTGGGCAACTTCCGCGCAAACTCTTGTCCAGCGAAGCCAAGCAGATTGGCAGTTGGAATGACAGCAATATACGCGGTAGCAAATTTCCAGAGGTGCAGACCAGGGAAGAACTGAAGGATGATGGCGATGGGGACAAACGGCCAGAGGATGTTTACCCATTTCGACGCGGTGCAAGAGCTTCGCCAGAGAACAGCGAGGAAGTGACGAGGATGAAAACCGCTTCTCCCGCTTTCTCCCTCGTGGGCGATGTGACTCGAGATCTGCGGCAGAAGCGGGGTTGATTCATCTCTGTGGCCATTGCCATGGCCGGGGAGGATGTTGCTCGCCATTATCGCGAGTCAGGGTAACAAGCAAGCAAAGAAACAAACACTGAATAAAGAATAAGCTTAAATAAAGCAAGAGTGTAAATAGGCTTTGGGAGGAGGGAGAGCCAAGAAATAAAAACAGACAGGACGATCAAAGGGGCTGGGATCGTTATAACGTGACGCTGGTGTTTGCGGTGGTGGCGCAGTGATATCCAATCACGACGCCGTGATGAGACACATTGACAGGGGCTCACAGCAGGGATCGGAACTCTAAACAAAGCTTGTTTTGCTGACGTTGGCTCTCAGGGTTCTAGACTCTTGCTGAAGCATAACCCCGCAGAGTAAATTCTGATCTGATCTGGCTTTTTCAAGGGAGGGCTCGATGAGGTTAATGACATGGAGAGCCAGTTATCGTGTACACAGACGCTATGCTCTCACAGTGAAAGTCTACCGAGCTAAGATGACTCCAGACTTATCGATAATGAAACCATCTCTCAAAACAGGCTTAGCCATGTCTCACAGCCCCGACACGGAATGGCCCCCCCTCGATACTAGCGCGCACAAGAGTCCCCCAGACTAAAAAATACAAGCATACCCTCCCAAAACCACCCGCGATCCCGTCATAGGCAGTCCTGTTTTTTTGACACCAGCGTCAACGAATGAGAAACGCGTCTCCCCGCACTCACGCTCACCGATTCTCACCGATGGGAGAGGCGTTTCATTCTCGCCTTACCGAGAAGCTACCTATTATGTAAAATGGTAATACGCTTTTTAGTGTGTTGGTCACGGCTACGACGGACCACATTGCTATTGCGCGAGGGACTTGGTATAGTTATCGTTATGTAAATTTTACATACAGTATACTTTTGTGGGTTGAAAAGTCTGAACTCATGTGATGAAAATTTACCAATTGCCAATTTCTCTTGCTAGTCTATATAACTATTCGACTTTTTCCTACAGATACAATTTTATAGTCATTCTCTGCTCGATCTTGTACGATATCCTATGTTCTCGATTTCGACTAGTCTCTGAGAAAGTTTCACTACAGCATCTCCATCGTGATTGGACAGATCCATCCGTTTTCGTCCAGCTTGATCCAAATAGCTTGGCTTACGACATCTCCCGCGAGCCGACGACATAATGCCTTCAGCGGTGAGAACTAATTTTTCTCCTCCTCCATCAAAGCAGCTCAAGCCCATACCTTTCCGTCCGATGAAGTCCCCTATCCCCGACTACCTTAACCGGGTGCTGGAGAATGCACGGCCCATAGAAGATGGCAAGCCCGCCAGTTACATCGAGACGCTGGCAAAGGCGGACACGTCAAAGATAGCTGTGGCGCTGGCGATGGTGGATGGCCAGATCTACTCTGCTGGCGATGACGATGTTGAGTTTTCGATGCAGTCTATTTCAAAGGCGTTTGTGTACGCTTTGGCGATTGAGGATGCGGGGTTGGATAAGGTGCTGGAGAAGATTGGCGTGGAACCCTCGGGAGACGCGTTTAACAGTTTATCGCTGGAGCGAGGGAGTAACAGGCCTATGAACCCCATGATCAACGCGGGAGCCATCACAGCACACTCTCTTATCGGAGGGCCAGACTGGACAGCAGAGCAACGATCAGACCGCATCCTCAAAGCCATGTCGAAGCTAGCAGGTCGTCAATTGCGCGTCTGCGAAGAAGTTTACGAGGCTGAGTTGCGAGACGCCAATCGAAACATGGGAATTGGTTACATGCTCAAAGCCGCCGGCATCATCACCGGCGACGCGCAGCAGATTGTCCAAGGGTATATCCGCCAATGCGCTATTAACGTCAATGTTCGAGACTTGGCAACCATGGCTGCTACGCTCTGCAACGCGGGCTGTCACCCTGCGACGGGGGAGAAGATCATTCCTCAAGACAGCGTGCGGCAGATCCTCTCCGTCATGACGACTTGTGGCATGTACGATGCTGCAGGCGACTGGGTATCGCGGATTGGCATCCCCGCCAAGAGTGGAGTTGCGGGTGGTATCATCGGTGCTCTGCCAGGTCAAATGGGTATCGCTGTGTTTTCACCCAAGCTTGATTCGCGGGGAAACAGTGTTCGCGGTGTCGCCATCTGTGAGCAGTTATCCAGCGACATGGGTCTGCACATGATGGACGTCAGCCAGATCGCCCAAGCAACCGTCCGCGTATCAGTCGCGACCATCCTCCCCGGCGACAACGAGCCGCACCACACAAACTGCAACAAAGAAGTCATCATCTTCAGTCTCCGCGGTGTAGTGCGCTTCGGCGGATCAGAGCGCTTAACCCGCGCCATCACACGAGAACTCGGCGATCCGAACCCTGATGATCCAGGTTCTGGACGAAGTCGCTTCGTGTGCGCTGTGGTGTTCTCGTTCCGCGATGTGTTTTCGTTTAATGCGGTGGCACAGAAGATTATTCAGGCGGATATAACGCGGTTGCTGCTGGATGGGAGGACGGTTGTTGTTATAGACCCCGTGGGTGTTTTGGAGATGGAGACGAAGCGGGCGGGTAGCAACCTCAAGATTGTGGATAATGAGACTGCTGCGAGGGATTATATTGGAGGAATTGGATGCCATACTGTTTCGAAGAATGATGAATGGTGATTTGGCGCGTTTAAAGATAAGAAAGAAAATAATACTTATGAACCCAGTTGTATCGATATGTACTTGCATAGACTGAAATGACTTCCATTCTTATACTATAACTAGACAATGGTTCACTTCCCAATACCGATATGTATACAAGTCGTCTTCAGCAGTTTGAATGCAATATCTAGCTTGCAACTGCCCTCGTATATCGTCAGGTCGTGGTATTGTCATCCTTACCAGCAGTAATAAAGTTTGACCTTGTGCCCATCAGGGTAGTAACAACGACGTATCAGGGGTATCAATAAGCCCCAGCATAAAAATAGAGAACGCGCAATTAAAGTAATTATTCCTTGCAAGGCTGGATCCGAGTCCGAGGGCAGGGTCCGTGATTAGCCTCTACAGACGGAACCCGCGGAGCCAGCGGCACAATCCCCACTTCTGAATCTTATTGAGTTGCCTCGTATAAATAGACCAGTCTACTGAAGATGAAGCTCAAACAGCATTGAGAACCCATTTAATAACCTTCAATCACCTTGAGACAGAAAATATGCCAAAAACCATTCATCTCGTGCGTCACGGCCAAGCCGTTCATAACCTTGGGGAAGCATACAACGTTCTACCAGACACCGACCTCACGCCGCTGGGACAAGAGCAAGCTAAAGGCCTCATCTCCAATTGCCCTGATCTCGCCAATGTTGACCTGATCGTGTCATCGCCATTGCGAAGAACACTCCAAACGACCCTGTTGGCATTTTCTTCTCAATTAGAGCGCGGACTGCAGATTGTGGCCTTGCCAGAAGTACAGGAAGTCAGCGACATGAACTGCGACACGGGTAGTGATCTGAACGTGATAAAAGCCGAGTTCCAACAACATCCTGTGGATTTCAGTCTTGTTGGGCCAGGCTGGCAAATCAAGGTATGAGACACAACCTCAAGTCATGTTTGGTCAACGGGGCCGAATTAATTATGTGTTAGGAGGGTAAATGGGCTCCAGCCGTTGGTAGCGTTTTAGAGAGGGCCCGGGCTGCACGGCAATGGCTGAGCGAAAGACCCGAGTCAGAAATTGTGGTCGTTACTCATGGTTGCTTTTTGCATTTCTTCACGGACGATTGGGTCAACTCTGTGAACCCTGATGGTATGTTGCTGCCCAACATTTAGCTGCCTCGGTCCTAACAATAACAGGTACGGATTGGGCTAATGCAGAAGTTCGCTCCTATACGATTTCGCGTGACGAGCGCGAAGGGCCAGTTTTATGTGAGACTAGGGAGTCTAGAGAGAGGCGCGGGGTAGACCCGGTTTCTCCGACGAGAGAAGAACAATTAGAGCTGCGGCAGGCTGCTTTGAATGCGGCACTTGAATGGGGGCTCATACGGCCATGATAGGTCTTGTTTATGACATAGATACCAGCAGGAAGAAAATAGTTCTCGAATATAGGCTACTATTTACTTCAACTTTAACCATGACAAAATACTCAATTCATACTATCTGGCATATACTACTTCCAGTATATCCATTATGTCGATGAGATAGGCTTCTTGGACATGGTCGCAACGAACGCCGCCAGCGCAGCCTCGGGCTGGTAGGCTGGGACTTCATGTCCGGCACCATAGACACGCAGCCAGCTCAGGTTTCCAGAAGTCTTAAACTCTCCGTATTTCTTTCCACCGACGGTGAATGACTGAAGAGGAGCTGAGACGAATGATTGTGGAGCGATTGAGTTGAGGGCTCTGTAGTTACCCATCCAGTTGCAGATCCAGTCTAGACATGATTAGATTCCATACGGGTTATCAGAGGGAGGTCAACTTACCAGCATCGCCAGCCCAGATAAGAACTTGGATCTTGGAGTCAATGACTTGCGACAGTGTTGGTAAGAACGATCGTCCCCCTGTGAAATTAGTTAGCTGCAATCATGTATAAAGGCGGAAAACATACTGTCACCACTAGCAATAAACTTGTTGTACGATTCATCGCCACATTCTTGATAATCAGACTGCGCACCAATCGCCTTCATCACAGACGCAGATGTGAGATAGGTAGAGTAAGTCGAAGGAGGGAAAGGATCATTGCTCGACGCTCGAATATCGTAGACATCAAAGTCTGCCAGGTTCTCCAGCGGCCTTTCAATAGCGGAGCTGCAGACATCATCTGCGTTGCCGCACGCAGCATCGTTGCCTGTAAGACCAGGGCATTTGGCAAATGCGGGGACACACTTCTGGTTATATGTGTTGAGGTACTTGCTGTACTGAGTTGGTGTGATGAGCTTGCGGTAGGTGTTATTGGCGGCGTAGTCGATATAATCTCTGTACTGGTTGCCTAGATATTCATGTCAGCATTGCAACTAGATCTCCAGGCGTGAGAAAGCTTACCAGGATCAATCCATCCGTTGTTGATGCCCAAAGCTACAAGGTTGATCTTCTCGCCCTTGATCTTTCCAGCATCGATAGCAGCGTTCTGCTGCTCAAAGTAAAACGCAAACTCGGGACCATAGTGGCCACCATAAGACTCGGTGAAAAGGCCAAAATCACGGTTCTCGTACTCGGTAAACTGAGCGTAGAAAGCCTGGAGGAGATTCCAGACTCGAGGCGCAGCAGCAAGAGTTGATACAGCGTCGTCGGTGCCGTAGCTGAAACCAGTGGCAATGGGTTGATCAACATATAGCTGTAATCGTCAGTGAAATGTGCTTGTGTGTAGTGGGTGACTGTACCATGTTGGCAAAGGTGTTCCATGAGTTGGGGTTCAGAGTAGGCTTGGACCCGCCGTTGTTAAAGGTACAGGGCCCATTTTCCTGAAACAAGCCGATCATGGAACTACAGCCCGGACCACCATTGAGCCAGAGGGCCAGTGGAGCTGTTTTGGCGTTCTTGCGGGACTCGAAGAACCAAAAGAACATGTTCATGTTGGTGCCTGAAGAGAAGATTTGTTAGATAGGAAATGGGAGGATTTAATGAGGTACTTGCCAACGGAGAAATAACCAGAGTGCTGGTTAACACCAGGCGTCGTCTCGCAGATTCCAGAGTTGGAGACAATCTTGGTCTTGGAACCGGTGGCAGCATGTTCGAAGACCTTGTACTTGATACCGCCGTCTTCTTGCAAGTACCTCTTGTCGAGGCTGGCTGCGGGTGTACAGCTGCCTTGGCCGACAAGGGCAAGTGCCGTGAGGACATTCAGCAGAGCTGTCTTCATGATCATTGACAATATGAACTTGAATGGAAGAACGGTGGTTGTACAAGATAGATACTGCCAAGACGGGAGGATGAGACTAGGTATATATAGATCTAGGCGGTCTCGATCGGGCGCTACCATAGGCACGGATAGCCCGCATTCCATAACTACTGCGCTTCATTATAGCCGTATACGATGCCAGTCGAACTTAATGGAATTATCTTATCGCGGCGAAAGATTAATGCCACCTTCCTGATTAAAGGGGGAGACCTTTTGTGAATATCAAAGGTTCCTGACGATCCGGAGGTGGAATTAGCCAATACAGCGCGGGAGTCATGCGACAGTGGGCAGTGGATACTGTCGATCTCTGGGCCATCCCGGCCCCGTGAAACAAGGCATTGTCTTGCTTACATTGCCCAGGCAGTATCACAAGGCAGACAAACATCCTCCCCTTGAGACAAAGCTTCAACCGCCGCGTAAATATCAAAATTCATACTCTCCCGCATTATTCATTTCGGTGCATGCTGTGTCAGACAGATTAAGTTGCAGAAGCCCATCTTATCAAGCCTCATGGCGACCTTCCAGAACAAGCGATCTCCCGAGCCACGAGATCTATGCTTCGGCACTTTTTAGCCGTTAATCTGGTGACGCTCACTTGCCGAATATCCGAGCTCGGGTGCTCTGATTGGCGCACAGGCTTATCGAGAATTCATGCTTAGAATTAATTTTCTCACTAACTAAAACCCGATGTCGCAATGGTATGCAAAGATATCGTATTGGTTGACTAGCTGCAGCTGCTTGGAGCATTAAACTTGTGTGTATTTCCGCCTATGGATTGACCACAGGTTCCTTGTTGAGAGGTCGGACTAACGTTGGCTGTTGGGGTAATATTATATGTCACAACAGACGCTCGTCTGATGCAAAGGCCAGAGATCAATTGATAGATTGGCAATGAGCTCATGACTTGCACTAATATGCTACAGGTTTTATTCTTAACTATGAACTATGGGGATGACTGCCGCCTATAAGGTTAACCTTATTTAGCTGTTATACCTGGTCTGGTCTTGTATGCAAAACTATCCAAGGTAAATCATTAAATGTCTTAAAGGCCAAATCTATGCGCATATCACATTTATCTTGTTCATTTACTCAAAAAAGCTATGCGACTTTTTATTTTAACAAAAATGTTTCAATTCTAGCCGTATGCGAGCCCCAGTGAGTATTTGTTGGTAGAAGATCAGATTACTTACTGCATCAGTACCCATTGCAGGGTATAATCCCTGCAGATCCTCATTTTCCTCCAAGCCAAGCCCCAGGTTGCGTCACGTATGGTAACAAAGCCAGCTAATGATTATATTCAAGATCAACTTACAGATAACACCGTTATAATGTTATTTAAAAGCTACCTAGTGTGAGTTTATAACTACTGAAAACACCACCAATATTTGTTTTGTTTCGATTAATGGCTTTATCAAAACCTCAGCCGCTGATTACATAACCCCGCAGGGCTGAACTGGGCTTGGCATTTTCAACACAGCCTCAATAATCAATAATGTTGTTCCAGGCTCCCTCTCGCGACCTCTCAATCTCAACCTTTACGTCACCAAGATGTCGGATCCCTTGAGTGTTGCCGCTTCAATCGCAGGACTAATCTCAATCACGGTTGAAGCCGTCAAGTTCCTCAGCCCATATGTCTCAGCGGCCAAAGAGACCCCGCAGGTCGCGGCGCACGTCTACTCTGAAGTCCAAAGCACCCAGATTATACTGATGGGTCTTCAGAGCCTGACGAAAGACCTTAAGTCTGTCAACGCTCAGCATGCCGCCCTGATTGGGGTGAACCAGGTAGTGGCTGTCCTCACGGATGGGGTTCTTCTTTACTCGGAGCTGCATAAGGAACTTCAGTCGTTGTGGGCGAAAGATGGCGTGGAAAAGGTGCCGCTGAGAGGACGCTTGCAGTGGGTTTGGAAGGAGAGTACGTTTGTCTCACTCTTGAATAGACTGCAGAATTTCAAGAGCTCAATGACACTTGTCTTGATGATTTTACAAAGGTACGTTTAGCGTGCAATTCCTGGTGCAATATCTAACTCATGCTCAGTGATTCTGGCCAGAGAGCAAAAGAACACCAGGAGAAGCTGTCCAATAATGTCAAGGTTCTTCTAGACAGCAATGACGCCCTGTCGCGCCGGCTGATGAACATTGAGGATGCTTTAGATGACCAGACTATTATTTCCAGGCGCATGAGCATTCTCTCTTTGAGCGTATCTCCATCTCAAAATACAGGGCAGGAATCAACTGCAGAATCGCCAATTATATCAATCACCAACGAGACCAGCCCTTCTATATCAAGGTTTGACTTCGAGGATGATCTTGAGTCATCACGCGTGTATCGCCGCGCAGTGAGAGAAACCATGGATTATTCATTCCGGAGCTCGGTTGCAAAATCGCATAATTGGTCTGTCTTCTCAGGATTAAGTCTAGGAGATGTATCTATCATGTCAGTCATAGCATTGCCCGTCTATCAAGACGATATCACCAATGCGGAGCACTATGATTTTGGAGAAGAAGCTGCTCCCAATGCTGGAACGCCTGTGCCAGTCATGGACCAGCCTCTGTTGATAGAATGTCTTGAGCTGAAGCTCAAGCTTCTCACGATACCCGGGATGTCGGGGTACTTTGACGAGCCGCGTTTCACCGTTGACGACTTCTCTCACCTCTGGACGGTTCTCCAGCAAGTTACACCATTAGCTATCCTTGCTCAGGCTCTGGATCCGACTCTAAACTTAGGTGCCGGTCTGCCTGAGGACCTGACCGACAACGCCAGGAAAGAACTGATTTTATGGTTTGCTCAGTTCTGCCACGACAAACTCGATATAGAAACAAGCAGCCTGATTACAGTTCAGGATCTGATGGGGGGTGGTGCTTATGGCATTTTTAAGGTAAGGTAACATGACAACATTGAAACAGGAGGAACTGCTGACGGTGCCACAGGCCATTTCCCTCATTTCGTATATTACCCGGAACTTGGCAATCCCTAATCCTTCTATGAATGATTTGTCTTCAGCCAAAGCACAAGTTGACGCTCAGCCACCAGAGCTTCGAAAGCTGCTCATGGAGCAGCGCCAGTTCGCCCGGGATCTCAATGAACTCCTTGAGCTGAAAGATCAACTCCAGATGTTTTCGAACCACATATTTCTAGGATTAAGAATACTCGCAGACACACATGTTGCATTCCTTACTACTATGGAGCGGAAACTTTTCTGTCCATCAGCCCTTCAAATATGGGCACCAGCATTTGACGATATTCTGAAATTTGTCAGCGTTGAAGCATCGTTTTATGTCAACTATACCAATCACAGAGCCAGCATACAACTTTGGCTGAAAAAAGGACATTTCAAAGACAAGGAGAAGATAAGAGAATCTTTGGTAAGATGTTTATATCTTTTACCCACAAGAGCGAAAAGAATTTCTATGCTCTTTAAATTCTCCGAGGTATAATCTCATCAAGAAAGCGTATCTTAGTACGTGGATGCTAATATTGTTTAGTACTTGGGAACCCGACCGATTGCCACAGAAGAGCAGAAGAAGGATCGCAGCAGGTGTCAATCTTCTATCTCGAGCATTGTTTCTCATCTACAGGATAAGGAGATTTCTACGGCTACCCAAGTGGCTGTTCAAGAGCTTCGACAGCGGGTAGAGGACTGGAAGGGTATTGATCCCGGTGATCTCGGAGAAATGGTTCTTTCTAAGACACTTTATGTGACCAAGAGTTCCAAAACCAACCTGGTAAGCTGCCTCGGCATGTTCTTGATTGCGTCTGACGTCACTGCAATAGTATCACGGGTATCTTTTCCAGAACATGCTTCTGCTCTGTAAAGAGACTCGTGGTAAACATATAGGAGAGCGGTCGTCTTCCAAGTCGAAATCTTTATCTGAAGAGAAGCAGACAAAGTTCATACTAAAGGGGCGGTTTCATCTAAGACACATTCTCTCGGTCACTCCAACCTCTCACCATGGTACGTCGCCCAGTTTTAGACATTTATGACGCTTACTAATTCAATTAGGCAAACATACATGCGAGGTTGAGTGGAGCACTGGAACTGAAGGCATTAAATCATCATTCTCACTCATGTTCGTGGTTGAGCCAGAGATGCGAGAATGGGCATCGAAGATCGATGAGTATAGAATGATGGCAATACTCATGGTGAAGCCCCAAGGTGTTCCAGAACTGAATTTGCAAATAGAAGGGGTCGTTGGTGAAACTGTGCCTGAAGATTTGACTGGGCGAATGAAGTCACGGAAGCGATATGGGGTAATTAAATAATGAATTAGGAAATCTCTAGTGGGTTGGCTTGGTGTATATAGGGATACTACAATTGTTATACGATGATCAATGAGAACCACTAAACAACTTCCTCAAATGTCACCGCATCAACGTCGCCCTCAGCATTGGCGCAGCTGAATCCAATAGCAACACTAAGATAGCCATACTGGTCCAACTTATCCTGTCTCAGTGAACAAGTAGTACTCAAAGGTGTCCATTGTTGCACGGCAGCATTGGCGCTGACTGTGTTCGCGCCTCCTTGGACGGGAACAACGCTACTTGGATCTCCATAGTAACAGACGACAGCCATTGCATTACATCCATCGTCGTACATATTATCGCTCGCACCGTCGACGCGGAGCTGAGCGGCGAGACGATAGGTTCCTGCTTTGAGAAGTGACTTGTCGATCTTTTGATACACGTAGTTATTGTACGACTCGCCGTCATCGATTGCAAATTGGAGGCGGGCGTAAGCTGGACCTTCGTAGGGCGAGGAGGAGCCGAGTTGAATAGGGTCGTTGGCTGAGAGCCAGGGGTTTACTGTTCCAAGATCGAAGTTGCCGTTGATGAGGAGCTCGGTTTGCTCTGCTTCGGCGGTAGTGGTGGTTGTAGCGCTCTCGGCCACGGTCGTTGTGCCTTCAGTGGTGGTTGGTGCTGTAGTAGCCTCACTGCTAGTGACTATGGTAGTGTCGCTGCTACTAACGACTGTCGTACTCTCGCTGACGGCGATGGTCGTAGATGTCTCGCTCACGAGTGCGCTCGTGGATGTAGCATCCTCAGTCAACGTGGTAGTTGTATCAGTCGCGGTTGTCGTCTCTGTCTCGGTGACCGCAGTACTGGTCTCGATGGTAGTGGAAAGAGCAGTGGTAGTATCGGAAACGACGATTGTAGAGCCAGCGCCAGTGGCAGAGGTTGTGATGCTCTGGGGCTTACACGGGCCTGCATTAACAGAAGCTAACAAGGCCAAGTTTGCTAACGCAGCGGCAATTAGCTTGTTGGAAACCATTTTGACAGGCTTCAAAAACGACAGAAAATGAACGGAAACGACAGTGGAGGCTTTGCATAACCGAGTGAGCAAAGAACACGAGGAAAAGAGGACATTCGCCAGTTTTATTTCAGCACACAAGTGGAGAGGGCCTCAGGGGCATACAGATAACTATTGGCGACCTAGGGCGATTAATGGTCGTGGCATACAATAGCGTCTCAATAGCGTTGAATTTCTCGCCAGTTGGGCCAATCAAGTTCTTAGTTTCATGGCTGGCTTCATATTTCAAACAAGAAATTAATTCAAAAAGTAAGCTTGTAACCGGTAGTGCTTGTATCTTCGCTCGTATTTTACCTAGCTTTGAAATCGTTGAACAGGGCGAAAGCTAATCAATTAGACTTGCATCGTTGCAGCTTGGCAACCGAAGATATCACTCTACTCCTTCATCGCTTCACCAAATGTTCCCCTGTATCCGTTCTGCTCCAGGTACATCCGGAATTGCGTGTCTTCGCTCTCGAGCTCTTTGTCCTTATCTGGGATGAGAAACCATGCAACTAGACCACCTACAGCAGCAAACGCCGCACCAATCAGAAAAACGGCCTGGATACCTCGCTGCTTATCGGAGAAAGAGTCTTGGATGGGCGTAAATGCTTGCGTTCCAATCGCCGCACCAGCCTTGCCCATTGCTGCGGCAAACCCTAAGAAGTGACCTCGTAGAGGTGTTGGAAAGGACTCTGCCGCACACAGAAACGTGGCGACCTGGTTCACAGTTAGCGTGTCTCTGGGTAGCTGTACTGCCAAGGTTAGGACTTACGCCAGGGCCCATCTCTCCCAGTGCGTTGAAGATGCCATACAGCACGATGAACAAGGGGAACACGGACTGGATCGGAGAAAGAGCACCACCAATGATGAAGCCGAGAATCGTCCATCCGAGAAATCCCAGAGTCATAGTTTGTCTGCGACCAATGTGATCCATGAGAAGTCCTCCAACGACGCAACCGGGGAGATAGAAGCAGTTAACAACTGTACCGAAACCGATGTTCTGCTGAAGAGTGTCCTCAGGGTTCAAAGTGGCGATGATTGTCGAACTGAAGATTCCGAATGGATACGTCTGGTGTCTATATCAGTAATGTGCTGTGCATTATATCCTCAGTATTATACTTACCACGAAGTCGTAGAAGAACCACGCCAAGGATGTTCCAAGCATTGGTTTCCAATATCTCTTGATCACAAGCATATATGGTATGTCCTGCTTGATCGCATGTTTCTTATATTGCGTCGAGTCAAACTGACGAAGACGAAGAAACAGAAGAGCTACTGGCAGGATGAAACCAATACCAAAGTTGATTCGCCAGACGCCATCGCCGACATGTTGATGGTAAGCTGCGAGGACGATCAATGCCACAACACCTGCCATAACAAATCCGAGGTCGATGGAGAAGTCTGTAGCAGCAGCGACAAGAAGTCCGCGTCGGCGTCGAACAAATGATGTCTCGTCTGAAGCTTCAGTACTTCCTGTGCCGCAGGTAGGATATTCACCTAAAAAGCCATCAGTCAAGTGAATTTCTCAGCCCCAATCTCTATTAGGTGCTTACCACCAGCGCCGAACCCTGCAACACCTCGTCCAACAATCATCATCCAAAACATGCCCAGCTCAGTTTTTCCATGCGCTGCAGTCGCGAGGATGATACCCAAGACTAAGAACAAGGTAGCAAACACAATGCCAGTCCGTCTGCCAAGCTTGTCGATGGCATAGCCAAAGAAGAGCATGCCGAGGACCTCGCCGATAAGAAATGCATTAGAGAGTCGAGTCTTGATCGAGCTGGAGAAACTGTCGGGGTAGAGTTTTGCAAAGACTGGATTCATGTATCCGATGATCTGTGCATTGTATCCATCGGAGAATAGAGCCAGGCCACTTGTCAGGACTGTTGTTATGGCTGACATGCGAGACTTGGTAGGGATCTCAACGTCTGTGGCATTGACAACAGTGTCGTTTTTGAAGGATGCATCGTCTTGATGGCTCTTTGGAGCACTCGTCTCTGGAGAAGCCTTGTCATCCATGGTACTGACCTTGAAGCGGGAAGTATTGGAACGATCTTTCTTGGAAGCTTCTATCTGATAATATTTGAGAACCTCTGGACTTATATATACATGATACGTAGTGCCTCATGCTTGGAGGCTAAAGATATCCTCGCATTGCAACACCATTCTTCTTGCAAAGATCGAAGTATAATTCTGGTCAAAGACAGACCCTCGCGTGCCCTGATTATGGAACGTCATTGGTTATCCGTGTGAAATTCTTTATCTTATTCAACAAGCAATAGCCCAATGCTTGCACGTGGGCATCGTCGTTGAGTTTGGTTGGGTTTAATGGCCCTCATATTACGAAATGGTTGCCGATACGCCGAGGGGGGCTTGACATTTTACCCTTGTATGCGTCTCGTGTTTTGGGACTACACAATCTTCCTAATTCCCGTCTGCTCACACTAGGCTTTAGTTTGGTTCTTGTAGGTCTGATTTGAAGTGGGCCATACTACTATATCAAGTCGAATGCAGGCATAAAATGGCATTAGTCTCGGTTACTCGGCATGCTACAGTTGCATTTTTATCTTTTTCCCTGGGTACATGCTGCAATGGCCCTGTTTCATTGCTTGGGGGAAAAGCCCGTAGTGGAAGACTAATGCAGCTAGTGAGCGATAGCCGACAGACCTCGATATCTTATCTCGAGCCGAGTAGCGAGCAACATATGGCTGATGTCAAATGAGAATGCGCCTGGAACTCACGGACACTTAATTTATTGCGACTTGGAGACCAAAAGGGCTTTAAAACATCACGATAAATATAACTGTCGGCAATGCCTAGGTCAATCGATCAATCCGCTGCATACACCTAAGAACTCAACACTTTCTGATTCCTCTAGAATTTTCGCTGAAACTCCTTCAACAGCTTTTCAAGATGGTGGTCACCGATGATCAGATCTCTTTCTTCAAGAAGAACGGCTACTTGATTGTCCGTGACTTACTGCAGTCTGAGCAAGTCAAAGACCTGCAATCATGGGCCGAAGAAGTCCGCAACTGGAAACCCACTGAAGATTCAGAATTCATGCCCTACGAGGTACGAGATGGTTCAGGTCACATTTATTTGACATGAAGCAATTAATTCTCCGATAGGAGGTTAATGACAAAGGTGAAACTGTTCTCTGCCGAACTGAGAACTTTGCCGATTGCCACAACGGTTTCAGTAATCTGCTCCGGAGCCCAAAGCTGCTTGGTCTTCTCAACGATCTCGCAGAGGAGCCTATGCTTTTGTTCAAGGAGAAGATCAATTACAAACTTGCTGGAAGCGGTAAGTAGAGCGCCCTGGAGATACACCCATTCTTGTCTAGAGCTAACTGCCGACAGGCGGATTCGCACCTCACATTGATGCTGTTGCCTACACGCACATCAAGGATGTCAAGCACTTGACGATTCTACTGAGTGTCGATCCCTCCAATATCCGTAATGGAGGGTTGGAAGTTGTTGATGGCAGCCACGAGATGGATGTTCCTATCAACAAGGCTACCAACTGCATTGAAACAACTTGGGTCGACTCTCAGACTTGGACCCCCGTTGAACTAGAAGCTGGTCAGTTGTCCATCTTCGTCTACGAATTATACCGCAAACTGACCTCTGCCAAGGCGAGCTACTCATCTTCACTTCTTACCTGGCTCACCGCAGTGGTGCCAACAAGAGTAGCTCTGACCGCAAGGCTATCTATGCGACTTACAACCGTGCTTGCGAGGGTGATCTACGCCAGGGATACTACGAGCACAGGAAGCAGGAGTGGCCGGCTACACATATGCGAAAGGCTGGAAAGTCTTATGAGGCGGGAGCGTTGACGTATGGCTTTGGATCTCCTATGCTTAGTGTTGATGCCGGAAAGCAGGTTACATTTTAAGTAACTATGTCTCGTACATATCAGTTATCTAGTTAGATTTTGCTCTTTTCTTTTTCTCGATTCATCAACTGTTCCTTGAAGCCTTTTGTTTGAGTCACAGCTTGTAAAATTAAAGGCTGAATACTTGAGACGATTGCCTAATCGTAGTCCCCGAGGTTGAAGTCCGATGTCTTAACGCAATATCATTTGGCGTTGGCCTGTAGGCCCGCAATATTCTCAATCATGGTTGATGCGGGTTCTGCAATGTCCGCTTGATAATTGTGTCAATGAACTCTACATGCAACTCAGTCAAACATTGCACTAAAGATCTTAGCGCTGTCACAACTTACAGGGGCCTATGACTACTGCTACTGTACTAGACCGTACTAAGCTGGGTCCCACTCCAAGCGACAGGCGAGAACCGAGAGCCGAAAATCTTAAGACTTCACAAATATGAAACGCAGGGGCAGTCATTGGCTGTAAACCCATTGATAAGACATGGCCAATAAATAGGCCAGGAATGGCCAGTTGACATACGTAGTAGTACTCGTGAAATACAAAAAGATTCAAGGCTTAGTCTATAACTTGGACTTCTTTACCCATCATATCAATCCTTCATTCGGCTTGTCGTCCAACCTCATCTAGACATCTACACAGTCAACGCAGTCATGGAACTTCCAACAATTCCGACGCCATCTTCCGTGGCAGAGTACGTCATATCTGTTCTCCAAGCTTCGGAAAACACACCCTACATTGGAGAACCCATCTCTCAACTCCAACATTCTCTCCAATGCGCTGCCCAAGCTGCATCTGCTTCGCCACCAGTAGATGAAGCCACTCAAATTGCCGCATTACTTCACGATATCGGCCAATACGCACCAGCTAAAGACCTCCGCAAACTCACCGGCGGGGAAGCTAGAAACCTCGGCGGACAATCAACAGGCACAAGTGTTGGGAGAGTTGGGCACGAGACACTAGGTGCACAATTTGTTCTTGCGTTGGGCTTTTCTGAGAAGGTTGCACGTCTTGTTGAATCGCATGTTGCTGCTAAGCGGTATCTATGCGCAGTGGATGAGAGGTATTTGAACAGGCTTTCTGATGCGAGCAAAAAGAGTCTTGCTTACCAGGGCGGGCCGATGAGTGATGATGAGAGGGATGAGTTTGGTGCTGACGAGTGGTGTAAGGAAATGTGCCAATTGAGGGTTTGGGATGATGAAGCTAAGATCGAGGGGCTTGAGGTCAGAAACTTGGAGAGCTGGAGGCCGGTATTGGAGCGACAATTAGAAGGAAGACAGGGCAACATGATTTAGACAAATGATATGTGTATAGTTTTCATGATTAGGACAAATTATATGTATGCGTATTTATCTATATTTATAGTTATTTTTAAATGTTTAGATCGTTCCTGTTGGCAAAGCCACAACATATTAAGAATTAAAACAAAGCGCCAGATATAATAATTACACTACAAAGGAGTAAATATTTTGAAGAATACTTTTTATCAATACCAGCAAACGTTTATATGTGCCCTTTTGCAGGCTCTAAAATATATATGAAATACATCGCTTTCCTTTTCTGTCTGTAGGGTAGTTTTGCATCCTCAAGCAGTTAAGGAAGGCTATTCTAACCTAGAGTGGAGTAGTGAGGTAGTACCGAAGATAAGATAAGACATGGTTTTATCTCGCTTAAAGATAAGAATCGTCGCCTACAGATAGGCCCCGCAATCTGGACCTCTCCTCTGAGCCAATCAAACACGCACATGGCTATCGGAAGGGTCTAATCTTGGAGGGGAAGGCTCGCTAGATCTCTTTACGCGCAAGACTCGGGATGGGAGGGAGTTGAATTGACGATATCATGAACCTCTCCATCTCGTTACGAGCACTGCAGCGGAATCTCGGCACGTAGCCGACCCGTGCTGACGCTACATCGAAAATCTCAACGACAAAGCGACATGCAGAATACGAGGCATCAAGGCTATCGTGGTCGGGTCCGGAGTGGCTGTCTCACTTGCCGAGCTCGGAAGGTCAAATGCGACGAGGCCAAACCCGTTTGTAACAACTGCACAAGATTACAACGTCAATGCACATACAAGCCCCGAAGAGTCTTTCGACAGACTGCCAGCGCCGACAATTCGCCACCAGGCCAACCATCATCACTCCAATTCGAGGGTATCCCTCAAGCATTCGAGGCACATGATATTAGTCAATCCCACTCAAGTCCATCGCTCACTGATGACTTTGAGAACCCGGGGTCATCAAAGGTGCTCTCGACTGAGAGGACGAATCAAACTCCTTTTCTGTACGAGGGCAGGACGAATGTCGATGTCACTGCTTGCTTGCAGAAAGCCCTTCAATACCGGAGTGCATTTCCTATCGTGGATGATAACTACGAGCGCGATGAGTCGCCGTTGAACCTGATATCACGGGATATCGAGTTGACCACTACACTTGATATCCTCACTCTTCGTACCCAGTCCCCTTACATGACGGAACTCTTCCTTGATACAGTGGAATGCCCTGGCATCACACCATTTGATCCTCTCAACTGGAAACTGGCAAAGCAGCATATTGTGCATTTGGGAAAGTCATGTCTGGCTATTTCTTCAGGCATCACAGCTGTTGCGACTCTATGTAGTGGGCAAGTCTTCTCACTCTCGACATCCGAATCGCTTTCTCACTACCACTCCGCGAGGAAGAATGTCGAAGAACTGTTAGGGGATGACGATAAAGACTTTGACCTTGTTTTGGTAGCCGCCTTTTTGTTGTGTATATTTGAGTTGATCCACTCTGGAGAAGTCACACCTTACCTGAGAGAACCAGGCCGAATATTCATACGGAGGCTACAAGCTTGGGTACAGACTCAAACTCCCTACTCGGAGCTTTGCACACGTATAGTCACTTGGCTGAAGATTCTTTACTCAGCTTCCCTTCGAGGTGGAGCAATGGGCCTGCTCTCAGAAAGGGTAGTCAGTCTCCTCCCAAATTTCACCGGCCCCATACCAAACCTCGGACCTTCCGTTGACCAAGAGCCCGAGATATCTAATCATCTGTACGAAGTCTTGAGCGCGCCGATCTTCGACTTCTACTGCCAACTTCAAACACTATCTGGAGAGATTGCCAAACTATCGCTTTACCATCGCTCCCGCACGAAGCGTAAAGACCAGCAGGAGGTAGTCGAACGAATGGCGACTCTAAAGACCAGACTTCGAGCACTATGGGAAAGGCGGTGCGCCACGCAGCGACAGTCTCCGGAGCATTTGCGCTCCCAAATGGTTCCTCAAATCGCGGATATGATTTCGAGTCTGATCAGTATTTGTGAGGCTGCATATCATGCTGAATTCATTGACATAGGAAGACAGCTCGGGGACCCTGTGTCTCAATCTCCAGATTCGACAGAAGCATTGGACAGGATCAGGGAGATTCTGGATAGGGATGGCAGTGGGAATGATGAGGGTAAAACAAGAAGCATCAACCCTGGGTACTTGAGACCGTTGTTCCTATGTGCTATAGAGAGCACAGACAGGGAGCAGACCAGTTGGGCCGTGGAGAAGCTTACTCAGATCCATAATCGTGTCTATCGTGGAGATTTCTTCTCGGCTTTTGCGAAAGCTCTTTCAGAGGCACAAACATGTAACGATAGAAGGGTTACCTCGAGGTATTTCTGTATCTGGTATTTTGGGATCACACCACCATTCTTCTAGGTATAGCTTAAGCGACGCAAGGATGAAAGCACGAATTTGTCATATAGCAGTGAATGACCAACATATCTGGCAGCTATCTTGTGAACCCATTCCGCTAAATTATCCCCTTTCCAAAAGGTTCAAGCCTCTACTGACACGTCCTGGGTTGCTAGTATCGATGCCAGTGGCTTTGGAGGCGTTCCCTGACCTTTCTCCAAGTCGAACTTGGATCTAGTTGCCCCGACCTGAGCAATAAGCATCGTACAATTGGGACAAGGAGCCATCAAATTTTCCCAAATGGCAGTACCGGATGCTGCGTTATACTCGGCGTATTCTCCATCTTTCAAGAAGTTCTTTTGGAGAGCAAGTCCTGACATCGACTTCAAGTTCTGTGTCGTGTTACTATCAAGCGTGGGATCGGATTAGCACTTAAGAAGAACTCGAGCAGTGTGATAATAAACGTACCTTGAGGATATCATTATAAATGGGTAAGTCTCGGCGCAGTTTCCATAAGCCACCTTACTGCCGTTGGCGGCAGTCTGACTGGGTGCATTTTTCTCTCTGTAGTCGCTTTCGCGTACCATGACTATTCTCTGACATCTGTATAGCATCTTAAAACGGTCCTCTCCCACACGTTCCCTCCAAGCTCCAGTATATCTGGGAGATTTGGGATTCTTGATCTCCCAGTTGTCGCCTGCAGTAGATGCTCCGAGAAAGTATTTGGCCCAATGCTTCTTGGTGCTCTCATCGACTTCAAGGCTCCATGTACATTGGAAAACGTATGGCAGAGTGCCTTCACCTTTGACATCCGGCTCCCACTTCCAGCTCTTCTCTGGTTTACCAGCAATACGTGCGCACCAACGCCCGTAAACGCCTGTGAGGGGGAGGTAGAAGTTGTACTTGGTAGCAGTGGACGGCGCCGGACCTAAGAGGCCGAGGAAAAGGCCAAGGAGATCATAGGGGCACCACCAGTCCGGTGCTGGGCCTTTGAAGGTCTTTGTAATCTGACGGAAGAACATGGGACTGACATTGAACTTTGATGATGTCTTATCTTCTCTCTTCCAATCTAGGTTCATGTTTCGTGAAATATGTGAATCTGGTCGCCTTGTTTTGTCCATGTATAGGCTTCCTTTTGGGAGGCTATTGAGTTGGTCAGTCGTTGATAGCTAATCTTGAGAATAAATAAATCCTCGTTTGAAACTTACGAAAGATCGATTAAACGACCGCGGATTGCTGTGAGGAGATCGCGCGTCTCTTGGTCTTCAGGTCCAGCACCATCTGCTTTGGTCATATCTGCCATCCAGTTGAATATCTACAACTGCATCAGTCGCCAGTTGACTCTCAAGGCATGCAAAATGGATGAACTTGATTTCGAATATCCTGATAGCTCAAGTTACATACCTCGTCTCTCTTCCATTTATATGCGGTGCGGAACCATTTGTTCCCCGACTTTGCCCACGGAGGCTCTAGAAGAACGGTTTCTGTGGTCGACATGGTTGATGTGTTTGATCGTCCCTTGATCGGAATTAGACGAGGCTTGATAATCAAGAAACAGACAGATGTTCACGGAGAGAACAACTCATAGAAAACAGTCACGCTTTTAAAAACTGCTGCGTAATATTCTGCCCCCTCCTTCTTAGATTGACGCACGTGACAAAGATTTGTACATAAATTCAGACTACTAAAACCCCGCCGCTCAGATCCAAATCCCTTCTCTTCCAAGTGCCCTCACTCACGTCACACTCCTCTCCCATCCCGATCCAAAAGGAGAAAGACCAACGGGCTGATTCATTCCCAGCCCCCCAAATACAATAAGACCATGGTATGTACCGTCAGCATTCTTGGCAGTCTGCATCCCCTTCCGTACAACCTGAACTGTCACTTACGAATGCAACAGTCTATCCCCGCAAACCAAGTCCCTGATGATTGGACTACCGATCCCGATGAAATGCGGACAGACTTTTACTGGGGGACAGACGGCAGCGGTCGGTTGGCTGCAGAGTCCGTCGGCATCACCAACCCCCTAGCTCTCATGATCAAAGAGAGGAGTGCCGGGGGAGACGGCTACATGTTCCAAGATGCAAGTGGGATCTATCTGTGGAGTATGCCTACGGACGAGGTGTACAAGTGCACCTCCCCCGCGAATCGGGATGCCATTCTTGCCGAGATGCGTAAGCCCGCAGGCCGCGGAAAGGTGGAGATGACGTTGATGCCTCCAACCTCTTCTGATGATTAGGCATGGTGTTGACTGCAAGAAGCTGGAAAGAGATAAAGAGCAATAACAAAATACGATGAACGGTTCGAGCTCGTATTTCGAGACATATTCTTATGCTGCATTGACCGGTCTGGTAGCACATATCACAAATGCAATGTCTGCATGAAAAAAGTCCCATACGTCGATCTTGGCATGCGTTCAGCCAAACTCGTTGTCAAATTATAGCCGGTCATTTCCGTCTATTGCAAGGTCAGTTCGGCTACGGTCGGTAGATAGAAGTCAGGTAGCTACTGTGTAACACGAGGTGATACATAGGCTATCGATCAATGGATGACACGTAAAGGATAAGAATCTGCCGTGTTGCACTAGAGTTACTCTGAGGTACAGTCACCAACAGCCCCGCCTATGCATTGTAAGACATTGCTAGATCAGGAACAACGAACCCGGCATTCATTGGAAAGAAATGCAACACACCATCGTTGCGGCTGAGGTAGGATACTTGCATGCATTCGGGCCGTGGGGGATCTGCAACTTGCAAGGACATCACAAGTTGAACAGCTAGATGTGACATGTGACGCTCGTAAATCTATGGACAAGGAAGTGTTATGCTGTAGACCAAAATTGGCAAACGTGGTCTGCAGATGTGAGACACTTGGCGTAATTCATAAATGTTTGGATCAGATATCATTCTATGCAAACGGTGACTTATCTTTTAAACGGGGTTGACCAGTCTTTGGCGTCATTAGTGCATAGGACCTAAAACAGGAAGGAAGAACAGAAAAGAAAAGAGAGAAGAGACAAGCCCGAACTTTGATGCAACTGTTCTACTTGGGTTCAGCTCCATGCCCCTTGACAGGATCAAGAGGGATAGGCAGTTAGTTATAACCCTCATAATGGCAGTTCACGTCTTAAGTAATGCCTTTTTAAAATTTACATTTTACCATGTCAGGGAGGTATGAAACTTCAGGATGAACCCGTCTCTTGACGACATAGTGAAAACAAGGCGATAAAAACATTCTACCCAGTACAAACTATAATTTCCTACCCAATGAAACCTAATGCATGACTACCTCTACAGACAGAGGAGGATTCTCCACTATCATCACATTGGGCTCCACCAACTGAAGTGCAGGGTTTCTGCAATATCTCGCCCGAGACTGGATTACCGCAGTTTTGGTTTCAAACCCAGGAGAATTAATACTAGCCAAGCCAAGCAGAAAGCTCAACTCAGGCACAGCCGGCGCCATGACCCAGCCCTTCTCAGCCCTCGGCAGTAGCCGAATGCGCAAATAATACCGATCCTGGTTCTGGTCATGGAATGTAGTCGGGATCACATTGAAGCGCAGGTTCGTCAGCATATGTGCCCCGGGACCAGTGTAGTTCGACATCAAAGCGTATGTGGCATCGTTGGGCGAACCCAGTGCGATGTCGATGGTAACTTCCATGAGGAGATACTGATTGATCTCGCTCTGCCTTAGAACGATGGAGAAAATGAGGTCTTGGGGAAGATTGTTTCTGTCGAGGACCACTTGGCTGTGATTGTCGGCTAGGTTGCTGCTGACGCGTAGAAGGAACCTTGGTGCTGATGCTGGCTCAGAACCGGGTGGCTTGTCTTTGAAGGGACGGGTTCCAACTTCGCTTCTAGGGGCGTTGGTGGGAATATTGTCTGGGTCGCTGGCACTTGGCCCTCGATGAAGTGGCATCGCTCGGACATGAGGCGCGAGGTAGTTTGAGACCACGTCCAGTGGAGAAACATAGTCCTCAGCTCTCATGAAGCTATCTTCGTGGCTTGGATCATTGTACCCATTCTCATCATGGGGTTCGTTCTCTACTGGCGCTGCAGAGACCTCTGCACCAGGAGAAGATAGCTTCTTGACCCGAACCGCTTCCATCATGTTGATAGTCCTCAACTCTGGGCTTCCGTCTCCCATATCAGGAGGAGCCAAGTCTGCTATCGCCTGCGCAGACGAAGCACGCTCAGCCATGTTGATGGTCAAGTTATAAATGGGATCGTTGAGCTGCATAGCGAACAGTGCAGACGTAGAAGCGTCATCCGCAAAGTAAGCTGTGCCAGTTCCTTCTTGGCTCCCCATGTGATGTTGCAACATATCGAGCTGTAAGTCTGCAAAAGCAGGAAGGCGTATTATGCGCAAGTCGCTAAGACTTTGGCTGGGTACAGAGTTCCATATGAAGATGTTCTTCTCCGTGGTTGGAGTGTATGTGATTGGGTTTTCGTTGAGCGCCTTGTGCCTACTCTTGTCTGTTTCCCTGGTAGCTTGATCAACAGTGTACTGACGTCTGATGTCAACCCTAATCTGAGCAGTGTCTAGACCACGAGCCACAGCGAACCGCTGCTGATGTGCTGGCTGTGTAAAGACAAGAGACGAAAACTGCGCGGAGCCAGGAACACGGTCCATGAATGCCATCATGACACCATCTGCGACAATCTCATGACGCAAAAGAGGTGCACCCGCAGGAGGGTCTTGACCAGCGGCCTTAAGGGCGCTATCATTGGATAGAACCTCCACGCGAAGATCTGGAAACATAGTCACCAGGTCTGAGCGGAGATAGAAGCCGTAAGCAGGAATCTGGACGCGATGGTCCATCCCATCTGGCGTACGGCCGATGTAGTCATTGAGTGCTTTCTTGATAGCGACTCGGTCCTCGTCAGTTCCAAAATGGTTGCCGAGGGAGAGAGCGCCGTCAATGAGGGCATCTACCCAGTTCTTGTCTATGTGAAAGAAACGTAGGTTCTCTGGCAGTAGGTAACTCGGATCAGGGATGAGATAGTGCGCTGGCACACCCGCGAGAAACATACGGTCAATCAGCCACGAGAGTACAGTCATCCAGTCTGACGATTGTGGATCATTGGTCTCATCGTAAGGGTCACCAGATCGACTTGAAGCAAGTTTGCGAACAGAGTCCAGCGCGGCAGCTGGGTACTTGTCCTCGAAGAGACCCGAATCAAATGAGAGTGTTGGCCGATCACGACGTTGGAGCTTCTTGTGGTGCCATCGCTTCTTAGCTCCTCCATGCCTGAACACAGGCCTGCCAGGCTGTCTTCTATCAGGAGCATCACCAGGTTCCTGAGGCTCGGAACCGCGGTGTTGGAGATGGATGTCAGCAAGACCCTTGACCATGGACGCGAGATCTTTGAGAAGATCATCGCGAGTGCGAAATGCTGTATCCTTGACATCCTTGACAGCACTGATCTTGACCTGTTTTGCTGCGGCGGCATGTACTGCAGTTCTCACGCGTCCCAGCGCAGCGACAAATGCTTGATCGCCAAGAGCCATAGTGCGACCAACTTGCCACGCGACCGAGTACGTCACATCCATGATGCCCAAGTTCTTATCAAGAACCTGCAAGTCCACACCAGAGGTTGAGCACTTGGTCAGATGCTCCAAGGTAGGCACGTACGTGGGAGTAAATGGACCTCGATACAGCGCCACAGTCGCCTCGCCTGTTTGAACGCGGTATTTGACCAAGGTGTACCCATCGCTCAGACGGCGGCCGACAAGTTGCTGGGCCTTGTCATTGGATGCTTTGAGAGGCGCTATGATTTCATCGGGAGCTCGCAGCACGTTGAGTGTGCGACCGAGGTTCTCAAAGGCATCCGGAACATTGAGGGTATTTGGAGGGAGGACTGTGTAGTTCCAGCTGTACAGGGAGCAGAGAGCCACGTATCGATGGCTCTGGTTTGGATAGCTCATGGCTTCAACGCCCTCAATGGAGACCAGATGTGCGCACATAGTGGTCGGAATGACATTGTCAAGGGGGCCAGATCTGTTGCCGACAACGATGCTGAAAACAGCAGTGTCCTCTACACCAGCAAGAGCCATTCCAGAGCCATTGATCTTGCGTACATGGGAAAGGTATTTGTACTGTGATGTATCTGGTCCGCTGTCCTTGACTCGATTACCTTTGTCGTCAAACGTGGAGAAAAGACTGGTGAACAGCTCTGGTTTTACAAAGATGAAGTCTCCTCGGCTATCTTTCATGGAAGCTGGGCCGAGACTGCTCGTGACGGGCGTTGTGACATCAGTCTTCAACTTCCATAAGTCATCGATGCTCATATTGACTGTCATTGTGGACGATTGCTTGACGGGCTTGAGAACGCCATCGCTTGTGTTGCTGAAGAGACTGCCTGGGCCATCAAGATCTTCTGGGGGCAGACGAAGCTCGTCTTGGGCGAAAGCAAGAACGACAAGCCATGGCACACAATTGCGTGGTATGCTGCTAGACTTCTCTGCGCCAAAAGCCACTCTCTTCATCTGAGCCTTGAGAGCCTTGTTCGTGCCGCCTTTTGGACTACCCAGTCTCTCCCATGGCAGATGGGGATCCGTCAAGACAACATGCGGTAGGATTCTATGATCATCACTGTACCCCGCTGGAGGATATGTAGAGTGGACACTTCCATCTGGGAGGGAGAACTGCGGTGCATCAACGTAGAAAGGCTGTTCTGCCTCCAAGTTGAGCTGTTCGCCGTTTGCCCGGATGCTTTGCTTCACAGAGATTATGTGCTTCGGGCCTGCTTCGATTCCAGGGGCCCAGAATGAATTGAGCTTTTGCTCGCCTGGAGGCAGCGGGTCAATCTCATCCTCGACGACTTTGCCGTCTGCGAGGACGGTCACAGATTGAGTGGCGCTGAGACGAGCATCAGCGCGGTTGGCAGCGACAACACGGCGAGAATGTCGTATCGTCAGATGGCGAGGAGAGTCTATACGTGTACTCTTGCCTCCGGGATAGATGCCCATGATGACTTGTGACTCCGTTATGAGTGGACTTTTCAGAGTGAAATTAGCCCGGGATGCTTCTTAGATGAAATTGATCAAGAGAATCCAGAGGAACAAGCAATCCGATTGCAATGAAGTGGGTGATGAGATTGACGAATATTGGTTGGCCCATCCCTGGCCGAGAAAACCTCTTTTGCGCGATAGCTACTTCGCACGTCGAGGCAACAGTGGCTATGTCCACGAATAACAATTGGCTTGTTCCAAGCACTTTCTGCATTGTCCGAATTGCATTAACGGGGCGTAGACGTCGAAAGCTAAGTCGATCGCATTGCAGGCCGGTCCATCCTCGTCATACAGCAAGCGAAAGCCAATATACAGCTTCACTGACCCTGTGGCCATAGCTTCGCATGCAAGAGGGTGTTTCTTTAGCTCAAGTATAGCATAAGCCTATCGGATGATAGCCCCAGAGACATGCCATGCATAACACCCACAATGCCCCGACCGACAGATGCGGCCCGAGCGGGGTAAAGTGCCAACGAGATCCCGATATGTAACCTTTTCTTAATCAAGTAAAGACCATCGGAACTGTGATCTGATCTGACATGCAACAGACACAAACGGGACTTGTAAGTGAAACACGCGTCACTGTTCATTCGGACCGACGCTACCTTGCACCAGCGCCAGCGTCTTGCTGCGGCACGTTTCACATATCGTAGTCACTGTACTCAAGGTACATAAGGTATTGACGCCAAGAAGAGCAGATGCCTTTGGAGTAACACAGGAGCGGGGTGAAGCCATTTCAATAGTCATGGTTGCTCAGCTCATGCAGTGCAGATGCCGTGTTTTGGCGGGGTTACGAAAGAGGCGGGATGAGAGGACATCAAGGGCAATGACGAGAGGACGGATGGCGATGAGGAAAGAGAGAAGAAGAAGGGGTTCTTGGACTTCCCACCCAAATTCACAGAAGGGCTCATGAGTTCTCCCTAATTGAAGTCTGTCACGAGACTAACAACTGACACGCAACCAAGTAAACTATGGCTCCCATCACAGCTATTATCGACAAGACCAGCGCCAATGATAGCGTCATAAAACTGTTCTACGCCACCGGGAAAGCCCAGCTTGGCCTTGCCTTGTGGTCAGGCACAAAGGATGCAGACCCCGAAGACCCAATCCAGACTCCCCAGGAAGTCGGGAATGGCCAATACATCCTCAACCCGTCTCAGATGGCGAGTATCAACTCTCAAGGTATAGAGAGAGTCTTTGCACTCACAACAGACAACCCGTTAAAGGTCACCTGGGATGACTTTTACAATCTCTCAGAGATTTCTGAGTCAAAGCAGAAACGGCTGGGCGGCGTGGCGATTGGAAATACCACGCTCGCTAGCTGTGGCAATGGAGACGATGCCTGGGTCTACTACAGCAGGTACGTAATGCATCGATAAAGGCTGGTGGAAAGTCGAGTGCAAGGTAGCTAATAACCTTCAGAACCTATGGCACTGGCAGAATCCTTGTGGAATTGAACCTCCAGACGTCACAAAGCATTGATCTCACAGGAACCTTTGGCCTCTGGATCAATTCCTTCGCCGCTGCTTGGTACGATCCCAATACTAAGAGACGATGCCTTATCTATGAGACAAGCTCACTTGTAGAGTTTGTTGTCGACAGTGGCTCACGTAGGTATTCCATCCCCATGCTTCGATGAACTCTGCTCAATATTGTACAGCTGCCGCGCCAATACAGTCAACAGGTGATATGCAACGCAACACCCCAGTGGCCGTTGCATTCGAGAATGGTAAAATCTTTCTTTACTACTGTGGGACAGGTGCTGCTGGTGGCATTAGGCGCACTATTAAAGCGAACAATACTTGGGGTAATTCCACGCTTATTGACAGCCGTACTATCTCCCAGGATAGTCAGCTCACCGTGGTGAGGGCCAGTGGTGTTAACCATTTATTTTTTGTGGCGAGAGATCAGAATGAGGAGGAGGATGATTACTTTGTGCACTATCGGGATGAGATTAGTTAGTCGATGTAATTGTTTGTGTGAGCTTAGTGAGACATGTGTTATCTGCAGTTAATCTTGTGGCTCAGAGCTTGAATTAGCAGAGAGGACTTAGAATTTAGTGGACACTTGGGTCATCTTCTGAAAGTGACAAACAGTATCACACATAGGTTGCGCGCTTAAATGCAAGATATAATGATCACAAGATTCACCTATGAAAATGTTGGCAGACTATCTCATCTTTGACGAAATTATAAGAAACATATTCAATGTTGATCATAACTGGCCGGACTAGAGTAAACACAGAACAACAGTTCATGCATTCTGGGGATTGCTCGGAGCCACAATCGGGTTTCTCAACTGCAAGAACCCCTCAACAACAGCATATGGTCCATCCTGAAACCCAGGCTTTATCAAATCACCCTTCTTCTCAATACCAAACGCATTATAAACAGCCCCCGGATCTTCATCTCCCGCTGCAGCCTGTTCCTCAGCATACGGCTGGAACCAACTCCAGTCTCCACCACCAAGAGAAGGCAGCAGCAAATTGCGCTTCGGCATGTCCCGAGAGTTCTTGGTGGTCAGTTTGTCTGCTTCAACATATCCCGGAACGTCGCTGACGGGCATAGTCAACGGCCCTGCGTGAAAAAAGGCTGTCATGGTGTCCATGGCCTTTTGCCACGTCCATGGTGGGAGGAGGAGCTCTGCTGCTGGGAGGAAGGATGAGTATGCGTGGATGGGTGTGAAGGGATCTAGTATGGCGCCGAAGACTGACATCTGGGAGTTGCGTTGGTTCTCGTAAGCTTGGGGCTCAATGGTGGGGGAGGAGCCAGAGAATGGGGGCTGCCAGAAGGGGCTGAAGATTGGATACTGCTCTGTATCAAGACGGATCAATGGCTCTGTGGAGTTACCATTTGGAACGAAAAAGGTCTTGATCTTGTCGTAGTTCAACTTCTCAGACCCAGGGTCCGTGGTGTCAAAGTAGCCTACTAGCCCATCGTAGCCAGCCTCTTCATTACCGAGGCGCAGCTGAAGCTCGTAATACGGAGTCTTGTCATCAGGATTCGATGGCTTCAGTAGTGTGCGCTCGGGATCAACAACCTTGACTTGGGTGCTCTGGATATCAAGAGGCGGTCCGCTCAGCTCTACGGACCAGCCAGTATTGACGAGAGCAAGTGGCTTTCCGACGATAGAGTTGAGGAACTGCGCGTAGGAATCAGGAGCGGGAGGAAGCTTCTGCTGTGCCGTCGTAATCATGCCCCAGAACCCAAGGAGGTACTTCGGGTCAGCCAGCTTGGAGATGAGGATATCAAGCTCGCGTGTATCAGGCGTGGGCTGTGCATCTGTTTCAGGGCTGAAGGGGAGCCATTTCGGTGACTGCAGAGTACCCAATGGCCCGCCAACACGAACCTCACGGTAGAATGTCCCGTCGGGGAGGAAGATCTGAATACCGTAGTCGGCATAGTTGGTGATGACCCATCCCCATATCGGTGTCTCCCATTCTGTGACAGGGCGCCACGTTGCAGGCCCCGGAGTGCCACCTGGGTCATCAGAAATACGTCTGACAAACTTGGCATTGATACGAGCTGGTTGATTCATCTGCGGGGGCAGCTGCAGAAACTCAGACTGCTCCGGGTTATCCTTAATCACCGTGTTGGCATACTTCTGCTCATCTAGTGTGACCTCCTGTGGAGCGTAAAAGTTGCTTATGCAGGGGTAAATAGGCGGGGGTCCATTCCTTCGTGGCCGCTGATCAATGGCCATGAGGGATTGGCCGAACTTGTCGATGACGTTGAACTTGCGGAACCGGAACTGGCCATGTGTAACGGGCTTGAAGGGGCAGTGCTCACTATCGGTGAAGTTGACCAGTGCGGCGTACGGCGTGAGTGCCGAGTTACCGTCGATGAGCTGGAGTTTATCCTGTGTCAGGCCAGCGGGGTCGAATGTTGCGGCCGTGAGGACAGAGCTGGACTCTCCGTCTGGACCGACGACTTTGTTTTCGGGCTTGAGATGGCTGCCCTCTGCTTGGGTGACGAGACCGCTGGTGAAGCCTGATAGTGGCGATGAAAGATAAGAGAGCTCACTGATGTTGGCAAGGAGATTCTCGCGATCCTCTTCTGGGAGATACTCATCGAGGATGCTGGGTGGTGTGTTCTGGAAGAGCTGCTTGATCTTGGCACCAAGGGCAAAGCTGGGCTGAGGCAGAATCAGAACTCGGCCGGACAAAACGCGAATGTCCTGCTTCTGATCACTCGAGAGAGCATCCCACAGCGGCGGAGGAGTCTCACTGTTGGATGGAACTGTAATGCCATATCTGACAAGCTTGTTCTCCGAATGGCGAGCGGTGTGTTCATCCAGGCTCCAGAACTCAAACGGGATATGGGTGTATTCCACCTCCCACTCAGCGTAGAGAGGAAACCATGGCTGTCTATCGCCCCACTGATCACGCCAGCGCTTGTCAGTTGTCAGTTGATCATGGAATTGAGGGTAGAATTTGCCTTCAGCTGGTGAGCCAGAGTCGCTACCTCCAGGTTGGAGGGCATGGAACTCTGTGATCAGCGCTTTGGCAGCTGCTGTCAAAACAGCGGACAGCTTGTCCTCGACTAGATCGGCGATAGTGCTGAGATTGCTGGGTAGGCCTTGATCCCCTGTGATGGTCTGATATGGCGCCCGAATACACAGGTTATCAAGATAGTCAAGCGCCCAGCCAGACGGGATACCACCAATAAGCACGGTAGGATCATTTCCGCCGTAGAAAACAGGCTCACTTGTCGACTCGACCGTGGCCAAGAGGCTGTTTCCCAACAGAGTGGTAACTTGCCCTTCAAGACTTTTGATTCGCGTCTGGAGGCCAGTTATACGGCTCGAGATCCGACCAGCTTCAGCCTTGAACCATTCATTCTGGTCATTGCCCTGGTTATCGCTCTGACCCAAATCGCTGGCATATTTCCACCAGAGGGAAAACATGTCCCAGCGATACTGCAGCATGGCTCTGTTGCAAGAGTCCAGAAGTGCCTGAGTGAGATTCAACTCATTGATCCTCTGAATAGCTGCTGGCTCAGGCTCCTTGGGCTGATTTGTGCTCTTGTCATCAGCTTCAGCGAAGAAATATCGCGTGCCACCCGGGGAACGATCATAGGACCAGTTGTAGACTGAGTCTTTGGCTTCTCTTTGACCCTCGACACCATCGTCGCGGGCTTGCAGGAGAGATTCAAGAGCGAGAATATCTTCCTCCAGTTTAGCGACGTCCTCTGAATTACCGCTGTTGTCACCGCGTGCGTGGCAGTAAGCGAGCAACGCATCCATTGGGGTTGTTCCTACCGCGACTGCAGCTTGTTTCTGATCGCGCAGACGATCATTGAAGCCGTCGGCTGGTACTGTCTTGGGTTTGTTCTCGTGGTCCCAGGCTACTTCGTACATGCAGCCGTGGCAAAGGATACGGATATGACTCTTGAGATCCATCCATGGGTCAGGATTTGCTTGATCTGTTCCTTGAAGGGTCATGAAGAACGACTGCAGGTTCTCTGCATGAGTGAAGTCGGTACCCGCTTTCCAGAGAGGATCAACCGTGTCTTTCCAATGCCATCCAAGGACGTAGTAGCTTGCCTTGGCGTAGTCAAGATACGATGGATCTGCTTTATCACCGTATTCGAAGTTATCCAAGATGCTGAAAACGTTGGCATTGTGCATCTGGAAGTCGGCAAAAAGCTGGTTTCCACTTCGAAGCAGACTGATATCTGGAGGTTCAACAGACGGGTTTGGATTCTCAGTCCACTCTGCAAGTGGCGTCTTGCGCCCGATGAAGACCTCGGCTTGCTCGTTGATGTTGACATCAGTGCCAGCATGGCCAAGCACAAAGGGAGCTAGATCAGTCTGAAGGTCAGTCTGGATGGGGATATCTTCCAAGGACCAGACATAATCGCTCTCAACGACCCAAGCCTCGTACTCGCGGTCCTTGAAAGCGTCTTTCGCGCTGGAAGGCTGGATACTATCCAACTCAAGCTTTCTGATGACAATCCAGCGAGTTGGCGGCTGCAGAAAGTCGGGAGTTTGATGAGGAGCGTCACTGGTCGTAGTGGACGCGGTATCGAGACCTCGTCGCTTTCTCTCTGCTCTTTTTCTAGACTCTGGTACAGAGCCTGTTGAAGAAACTCCCGATCTGTAGAACCGGGGGAGTGTCCAGTGGACATAGACGCCATGACGATGGCGGAGCGGTTTGGGGTCCGGACGACCGCCTAGGTCGGTCAATCGTGAGTTGATAGACGCTGGGGCGGTATTGTGCAGAGCGACGTGATTCTGTACATCGCTTTGGAGTAGGAAGCTGTCAAGCCTCAGGAAGGTGTAGTTGGGCTGAGTGATGGGACAGATGCGCGCGGTAGTATCTTGATCACTGCCCGTTCCGCATACAGCTGGATTGAGGACGAAGGCATCCAGTTGCATAGGCACTAGAGCGACGCCAAAGTCCTCTATTCCAGTTTCTTCACTCATGTTTATCGATTTGAGTAAGACGTTTGTGAGAATAGCCAAGATTGAGTCTGAAGTTGGCGACAATGACGATACTGAGTAAGATTTGATGTTTCAACTACGGCGCATTGCACTGAGACTCGGAAGCGACAGAATCAGAGGCCAACTCAAATTACCTCATCAACCAGGCATACCAAAACGCGAGCCAGCTTCGCAGGTACCGGCGGTTCCACATGGCTCTCGCCGAACCTCGATGTCTCAGTGTCTCTCATCTTTTCTCCCCCTCTTTTCTCTCTCTGGGCCAAGACAATCCGGCCCGCGTCGGATGCACAACAGCGAATCTGGATTTTCCTGCATGCTTGTGTCACAACCCGTCCAGCAATCGAGATGTCGGGGTCCTTTTGACCAAACCTGGATGTCGCATGCATATGCAGATCAAATGGAGGTACCGAGAGACACGGTGACAACAGCTTGTACTCTTTTCACACCCCCCAAAAAGAAGCTGCACAACTCCATGCATCGACATGCATTTGACGCAATATCCTGATGGTAGTTGATATCTTTCTTGTTGGAGATCGTATTCGGGAATGTGTTTCTCAGGGTCTATCTGGGTCCCCGTCACTGAGGAGCGACCAGAATCTCAACTTCTTTGCTTTCTTCTACCAGACGACCCATTTGCTACTTGTATTCTCATTTCGATCCTGATTACCAACGCGATTCCTGCTATTGCAATACACGGGTCATTACCAATAGCCTCCACTCTACTCAATCCTGATCCCCTGGGGTAGGAGGAGCAAACAGTCAACACCAAGTTCGTCCAGTCTTCAAGGCACAGAAACACCCCTCTTAAACATTCTTTCTCATTTAACGAGCAAGATGACGGTGTCTTCAGATCCCAACGATGGCGATAGCTCGAGCAGAGCCTTGGGGCAATCCGACGCTGCAACCTACAGCATCTATGCCAGCTCTGCAGGTCAACGTCCTGGCGAGAATATCCAAGTCCTGGCAGCTGGAAGTAACCTGGACAGGTTCGTAGCTGGCTTGAACACCAGCAAAGTCATAATCTTATCAAACACCCCAGACCCAACTGCGAGTTTCCATGATTCAGATGAGACCATAAAATGGTTCCAAAACATTGACGATGGCGCCAGTGGCTCCGTCACAGTCGATGGTTCAGCAGCAAAGAACCTCGAAAGCTTCCAATTCTCCCTCTCTCAGCCCTGGCCCCTTGAGTTCAGCTCTGCAAACGATGTACTGCTCTTCACATTCGGCTCTACTGGCCTTCTAGGCAGCGATGAGACGGGATCCCGAATCGAAGCACCGGGAATTGATGCGACTGGCAACATGCTGACTTGCGGTCTTGACTTTGCCAACATGAAAGACATTACCGGCGTCAGAGTCAAGGATGTTTTCAAGAATGCCAATAAAGAAGGCCTGACAGATTTCATCCCTCTTGCGGTCCTTGCCCTTGAAGTGACGCTGAACAGGCCTCCCGCTGATGCAAAACCCATGAGGAACGCTCTCTGGTACGTCCCATCAGCGGACAAACGACTTGAGACTCGTCTACAGTTCCAGCTCTCAGATTTCGAGGCATTACAGGAGCTATTCTCAATTTCTCTGAACGGTCTTGTTATTGATAGTGCAGACGTGGTCTACAAAAGCAAGATGCAATTGGCCGCGACGGAAAACGGCGAGATGCCTCTTTTCGATGGTCAAGTGACATTCAGCATCGAGTGCTCCCTCAACAGCGCTGGGAGTACAGTCTCTATGCTCGCTGGCGTTGAATTTACCTCTACCACGATTGACTTTACCTTCATGTTCTTGTCCCCAGATCCTCTTGCAGGAATACTGCGATGGCTGGCTGGCCTTGCCGACGACGAAGAGGTTGAGACGGTCGTCAATGACATCCTGGGCAAGGAAGAAGGTGGCAAAAAGGTTCTACCTGCTGCAAATCTGCGAAGACTACGTATTGGGCTTGACACAAGAAAGGATCCGCAGAATCCTAGACTTGGCTCCTTTTCTTTTGACATCGAGGTCACTGCGAATTTTGGGCGTGGAGATAGCAACGATACTCCTGTTTTCTTGATCACGTACAACTGGAATCGGTCCATCGGTACTTATGGCACTCTGACTGGACAGTTGTGGAACAGTAAGTGATCCGCCATCATGGTTTCCGTGGACTTTGCTGATTGAAGCCATCTACAGACTTTGATACGTCAGGTGATCTTGACCTGGAACCAGAAGGAGAGAAATGGGCTATTCTCAAGCCCTTGACAGCCTCGCCTGCGTCCTCCATTGATATCGCCACTCTGGTTCCCGGCCAGACGGTAGTCGATATTCCGGACACTCTGCCTTCCCAGATAACGCTTGCATCCATTGAGTTATCCCAAGAATCGTTCTGCCTTCGTTGTCAAGCTACTGCAATCCCGCCTACCCCAGGTTCAGCCCCCCAACCCTATCTCGGAGAAGTCGTTCTCGCCACTTACTTCAGCTGGGGCAGAAGTTCAGTCTTCACCTTTGACGTTGGGATATCCGTCCTGATTGAACCCCCAGAGGATTCTGAGTTTGATCTCCCGGCTACATTCGTCGGAACTCTCGGCTACGACTCTTCAAAGAAGTCTTGGGAGCTCACAGCTTCTATCACTGGATTGTATGCTATTGTGCTAGCAGAGTTCTTCCACGATGATGAGAAGGACCACGTTGGACCGCTGATCAATTCCATTGCCATCAACACTTTGTCTGTGATCTATACGTACGAGAGACAGAGTGGAAATACTGCCAAATCGGTGGGAAGCACGTTTACTATCTCTGGTGACTTGGTCGTTGCGGAATTGAGATTGAACCTCGACTTCAAATACACCTCTAGTGGTTTTACTTTCTCAGCGGCATTGAACCCAGCTGACAGGAATGCCACTATCGGGGATATCTTGACTGACCTCCTTGGTACTTCATTTGATATACCGGACTTTGTATACGACACCCTGATAGTCGGTAACAACAAGGACGCGTTCCGCATTGATATCCAGAAGATGAAAGACGCTTCCAACGTTGAGTCATTCCAATTCCTCGCCAGTCTTAACATTGGACATCTCCAATTCCTTTTCTCTCAGCTCCACAGCACCAAATGGGGTCCCAGAGATCCTTCGAAGAGACTGTTCAAGGCAGCCATCAATGGCTTCGGCGACATGGAACTTGAGATTCCTCTCGTCGGCACATTGTACCAACCACTTGATGAGCTGTACTTCCTCTTCGCCCAGGACCCCAAGCCGCCAAATCGACCTGGACAACTCACAGGCCTTACGCGCGAGGATATTGGTCTACTCAACAGTGGCGTGTTGCAAAAGGATCAGCTGCTTGTTGCTGACAAGATCAAGGAGACAAAACCAACAGACCTTCTGGTGCCTTCTGGATGTCACTTCGCTGTCATCATACGCAACGTCGCCAAGGGTGAGCGCGTGTGTCTGTTAAGCTACAGCTTTATGAAGCCGCAGCCTTCGTCATCACAAGCACTCGTCTCTGGTGCGGATGATGAGGGGAAAAGACGCACTGAGGAGGAGATGGACGATGGAGGTCCTAGTGCCCAAGCGCCATTCAAAAAGGATACAGGGCCTATAGCCATCAGCAACGTCGGTCTGAAATACAAGGCCAAGACGCTGTCGATAGTCTTTGACGCGACATTCCAGCTTGGACCGATTGGCTTCTCTCTTCTTGGCTTCACGCTCAATACTCGTTTCAAGAGCCTAGACGAGCTGCCAACAATCAGCGTCAACGTCGATGGTTTGGCAGCTTCCTTTGATAGACGTCCTTTGACAATCGCCGGAATCATCGTTCACGGGAAAGATGGCACCATGGATTACTACGCCGGCGGCCTTATCATCGGCTTCCGTCCCTACCAGTTCCAAGCCGCCGGCTTCTACGGAGTGATCACTCTCGCGGGTAGTAATAGGAGCTTCCAGAGCGTCTTTGTATTTGCAAAGCTCAACGGCCCGCTCATGACCCTTGCCTTTGCCGAGATCAGCGGCATTTGCGGTGGCTTTGGCTACAACAGCAGCGTTCGCTTGCCTTCTGTAGACCAAGTGTCCGATTTCCCCTTCATCAACAGCGGCCGTCTCAGCAACAATGAAAATGCGATGGAGGTCCTCAAAGAGCTTGTCGACCCTTCCGCCGGAGGATGGTTCCAGCCGCTTGACAGCACCTACTGGGGTGCTATTGGTATGAAGCTCTCTGCGTTCCGTATGCTGAGCGTCGATGCTGTGGTTGCAGTGCAATTCGGTGACTCGGTAAAACTTGGCATCTTTGCAGCAGCGACTTGTGACATTCCTTCCTCCAATGCGCGACTTAAGCTTGCCCATGCGGAGTTGGGTATCGCCGCTGTCTTGGACTTTGACTATGGCTTCTTCAAGATCGAGGCGCAGCTTTCACCTCGCTCCTACATCCTCAGTCCTAACTGCCATCTGACCGGCGGCTTTGCCCTTTGTTACTGGTTCGATGCGCCTCTCGCTGATAGGGCCAGAATTGGAGACTTTGTGTTCACCTTGGGCGGATACCACCAAGCCTTCCGCGTTCCTGTTGGCTACCCTAACCCCCCTCGACTCGGTATCAGCTGGAACTTGGGCGGTGGCCTGTCGATCTCTGGAGAGGCATATTTCGCCATCACTACCAAGGCGTGCATGGCTGGTGGACGTCTCCATGCTGCGTTTAAAGCAGGACCTCTTTCTGCCTGGTTTGACGCCTTTGCCAATTTCCTTATTAATTACCGGCCCTTCTACTTTGACATGTCAGCTGGTGTGTCTGTCGGAGTCGGCTTCAGCATCGACTTCTGGTTCATACACATCCGTATTTCTGTCCAAATTGGTGCTGAGCTGTACCTCTGGGGCCCGCCAGTTGCTGGTCGCGTCCATGTTGACTTCTGGATCGTCGCTTTCGACATTAACTTCGGCGACCACCATCCCAAGATTGACCCTGTCAGCTTGTCCGATTTCTACGAGCTTGTGCTTCAGGATTCACCCGCTTCCTCTTTTGCGTCTGCCACTTCTCTGATTACAGGCAAGCAGCAACAGGAGCCCATCGCGGCGTCGACATTGAGTAGACCCAAGAATGAAGCACACAACTTCCTTGCTGAGTCTGGACTCCTAAACCCCGATGACCAACCGGAACGAGGACAGGAAGACCCTTGGACTGTCCGCGCTGGCACATTTGTCTTTGTTGCGGAGTGCAAGATGGCCATAAGCACTGTTACAACAAGCGACAACGGTGCTCCAATTTTGCAGGGCAATGACGTCTTCAGCAAGCCAATGGGAATGACAACGCCTATGGCTTCGACCCTGCAAATTCAAGTCATTCATGAGGATGGAAGTAACCCCGAAGAGGATTGGCAATTTGAGAGATATACCCAGATGCTTCCAAGTGCTCTGTGGGAAAGATGTAAGTCCTGTGTACCATCTTCAGACCCGTAGCCAACCAATTCCAGATGACCGCAGAACCGATCCGCGCCAGAGTGGAAACAACGTCAATGATCTGCTCAATACCAATAACGGTAGCCCCTCTCTCATGACAGGCGTAAGGGTCACTGCACCCAAGCCAGCCATGTCTCCGGACCCATTCCCAGCCTACAAGGTTGCAGATGCAGACCTCCAGGAGCTAACTTCCAAACGGAATTTCCCTGGTATGGTTACAGCTGAGGATGCATGGGCTCCAGTCAAGCCGAACGATGACATCAAGCAGAGATATGAAGACATTCATGAGGCTTGGGTAAGTCCTGCGCTGGAGGAGAAGGGCCAGCAAGACTTTGTGGGTGCTTTGGCCCAGAGCTTGGGATGGAGCGATGTGGGCCGGTTGAAGAGCATCGCTGGAATTCCGGAGAGACTGAAGAAGGGTTTTATGAACATGTATGTCGCATCTCCGCTGTTGGCTGCCTGAGTTTATTCATGGCAAATTACACGATTGAAATTGTTTATTGGTAGTAAGTAGTAGTGAATTGAAACCTTTTCTATTTCTTATGCCCATTGCACGATTGTGGTCTCAGTGTCCGTGACTCAAAAGCATTATTCAAAGGTATCCAAACCCTCATATACATCAAGCCATTTAAAGCTTGAGTCGCGGGACTCTACGCTTTTAAATCAGCTCTTGTCTTACAGTGTAGGCCGAAAGTAGAATGTGGTTGATCAAGGCGCTTGATGTCCAGTATGATGTTTGTACGCCTTTCTAACGTTTGTTTATTCCACCGAGACACTGCGTTTCGACCACCCTATCATTGACAGACTTAATACCAGAGCTCCAAGGCTGCCTTGACGGTCATACCCAGGAGCACGACTGAACTTGCAGCAAAGGTGGGGAAGCGCAGAAGCAGGTTGTTGTATGATACGTGAATGAGACTGTGGATAACTCTGAGGCCGACATATGTCCAAGCCAAGCCCACTGTGACTTTGTCCTTCACATTCAACAGAGTGAGGGCTGCTACAGCGGCGTAGAACTGCGTAGGTTGCTCGAGAAGGTTGTTGTAGTTGTCGGCGGGCCACTGAACGAATGCAGGCAGCTTCTCTGCTTTCTGCTTCTTAGCAGTCTCTGGGTCGAAGGAGACGCCGTATTTGGAGAGCGCCGGAGTCCGGCGCCAATATAACAGGCCTTCCATTGCGAATGTCCAGGTACTGAGACCGACGAGGGGACCAAGGAGAGGCAGCTGCTGAATAGAGGGAGACATGATGGGTGTTTGAGAGTTGTTTGGTAGATGGAGAAGTGGTGGTTGTCTTCGGTAAACATATGCTGTGAAGAGAGTTGTGAATGAATAGCAACAGAACTGAATTAATATTGACTTATATAATTATCGCTTTGCTATGCGAGTATAACCTTAAATGGTAAGTGTCACTTAAATCCGCTAAGTCCGCCATGTCCGTCAAGCTTAGTAAGTCTAGTAAAGAAATTTCGTACCCAAATTTATAATCAGATTCCACCAAGCTATATTATGGGGTAAACATGAAACGATTTCATTGGGGCTTGACCCCCAAGCGAGTGTATGCCAAGAAGATAATTGGCGCAATTGTGGAAATCGCTAATGTCAGGCCAACGTCGATGCTCAAGCCAAACCTGCTTCTTAGTGGAACAAATCCTTCAGCCTCGCCATAGAGTTTGCCCGTCTTTTAATGACGCAACGAAATCTTTTGAGCTTTATAGCGCTGATTTTCATGGAGGTGCAGACTCCGTGGCCTATTGATAACTTTCCGTGCATGGCATTAAACGTGAACCAGCCTACCATGCGTGCATAGTAATAAGCACCATGTGATCTATGACTGAAGATCTTAATGATGCTTCTAGTCGTTCTATGATTCGATTTTGTGCTGAGTTGTACGAATATATGTATGTGTATTAAGACTTGCCAGACTATTGTGTTCAAAGTTCCGTCAGTCGTAGTTAGGCGCCCTACTTGGTCCTGCCTTTTCCTTCTCTGCTGATGTCGTACTTCCATGATGTTCTTTGGCTCCAAGCTCAAGGTCCTGACTATGTAGAGACTCCCCTCTTCCTTGTATACTTCCAGTGCCATTTGCATGGGCTTCGCAGGGACCAAGGACATAAGCATCTTCTCCATGGACTGCATCATCTCCCAAAAGCAGTTGCTCCTCTGTCATTCTCAGTGGAATTCGCAGCACGTGCTTGATGAAGAGCATGATGAGGCTGGTCCAGACAAGGTTCCAGCCGATGATGAAGCATGCCCCTGCCATCTGGTATCCAAGCTGCATACCGTTACCAGCGATGGCTCCTCCGGGATTGGTCAGACCGAAGGCTGCGCAGCCATCCACGGTAGCCCAAAGACCTGTACCGAACCCTCCAACTACACCAGCCACCATGTGCGTATGCATAACACCAAGCGTATCGTCGAAGTTGCGCTCAAGAAAGGTCATCTTCTTAGCCAAGATATTCATGGTGAACCACGGAACGGAGCCGGAACCAACACCAAGCAGAATCGCGCCCCAGCCTGCCACGACGCCAGCGGCTGGTGTAATGGCGACAAGCCCAGTGATCATTCCCTGCACGGCTCCAATGACGGAAGGCTTCTTGAAGTATGCAATGTCCAGACCAGTCCAGACAAGCAGCGAGACGGCAGTGCAAAGATTCGTGTTCAACACTGCGACTCCTGCGTCAGCAGAGGCTGCGTAAGGATCGCCGCCGTTGAAGCCGTTCCAGCCAACCCAGAGAATGCCCGCTCCGATAAGAACTGCCAGAATATTGCTTGGCCTGGCATCTGCACGGTCACTGCTGAGTCGTGGTCCGATCCAGTAACTACCGATAAACCCTGCTGTACCCGATGAGAGATGAATGACATATCCTCCAGAATAGTCGATGACTCCGAGCTTGAAGAGGAAGCCCCCTCCCCAGATGGAATAAGCGCCGACAGTGTAGCATAGAGTCAACCAGAGAGGAACATATATCATCCAGGCGTAAAAGTTCATTCGACCGAGAAAGGCTCCAGCAGTAATGACCAAGGTAATGGCGGCAAAGACGAATTGAAAGTACACCATAGTGGCCATGGGAAATTGCTGACCAACACCGATGGAGGGGAGGTATGATTGCTTGAGCATCGTGTCAATACCGAGGACATTCCCGGGTTTAGCAACGAATGGGAGCATGTACTCTCCAAAAGAAGCTTTGTAACCCCAGAGAACCCAGCAAAGCAGCACCGATGCAAACGCGTATAGGGCCATGAAAGCGCTGTTGATGGCCCATTTTCGTTTCATGATTCCTGCGTAGAGAACCAGGAGACCGGGGATCGATTGTAGCGCTACCAAAGAGGCGGCTGTAAGTTGCCAGGCATTATCACCTACGCGACGTCAGCCATGAACGAGGGATGGTTTCCAGCTTGGATATAGTGTTCAAACACTTACCACTTCCAACACCGGCTTTGGGGTCGGGCGTCCACCAGACGACGGACGTCGCGGCTGCAGCAGCGGAAGCCGTAGTTGTTGCCATGGCTCACGGTACTAAGCACTGTACTGCGGTCAAAGTGAACACAGCTATCTGACTCGGGCGGAGGCCGATTGAAGAGTCTTCAGGTACCGGGAATAATATTTGTTGTCCTGGCCGGTGTATACAATGGCGTCGTGAAGGAGTATTTATTCTGGTACCAACTCGGGAACTGAGCATGCCGATCAGACTTACTCCGTATTATCAGTTGCATTTAACGTTTTGATAGTGGGGATTTACGTAAATCGAAATAATCAAGATTGTCGATAAGTATCCCCCAGAGAACGCAACGTGGATTTGTGCCGAGTTGCCGCACTTGTGTGCCAGGTAAAGCTTCGCAGCTAGAACAAGGTTATCGCAGCATTTTGGTTGGCGACCGCGTGTTCGATCTTAAGTCGGAACAGCTGTCAGGCTGGTTAAGTTAGACCAAGGGTTGACGTCACATCAGAAAACCACTTGACCTACGTATTCGACGCGGCCTTGACACTGCAGTCAACTTTGAAGCTCGTTTATTTTGTCATCGAGTCCCAACCATACAGCTTCTGCAAGCCTTGGATAAGCGATAAGATTGCCCATGGGGAAGTGTCTTGGCAAAAGCTTGTCAAAGTCTAAATATAGATGCAACCGTGGTGGGTAAGATCGAACCAGTTGTCGTAAATTGCTCAATACCTACGCTGTAAAGATATCTTATCTCGGCTTACACGGCAGCTCCTCGTGGCTTCAGGACAGGCTAGTCTAAATTTTGACGAAGCTCAACCTACTGTGGCTTGTGAACTGATAAGACGGACAGAATGAGGGTTTAAGAGCCTGATAAGATACAAGATCAATTAGCGATGGATGGTATGTCGTTTGATGGGGGGGCGATCTGGCCAGTAAATGGCGTTTGCCTTATCTGGCGCTAGTACACACTTAGCGCTCTATAGCCGACTTTGCCGAGTTGCAATAGACGACCTGTATTAAGAGTTGAATTAACAATTTATTAAGGAATTTAAAATCTTTACATTGATTTCCATTAAAAATTCCTTATAATAATCAGTCACTAAAGTATTTCCAAGCAACACTCATTATCGCTTAGGGCCTTGTCCATGATTGCGGTAAATCATATTTCACTATCGTCAAAAGTGCCCCAAGACACGTGCCCCTGGAGCAAGCCGTAGTTATCTCAAGAAAAAGCCATTTACAAACATTCTTTTGATATTAAGTCAAATAAGCTTGCTTGGCTGTCAATTGGCATAATGTTAGATATTGCTTTGAGTTTGCTTCTGGCAGCTCTTCTGTTCCCCTTACCCTAGACTGCCAGAGTGCTTATTAGGCTGGTCTGATTCAATGCTTGCCTGTCATGGAGTACCCCGCATAAAACCACCAATCCGCCCTACCTCCGCGCTGCCAGGGGTATTGTTGTATTATTGGATAGATAAGAACTGGGGGAACATGTTTGCATTCTAAAACCCATTTTATTTAACTCACAATTAATTGTGTCACTTCCACGAAGATATAGCACGCCTCCCGAAATTCGTATCATCGGCAGCGGCCTGGCTGGTCTGGCATTGGTCATAATACTCGGAAAGCGTAATGTCTGAAAGTGGAGCAGCGAACATTGCTTCCTGATGTTTTGTCTTAATGACAGTAATAATATTATACAACTCCGTAAGACAATCGCTGGTTTCGAAACTTGCAGTTGGAGGCCGTCTCATCAGTAAGATGCAAGACAATGCGACACTCAATAAACCTGCAACTCTTCCCAGACTTCCCGTCTCTATGTCACAGGATATCTTGAGGTTCTAACACTTCCAACAAATGCCCAGGGTGGTGCGCTACTGACCTCTTTCACCACCATCGCCCCTTTAGGAGGCTCTCACTTGTCTACTTGCACGAATTCTGTATCTTCTCTCGTGAGTCCTGTGTTTGAACCTCCATAGGAGACAAGCTTCTTCGAACCGCAAGGTCTGTTATACTTTTCAGCACCATCCCGCACGGGGATGTCCCATCGCCCGAGCACCCAATCATTTCCACCTAGCGCCATACGTAAAAGGTGTAGCTTGTTGTCTCCCTGTCTTGCCCTCTTAGCTATTGCATCCCGCTTACAAAAGTCATCGATAAAGTCCGCAATGCGCTCAAGCGAACAATCTAACAGTATTAGGACAGCGCTGACGCAAATAATGATGAGCACTCCACAGACACTGAAGTTTTGTACCTCGCCGACGGCCTGTACTAGCTGGTTGGTGCACTGATCCCGCTGATGACGGCTTCTAGGCGGTTCAACGTATCCGTAGGCACCTAAGTCAGCTGTGTTGGAGGCAAAATCGATGACGTACGCCTGTAGCATGGCAAGATTGGTCTGAAACCAGCCAATCACCTCAGTCTTCCACTGATCGTCAGGCAGGCCGACAGAGACGTGCCCGGTAACCATATTGTTGGCCCACAGCGCCGCTGTACCGAGGTTTGCCACAGTTGTATATGTATTCGACTGTGCTAGTGCATAGAGAATCCGATCAGCTGTCGAGACCTGGGCTGTACTAAAGTTCAGGGCGGGACTCCTCAAGCTGTTAACAAGGCTAAGAATACCGGATGCGGAAGTGCATGATGCAATGGATGGATTGCACAAAACATATTGATCGGCGCAAACCATAGTATCGACGTTGCGATCAGAGACAAATATAGTTAGACCCTGATAGGTTATATTCCGGGTTCCGTTGGCAGAGAACCAAGGATCATTAACTGGAGCCAGGTAGGCAATGTTATTTTGACTTAAGAAATGAAGAGTGATATCGGCGTCAGTGGAGCTGAAGTCCGGGATTGGTTTCCAAAGTAATTTGTTGCTCGACAAGCTGCTATTTGCGAATGTAGGATAGGACCTTGAACTCATCAGCATGGGCAAGAACACAGCCAGTTGTTCCATCTTTCTTATAGTCGTCAGTGAAAAGGAAAGTCGGGGCAACGTACTGTATCAGATAGCCGATTCCAGTCTTGTTTCCGATTGCTTTGTTGTACCTGTATGTATAATCCGTCAGGCCATGAATTGGCCCAAGGAAAAATTTCATAAAAGCGCCGTCTTCATTGTGACTTTCCCGGACGAGGTCTTCCGTATGTACAGGAGAGCACGTTAGGCTCAGTTGTATACTGACTCGATCCTCAAACTTGGCATTGATTCCCAGCATCTCATGAGAGTCCAGAAAGGCAGACGTGATGCTAAACGCTTGATCAGGTCCCGAAATGCAGCGGTTACGAGCCGGGATAGGGCAAGGTGCGGAACTACTAATATCGTATGGAAGAGTTGGTCGGATAAATATCGATGGAGCTATCGAGCTGCTAGTATTGGCATAGAAGTTGGCGACATGGCTGCGGGCCCGACGAGTGTCGTTTTGCCCTTTTGCCCCCATCGCGCTCAGAGCTGGGAGATCCTCGTCACTGGTGGTGTTGAATAACCAGAATCCACAGTTGCTTGGCTGTACTCTTGCAACTACAGTGCTGTATGCTTTGTTGGCCACTCTCGAGGTGAACAGCGCGGCGATGGCGAATCCTGCTGAGACTATCAGAGCCGGAACTGCCACAGAACATGTCTGCTTGACGATTGGCTTTTTGCAGTTCTTTGACCAAGCTTTATGGATCTTGAAAGTCTCCCACAGGGTCTGAGTAGCACCTGCAGAGTTCCTCAGACTGACCTGGTGCTGCAGGTCGAGAGCACTAGGGTTTTCGTTTCTCGCCTTCCAATCATGAAGAGCAAAGGCAACGATGTTCCAGAAACTTGAACCGGCGATGGTTACGAGGATAGTGAGGCCTGAGAGGAGGAGGTTGCTGTACTCAAGCGGCAAGGTCAGAGTGGCGGCCAAGACTGTAGTTTTTGAGTGGTCCCACCACAGCCCGCTTGCGATGGCAACCATTTTGAAGCCTAAAAGCTACTTGAGATATCAAATTGTGTTTGGAAGGTAAGATTTTGTTTAAAAGCGTGTTCAATGGGTCGGAATAGAAAACGAGAATGTATCAGAAAACTCATAGGAGGGTGATGGCAGAACATTGATCTAGATAGTATGTAGGTAGGTGCAATAGTTGGAGGACATAGGGCTACCAGCTGTTAATTAGATGTCACTAAAACGACTGTTGGGAAAAGAAAGATGACAAGTAATACTGTGGCGTCGCTGTGTAGCACGAGGAGGTTGGTCATTGAATGACAGTGAGACATTTCAACACACCACCATGAATTACGAGGATCTTCCAATTTGGTATCTAAAATAGAACCTCGCTCGAATCAAACTAAGCTGGCCTCTAACGTAAGACTATACCAGCCATAACCAGCAGTAGATAGCGTTCATCATTGGCATTTGCGCCAGCACTGGCCTTTTCTAGCAAATACAACAAGGCTTGCAAGGTATTACGAATTGCTCTTGAGTAGGTAGCTCATTTGCGTTTCTTTCATTGTGTTGCAACAGGCTGAAGTGGTGGCTTAATCAATTCTGCCTCACGGGGCATTAATTTCCTGTGCGATTCCCTAATAGTATTAGAGTTGTTATCTCACATTTTCAGCTTTGTCCACTCCAATTCTGTAGGTGGTCCACATGACATGTAACAACCTTGTTGCTTGAACGCCCAACAAAATGGAGACCATCTTCAAGTAGCCAGATTGGTCGCGATCCCGCCATCTTCAGTTGTGGCAAAAGGGCAAGTCATAATTCACATCATGTATGCACATGCATGGCCTACCTCGAGTACACTTGTAGATAGTCAGATAGGTACCTCCTCAAAGACATGTTATGTTGCCTAGAATAGTTGACGCTTAAGATATCCTCATGAGACACATTGAGCTAAATTACCAAATACTCCACGTTAGCAAGTACTTAAACCCCTTTTTCCCAAACGATATAGTTCTAGAGTACTTCATGAGAAAATAAATCTTGGCAAAGTATGGTACCCTCAAGGCTAATACAGCGATGATACAGATTGCCAATAAGAGTGGGGAACCGGGGAGCCGGGGAGGACGGTTACCAAACTGTCAGGAACCTTGCATCGCCAGTTCAGCCTAAGGCAGAGGTGAGATAAAGTATAATATAAATAATCATAAAGATGTATATTCATTAACCAGCATAAGTAGTATCTAAGTTAGTAGTCTGCCTAGCGTTCAGCCTAATGTAAGGATGTCACACTTTGTATGGTGTATGCAAAGATGGCTAAGGCATCCATCTGTGTTAAGCATTTCCGTGGAAGTAGTTGGGAAATACCAAGACAGCCCGCTGTAAGCTTTACCACTTCTGTCTTCGCCTTTCAATAGCGCTGTTTACACCCTGGTCGTCTCTCAGAACTTTATGCATGTACAAGCCATTTTATGCTTTTGTAATTTAAAATTTACCTTAAGTTGTTGAGTTTGTAACCTGGTCGTAAGCCTGAGGAGCATCATAGCCTGCAGTACTTGTTAATACTTGTCCTTAGTTAGATACAAAACAAGTTCCAAGGCCTTCCGAAATGTATCTCTATGCCCATCCTCCCTTGATTCACCTCGCCAAGCAATAAATCCATCAGGCCGGACAAGGATAGCCTCGCCTTCAGTGATCCTACAAATACGACTGAAAGTGCCGTCAGAATCCCTCAAGGTACCATTATCCGTGTTAATACTGTAGAAGTCTATCTCAGGTGTCATACCCTTGGCCGCTTCGATCCACGGTGATGATTGACCAGTGGCGAAAAGAACGAAATTTCTTTGGATCAAGTCCAAGGTCGATATCTGGGAATTGTCTCGTGTAAGTAGTATATGTGGGAGCCGACTACCTGGTAAGGCGAGTGGTGCATGTGGGTCTTCGTATTTGTCGGTGTTGGTGTTTTGGATGTTTGCCGCAGCGACAGAAGGGTAACGATACCCTATCTCACAAATAATGTCGGGAAGTTCTGGTTCATCTGGGACTGTGCGAAAGACTCGCTTCTGAAGCCTTGAATAAGCCTGGCGCATCGTGAATTCAGCGACCGGCTGTCGCTCAGTATCGTAGGTTCGGAGAAGCGAAGTGCCGGCTCTTTCTCGTAAGACATATGCAAGCTTCCATGCCAGGTTGTGAACATCCTATGTAAGTCAGCTTGCTTGACTGCTTTCTTGTAGGGTCAAAATCAATTACCTGTATGCCGGTGTTACCACCCATTCCCCCAGTAGGGGGCATTACATGTGCTGCGTCTCCCGCAATCAAGACACGGCCATTTGTGCTTATGAAGCGCTCGGCGTTGAAGGCAGCCACCGACCAGTACGAAATGGAGTCGACTTTGATATCGATATCGTCCTCAATACCGGTCGCCTCCTTGAAATATTGCTTCGCGTCTCGTTCGGAGACTGAGTCCGGCGTAAAGGACTTTTTATCGCCTGCTCGTGTGACAATCATAAATCCAGCCTTGCCTCCGCTTTCGAGGCGAAATCCAGCGTCTATAGCAGGGTTGGAAATATAAGTGACGCCATGCTTAGCACGAGTCCCGAGGTATGGGGTCAGATCGGCTCTGAAGTTGATAGAAATACTCTCGCCGAGGACCCCGGGGCCTTGCCATTCGATACCCTCTTTTCTCCTTGTCGCACTCCTATTTCCATCGCAAGAAACTAAGTACTTGCTCTTGAATTTCCTGTAAGTCTTTGATTGAACGTTTTGCACCACGACGAGTACACCGTCCGATAGCTCCTCATAATGGACAACAGTCTCGCTAAACTCCTGAGCGGCACCAAATTCCTTTGCCCTTTTGCGCAGAAGCGGCTCAAACATGTTCTGGGTAAGCCATAAGCGGCGACTCGGGCTAGCCTTGGCAACTTCTGCTGGATCACTTTCTTGCATACTTGCCAGGACCTTGCCTCCTACTAGCTTCTCAACAATGATCATTCCTGCGTCAAGATCAAAGTTTGAGGCGCTTTCTGAACGGAGTTCGTCCTCAAGGCCTAACTGGCGGAAGATCTCTACGGAGCGCAGAAGAAATAAGGCTGCGCGGGGGTGTATAGCAGTGGAGGGATGGCGGTCGAAGGATACTGACTTAATACTGGAAACGGTCAAAAAGGTTGGTATGTGAGTTGAGTGTTGGAGTCTTACCCATGGTATCCTAACAGCACGCCCAAAGTCATTCCTACCATACTTGAGCCGATGATAATAACGGGCCATTCTTCTGGCTCTAGTGGAATCTCCGAATGATCGAACGTCCCGAATTCGAACAAAGTCCTCTGACTCTGGGTTATTGGAATTGTATCATCGAATTGGCTCGGTCCGTTACGACTGGAATAAACATCCTCGGAAGTCATTTTTGGGCTGTTAAAGCTGCGAGATGTTGAAGCTGCAACCAAGTGTTTGGCTGATGGCTATTCTAGAGTCGATAATACTGGTCACGTCTCTTTTATCCTACGTACCGATGATACGTAGCGGACATTATAACATGCCGTGCCGTGCCGTGCCGGTTATTGCCTCCGCATCTGGTTTCGCCGACTCCACATCCCGAATACTCCACCGCTCCTCCACACTTTACTCTGCTAAGGTCCATCTACTATATAGCCTAGAACCTTTACCTTTAAAATACAATTCTGAGTCTTATATATAATGATTACTACCAGTCTTCTTCATTTCCAAAAGCCAACTTCACAAGGCACTCCTGCGGCACCGATTCATAGTACAGTGAATAGCTACAACCAGGATGACTCTGATTCTATATGGATCGCGGCAATCAACATGCACTCAACGAGTGCTGCTGGTCCTTTCTGAACTAAATATAACTGATTACCGACTGTCCAACATTGACATGCAGAAGGGGGAGCATCTCGTAGGAAGCCATATATTCATTGATTGTGCCGTTACTTATCCTCTTTAGGAACCCAATTATGTGCAAGACTTCCACCCATTCGGACGAATTCCGGTTCTCGACGATGACGGGACTCGATTATTTGAGTCAAGGGCGATTTGCAAGTACTTGGCTGCAAAGTACGGACCACATACCCCTTTGCATAGACGAACGGAACAAAACTACGCGGAGCTGGCGACTTACGAGCAAGCTGCTAGTGTGGAATATTCTTACTTCGATCCAACAATGAAATCTTTGGCATATGAGAAAATTTTTAAAAGGTACTTGAGTCTTTAAATTTCTTTCGTATAATGCTTCGCACTTACACGGGCAGGTTTATGGGGCGAGGCGATCCAGACAGGGCTGCAGTTGAGCGATTAGAAATCGACTTGACCAAGGTCATGGACCACTATGAAAAGGTTCTCTCTGGTAGCGAGCACCTTACCGGAAATGTGAGTTATCGTTATCTTCCGAATAGAATCCTTGTTAAATGTTTTCAGCAATTTTCGCTGGTTGACATATACCACATCCCTTGGTTTCAATTTCTGTCGCGTCTGGAGTTGCAGGATGAGATTACAAAAAGACCATCATTGAGCGCATGGTGGACTCGTGCCAGCAACCGGCCAGCGTGGAAAGATTTGACAGCGTCAAATTAGAAAGATGATGGATTGCAATTGCGGTAACAGTTTGTATCATTAAATACTAGCTGGCTGTGCTTTTTCCACGATAATTCTAACTTAGCCTACATGGGCATGGTTCTCATGAGGTCAAATACAAGCTACCCTGCCTTGCTAGTGATGTTTTCCTTAGCGGTTATGTGTCGGCAGCATAGACAATTTCTCATTCTGAGGTATTGGTAAACATGCTATCGACAATCGTAAAGATTTACACTCTTGCCATGATGATTCCGTTCTTGGGCCACGTTGACTCCTCGGAGCAGGGCTATAATTATTTCCAGGCTTTATCTTATTCTACGACTGATGGACTAGAATAGCCCCTGCCCATAGAGACCCCGGATTAAGACGGTCCGGATAAATATCCATCATGCGGTCATATAGCTCTTTGGCTGTCTCAGTCTCAGCGCTCAGTCTCTCAAAGTCCTCCAAATATGTCTTGGTATCCCCAATTGCCTCAAACCCAAATGGACGGCTCGGATCACTATGCCCACCCACGACATGCTTAGGATGGAGTGCGGCGATGATATCCAGTGCTTTAATCCACTCACTCCGTTTGATAGCTGTTCCGGACTCTCCCAAATATGGGTGAGTGTTTGCGTATACAGCATCGCCAGTCACGGCAAGTCGAAGAGAGGGAACCCAGAGAGTTGTCGTATCATCAGTATCCGTATGGCCCGTCCTAACCACCTCCAACCTTTCACCTTCTAGTTCAAGATAGTCTTGGTGAAGAGGCTCCGCAAGCCGCAAATTGCGCGGAATTTGCCCCGGAAATAGCTTTTCCCAAAGCCCAGTCATCCGTTCTGGTGCAGTCTCTAGCCTCATCCTGGCCACGATCTCAGGCGTTGCGACCAAGGTTGCTTTGGGATATCGTTCCAAAATGGGCGCGCTACCAAAGAAGTGATCGCCGTGGGCATGCGTGACATAAATATGGGTGATATTTTTGCCACTCTCAACCACCCAGTCTAAGAGTTCGTTTGACGCTTTGGAAGTCAACTGGGCATCAACCAAAACAGCATCTTGTTCGCCGTATATCAGGGTGGAAGAAGTAGGCACCCACTTGAGGTGATCGAGACCCGCTGGGCCAGTCCTAGTGGCCGAATTGCGTTTACTGAAAAAGACTTTGTACTGTATACCCATATTGAAACAGGATGATTTGTAGAGGGCGGGCTTGTGTATTTGCTTTGTCACAAATTATGCTGAGGAGACTGAATCACCCCAAATCCATGACAAGAGAGATTTAATAGACGAGCGTTCTAAGCTTTTAGCTATTTGTCAGCATACTGCTGAGAAATAGATCTTAGTAAAACAGGCGACGTGTGCAGTTCGTAATCGCAAGGAGCCGAGGTCTGATCCGCAACCGAGTATAGAGACGGGGTTTCGAAGCTTTCGGTGCATGCCCTGCACTAGCAGTAGGACAAACACTCCCGATACTCCACTGCGAGAATGGTTTCACTCTGAGATAATGGAGTAGCATGATAATATAGGCTTGATGGCCGTATATGCTCATTATTTTCTCCATCATGCTCATCACCTTTTACTGGAGTTATATTCTTCCTATAGCCCTAATAATCTGTCGATTCCAGATGAATCAAGAAACAGACACTTGGCCGACGTGAGTCCTCCGGTTCTTGGTTTCTGAAGGCGCTGCCTAGCAATAAAGTTTCTGTGGCATAGACCTGTTAGATTGCCGGCTGGCAATGGGCTCCACTTTCCTCTACCACAGCATTATTGGTATATCTAGAATAGCGGGGTACGGAGGAATTAGTAAGTACCTAAACAAGTGACGCTGAATAGTAATCAGATTTATGTAGGAGTAACCACAGTTACTTAATTCTCCGATTTCTAATACCGCATCAGTTATGGTGCGTTAGAAATCCATGCTCTGCTTGATGTATCTATATTTGATCGTTTTGATAGCGCCATGAATCTCTACTGCACATTCAATCCGTATCGCCAATTTTTGTTCAATTCGTGTGTAACCAATATGCCTCGATACTCTAGCTCCGTTGATGGCACGGAACTGTTTTATCGCTACTATGCACCAGAAGGTAGACCTTCGGCGCTTGCAACAGAACTGCCTCTGGCATCCAAAAACCTAACTCTGGCCCTTTTACATTAGTGGCCTCTCTCATCCCGTATGTACGACTCGATCCTGCTGTTACGTTGCGAGACCCACGGATACCGTATTATTACCTCTGATAGGCGAGGCTTTAGTAAGAGCGAGTGGGCCGGGCGTGATTCCACTGTTCCTATTGGCTATAAAGAGCTTGTGCAAGATTTGTTGGGTCTGTTGGAGAGAGTCCAGCCAGGGCGTTTTGTCTTTGTCGCTACCAGCATGAGCACAGGCTAAGCGCTTATAGCTTATCTTAACAGCTCCTATATACAGGGAAACTGTCAGGTTAGTTATATAGCAGGCCAGTTTTGGAAAGCTAACGTTTCATCAATATGTTAGGGTATGATATGGATAAGTACGTGCCTGCCAGCCCCTATAGCATCACCCCAAAATCCAAAGGCTCTGCCACAGAATGTATGGGATCCAACCATCATGGCTATAATATAAGATAGGCCTAAATTCATCGCCAACGGCTTCAGGGGGCCTTTTGAAGTTGGGACATCCGGTTCGGTCACCGACAAACAGATGTTTTTCGAGAATATCTTCTGGGAAAATGATCCGATTGCTCTCGAACGCTGCCTACGCATCTTCATTCAAGAGGACCTGTCTATGCAGGTTAAGAGCCTCGGGCAAATCTTTAGGAAATCTTTTCTCCTTATTCATGGTGGAGGTGATGGTGGAGTGCCTGCTAAATAAGCGCAGAACTTGTCCAGAAGTCGGTTCCTGGAGCAAAGCTGACTATATATGACGACGGAGGACATGGTAAGTTCGCACTTTTTGACTCCAGTTTGAGCACGACTAACCAAGATCAGATAGTCCTGGTCCTTAACTATGCGGACCCTCTTTTAGACGAAATCATCAACTTTGTAGAAAGTATCTCAAGCTAGAGGTGTTATTTGCAGCTGAGACTTGTGACTGTGAGCTTAAATCAGCAGAGACAACTCAGTAAAGAGTATCTCTATACGGAATTGATGGAAATAAGTAAGATGGTTGGTTAATGGCCGGGAACCGAGTCCGCGACAGTTAAAACGAGCGAAATACAAGGAGGATACGGATATTTGCCTTTGTCATGGATTTAATTTCACATTCGAGTTCTATCTATGTGTCTTCATGGATGAGCTTGGCCACTAACGCCGATGCCTTGGCGACATTCCGCAAATGATTCAACGAGATTGAGTAGTGGACTAAAAGGTAAATACACATTCAGTTCGTTTACTTTTCGCTAAGCTTCTATCACACATAGTGCTGTCAAGCTGCCAGCAGCGCTTTGTTGATCTATGGGACTATGATAGACTCCCTGTCCCTAAAACTAGTCCTTATTACCGTGCAAGATATTCTCCGTTTTGAAGACTACAGCCTCCTTAGGGAGATGGGGCAAAAGAAGGGCCGTGTCCCAGTAGAGCCAGACCTCTTTGAAATGCAGCCCCTCAGCAGTCTCAGCGCTTCCACTCTTCCCAATAATAGCAATCATCGTGATGGGGATGCTAACAGTCGGCTTACTTCCTTTGTTCCCGCGAAGCCAAAGGTTTCGAATATTCTGGGTATAGATCTGGCTGGTCCCATCATCGCGCTCAACCTCCAGGAAATGGATCCAGTCGTGGTGAATACGCTCAAACACGTCAAAAAGTTTCTTCATCCATGCCCACATCTCATCTCCTCCGTAGTAGACGGCATTATTCTGGTTATGGAAGATAACGTCCTTGGAATAGAACTTAAGCCCAGAACCACTATCGTAGCCCCTCGAGTCAACAGCATTGACATATTGCTTGAAGAACTTTTGGGTCGGTGACTGTGGGCCATCCTTCTCCCACTGCGCACCGGAGACGTGACTGATAACTCGAGGCATTGTGCACGTCGAGGCGTATGAGTACGGATTGTGTTCGGACGGCAAATATATTGAAGAGCTAAGGGTAGCTTACAAACTTGAGCTCCTTTGATAGTCGTATGTTGGAGACATAAGCTTCCAAGTCATTATCCTATTGCTGAACCCGCGGGCATTTATGCATGGCGATCTTGTGGAGCCTTATGGAAATGCCGAGGTTTGTAAGCATCCGCTCCACCCCAGTATACTCTGCATAGGTACATGTGTCGTGTATACGTATCGTCAGGTTCTTGAAGATTGGTATGACTTCTCCGGATTAGTAAATTTGGCCTACTCTGGTCATTTGGATTACTGATCAATTATTATACGCATTGTTCGCCTTTTCTTGAGCTTAGAACGCCAACCAAGGCGGAAAGGGCAGCCCATCCTTGGTCGCTTTAAAAAGCCAAGGTTTGCACCTTGCCTGACTCATGACTTCAACCGTGATCGATATAGGTTGACTCATTTATTTTCAGCAAAGCAATAGATCTCTTTCATGGCAACAGAGCATAGCGATAGTAACTAAGAGCGGAGTGTAGAACAAAGACAGCCATAACCTAACGCTCCAACACGATGGGTGTCTCAGAGAGCTTGAGCACTGGGAAAATAATGACTTAAATTTGACTAAGCCAGGTATGAAGTCCATGTGCGACCTAATTTTCATATCATGCAAAGGGAGCCCCTTCGCCGGGCTCATCGATTCCCAAGCCAACCTTGCCTATTGTCGTTTTAGACTCGACCTGTCTATGAGCTTCCTTCAGCCCAGCAAGTGTCAGTTTGTAACGCTTGCCCAGGGTTGGAGACAATTTCTTTTCATCCATCAGACGCGCTATAGTACCAAATATTTCACGATAGCTTTCGAGGTTTGTATGATGGTAGGCAGCTGAACCTAGCCAATCCCATGCGAAGGTCATTGATTTTGACATAAAGTCAGTCCCATAGAGATTGATATCAGCCTGTACAATAGTGCAAGCTTTGCCAAAAGGCGCGCAGATCTTGGCAATAGCGTCGATATACTGCTCAGTGTTCGCCAAAACGTAGGCATACCTATTCAGTCAGATAAGCAGTGGTCGTAATTGATAATACAGTGGAGAAGGACATACTTGATTGGAACGCTTAAATCAAGATCTTTGATTTGTTCCACAAGATCTTTTCGGTGGTTGATAATATGTGTGGCGCCGTTCTTCTTGCAAAAGTCCATTGTTTCCGGCCGAGATGCAGTGGCAACAACTACTGGTAGATTCAAGACATTGCGTGCCAGCTGGATAGCAGCACTTCCAACTCCTCCAGCACCATTGATCTATGTCGGTGCGGGATATGTCAGTCAGTCAGAATGGAAGATAACACACCGGACGGTACCAACTCACGATCAGAATGCCCACGTTCTCATTGGGCTTGATCTCCAGCCGGTGGTACAGAGACTGGTAGGCCGTTCCAAAAGTCAAGCCAAAGCTTGCAGCCTGGACAAAGTCCAGAGACTTGGGCTTCAAAGTGCATGAAAATTCGCCGACGAGCTGGTACTCCGAATAACTACCTTGACGCGTTGTAGCACCAACATATGAAATCTCGTCACCAGGCTTGAAGAACATGCACTCAGGACCAACCTCTAAGATAATTCCAGCACCGTCATATCCGATAACATGAAAGCCCTTTGGTGCATGCTTATAGTAGTCTTTCTCAGTTAGTATGCAATCCAAGGCAGAGGGTGAGAAGTTCTGGATTGACTCTACCTGGAGCATCGTCATATATTCCAGATCGAATTTTGATATCGATTGGATTGATAGAGCACGCCTGGACTCTAAAGGTCTGGTTAGACCCAGACGGTAAAGCTTTTACCAAGGGCAACTCACTTGACCAGAACATCACGGCCGGTCGGTTTACTTGGTCGTGGAACGTTACGTGATTCGAGGTTATCAACAGGGCCGTATTCGGCCACGCCAATTGCTTTCATGGTAGCCATTGCGAATGGAAGCGTGGAATGCTGGTTTTTGGTGTTATCAAGATTAAATGATCTGAAGATACCTAGAAACTGGATGCTCTGTAAATGTGTATGTTCTTTTTAGTTTATTAGGATATCGGCACCGATCAATTGGGCTTCCAGCTATCTTAGTTACACCGATGTCGCGGGGTTTGTATTCGACGTGTTGCCGCCTTTTCCGCCTCGTCCTGAGTAGAGGGGAGTAACGACTCGCCTTTTGATTATTAAACCTGCACTATGCGTTGTCTTTGGCGCATGCGGACCAACCCAACGACCTAGACGATCAATTAGCCATGGCAGGCTTCGAGTTGTGCTTGGCCTAAGGCCCAATCTAAAAGTAGGCCTGGGATGCATGTCTTAACTGGCTCAACCTTCCGAGCGACATGGTGATCGCTAGTCAGCGTCACTAGTCAGCGTCGCTATCAGACCCATGGTCCCTACCCTACGGGGGATAAGTGGACCAGCCGATGAGATCCACCTCCAAGCCGCGGCATCTCCACTCTCCCCTTCCCCTCCATGATATAATTGGAGGCTCCAACACTCGCCCCGCAACTGCCGAGTTCATCCTCACTGAACATAAAACTGCCAGGGTCGAAGTTAGCGCTAAATGTTCGGCACAAAGGATTCCATAAACTATTATGCCCGAAAGCTTTTGCGAGGTGTCTCTAAGTGGACAACGTACGTGGGATGGCCGACGGCTAACATGATCTCATCCAGACGGCACAGAATAGTAATCATCGGGACATTTCACAAATCGAGGCCGGCACGGGTTGTTGATACATACTAAGGGGACTTTTTTGGATTATCAATCCGGCATAATTATCCGTCCCAGCGTTGAGAAAGGTGCACCTTTCTGGAGCTGCGTTTTAGAAATTTTCGCCTTTTGGCGAATGCCACACATCCAACCATTCCATATGTTCAATGACTATATGGCAGTGAGTGTGGTCTGCAGTCGACCAAGTATAGCCTACTTGCCGTCTGCATCGTCTAAACTCGCTCATCTTCTCCTCCATTAACGGTCGCAACACGCATACCACAAGTGATTACAGGTATGGGACTTCCACGACAAGACGTCGAATTTCGAGCATGCGATGGTATTGTACTTCGTGGCTTTCTATACGCCCAAGAGGAGACTTCGCCATGTATCATCATGACCCACGGTGTCAGTATTCTCAAGCTTCCGCTTTTATATCGTATGTTCAGGTAACAGCACCGCTAATATCTCATGTTGATCTAGCTTGGTGGTACTCGCCACTTCCTACTACCACCATTTGCGGAGGCTTTTCAAGACGCAGGGTATGTGGTGCTATTATATGACAACCGGAATTGGGGAGATAGTGATGGCCTTCCTCGACAAGAGTCCAACCCACCGTTGCAGCAAGCGGACTATTATGATGCATTCAATTACGCATCCAGTCTTCCTTTTGTTGATAAGGACAAGATAGTATACTGGGGTACTAGCTTCTCCGGCGGCAATGTCATCCACGCTGCAGCTGTCGATAAGCGGATCAAGGCTGCTATCATCCAGTGCCCAGCTGTCTCTGGCGAGACTAGATCAATTGCGTTCAAAGATCGTATTCCGACTTTACTAGAGGACCGGCGTCAGATCACGTCCGGATCCGAACCCCCAACGATACCGCTGGTTGCTGCTGATCGAGAATCCGCTGATCCAGCCAAGACAAACGCCATGTTTCCCACAAAGGACGCCTATGATGTGATTAATCTTCAAAATGATTGTGGAAGCCGCTGGGGGAACTTCATCACGTCGCAAACCCAACTGCACATGCTCCTATTTGAGGGTCAGGCTATGATTCACAGAATTTCCCCAACGCCACTGTTATTTGTTGTTCCCGGTAACGACGTCTTGGTAAAGACAGAATACCAGATGGATGCCTTTAACAAAGCTAGTGAACCAAAACAGCTGCTTTACCTTGATGCATGTGGCCATTTTGATCTCTACGTCGGGGACTATTTTAAGCAGAACATCAAAGCGCAGGTCGAATTTCTCGACCGTCATGTCAAATCGCAGAGCAGTTAGCTTTCCTTTTCATAGAGAACCATTATTGTTAGCATACAGATGGAGTATCTTAGGGATATGGTCGTGAGATGTATTATCATAGGTATCCGTATTTTCTGAGTTATCCCTTTGAGTGCCAGGGCTAAAGTTCTTAAACAGGTACCTAACCAGTGATACTAGCTGTGGATTTAACTTTTAGCCTTGTTGCAGGATTAACTATTGGCACTGAGAATACCCTAGTGTAGGTATTAGCTTATGTATAACGCCAAAGCTTCATAGAGCACTTACAATCGTTGATCTTGATGCATTTGAAGGAGCCTGCGCACTGCGATCTTGTCAGTTCATTCAAGCAAAAACGCCTATTGACTAGGTACTTACTTGCGTGGGACCCGTCCACCCTATGCCACCACATTGACCCCACTGGGGAGAAGTACCTGAACTACCCGTGTCTGTAGGTGTGGTGGCTGTAGTAGTGGGTGATGGCGTTACTACATTCTAGGGCTTTGTTAGGCATTGAACAGGTAAGAGATATAGACATTGATCTGACTCACAACGAAACCAAACCACTTCAAGTCTTCCTCTGGGAACACGTCAATGGAATGATTAATTCCTTGGCCTAAGAATGTCTATTCCTTATCTTAGCAGTATTACTTAAAGGTGAGTTGCTTGTTAGATTTACCTGCAGCTTGTCGCCAAAAGTGTATCTGGTATACGGGCTTCGTGGCACGTTAGGCGTTGTAGATTGCGGATTGGTAGAATATCCAAATACACCAGTCCATTGCTTAATGGTTTCGTAATAGTTCTGCACGTTCAATACCTGATCTACCGACCCGTGATAGATTTGCATTTTCGGTCGTGGCCCATCATATCCGGGATACATGTCCTTAACAACATTGGCCCACTGATTTTGAGTATAGATGGACTGGCCGTTGGCGCATGTGGAGTTCCAGAAATCTGGAATATTGTCTTGGCTCTTGAAGCAACCGGCCGGGACACCTGCGTATGCGATTCCAGCTGCGAAAATATCAGGATAGGTTGCCGCCATAACGTTCTGCTCCTGCATTAGCTTAATCCTGCTGTATGACATGACCTTTTTATTACATACAGTCATCATAGCTCCCGAGGAAGTTCCTGTAACAAAGGTCTTGGTCTTATCCGTATTATATTCCTTGATAACGAACCTGACCATATTGGCGATTGATGTACTAGCACCGCCGCCGTCATGGGTCAAGGTCATCTTGGAAGCCACATCCCAGCAATTATCCTGAGTATATGGCGTCGAAGGGTAGATGACAATAAAACCATATGTCTCGGCGTAGCGAGCCCACTGAGTGCCCTGGTAGTATGCTTGGGCGCTACCGGTACACCAATGGATACCGACTACTATTCCAGGACTTGCAGCTAGCGTCTTTGGAACATATAGCCACATTCGAGTACCAGTAGGGTTATTGCCATAGTTGGTAACCTCAGTGAAGGTAGACCTGGGGACAACTTCAGCACCCAGAGCCAGGTGAAGAAGAGTTAGCAGCCAGAGGCTGATGCAAGAAGGCAACTTCATTGTAGCAACAGAGAGCGGATGGGTTGTTGCGGGCATTATTCCAACGACGGCAGCAGCGTATTTAACTAAGGAGACCCAAAGCGACAAATTACCTGGGATTACACGCCGTAACTGGGCGTTCGGATCATGAGCTTCCGTTTCGCTCTTGGCCGAAATGCCAGAAGTGGCTACCACAAGAACGGAACCTCATTGGCTGGCTCCGGGCGATGATTGCACGATCATCGGCTTTATGGTACGAATTTGGTCTTGTGCATACCACGGTTGGGATTGACATTCTCAACCCATACATACACGGAGCTCTATTTTTCGGTTTACGTCAAAGGTGCCTTAATTCATGTGCCTGTGAGGTTTAGTGCGGGGTCAACTAGAACATGCATAAACAACCTTGGTACATTAAAATCTCACCTTTCCATGTTTGGACACGGAACCCTATCCAGACACGGAACTCTTGAGGTCCTTTCCGATAATGACGGATTGGAGGAAAAATCTCTGCTTGCGCTTTAGAGTTGAGAAAAGTTCAAATCAACTGGCTTGGCGGTCGTTGGGGCTGGCCGGAACCTTTAGAGCAGATCACGCAGATTGAGTTAAATGTACCCGCCCATACTGTATTATTGACTGATATACATTAAGATATACGAATTGCACCAGATTCCTCTCCTTTTCCACGATTCTGGTCGGCCCCTGAATGAGTATCGTGTAATGTCCAGGACTCAAGATACCCACATACACCAGAGTCTAATCAAGAGCCCAAAGTACTAGGTTGAACTAAAACTCTCTGTTTGTTCCACATCCAGTGAGTCTTTCGTAGTCGTCACACATCGCGGAGTGTGTGTCTTGGATTGTCCTAGAGATTATAAGTTAGAAAGGAAACCGGTCAGAATTGGGCATACATACTTATGCCCGGCAGGGCCTCGGGCCACGCTTGCATCAATATAGTATTTTCCATCACTGCCCCAGAAGCATTGGACATTGGTGAGATACAATGCACTATAACCTGCCTCGCAGTAGAGTTCAAGGTGGTTATCATTGCGAGGGGCGGTGATAAGCCACATTCGATATCGATCCAAACCGGACTCAACCCAGACTTTGGTATAATGTACTGTCAATGAACAGCCCGCCCGCTTCTCGATATCATAACCTGATTTTCAGTTAACATGTGAATACCTTCAAGGTTGGGAGGGCGCCATACCAGAGGAAACATCTGTATTAGGGATAGCCAAAGCTCCGGTAATGGAAGAGATGGCTAGAGCGGCCTAGGTGAGAAGAGTACATTTCATGTTGATTGAGATTGGATAAGGTGAGATGCTTGATGCTTGATGAATAGAGTAAAGACAGAAGCAACCTATCAAGCGGAATCAACCCTCGACTTTATAGTCTGTTCATGACCATCAAGTTCTCAACATTCGTCCCAAATCATCTAGGACTCGTGGCATTACATCCAGCTTACTGTCCTGTACAGCTACTCAGTGGGCTCGCCTAGTGAAGCGAGAATCCTTTGGTAAAGGGCCGAGCACAGTCGCAAGACTGCATTCCTTCTATGGACTGATACGGATGGTTTATTTTGATAGGCAGTTATAATACCATATAGAGTAAGGACTAAGGATTGGACGGGCCGCTTTTCATAGTGGATAGTAAGACTCCTTCTTTTGAAGGGCATGGATCGATAAATATACGGTGTAATCTCAAGACCTAAGCTGGGCGGTGGTGTATTGCCGAATGAATGCAACGGTAGAACCACAATTCGTTTCGGTGTAGCTTAGTGAGCCGGTTGAAGTGGATGGTTTACTGGAGTAGCTTCGCTTAATGCTCCATATATTTCAGCATAGGATGTCGGGTAGCTAATTGAAAGGCCCGATAGTGACACCGCAGAATGCAACGGACCGTCAGCTTCATCGGCCATCTTCATTTCTCCCATGATCATGCTTGTCAAGCGCTAGAGGACATTAGACTTCGACTCGGCCCAAGCAACTGGGAATATATATAAATTGAAAGCATTATCTCCAAGAATACACCAACTCCATGCCTAACTCACAAGCATATTCAGTTTTCATTCAACTCTCTGATCCAATTTCACCAAGATGAAGTTATCCATCCTTACTCTTGCTGCCGCTGTTCCGGCTCTTGCCGCCACAGTTCCTGCTTCTGCTGATACTGCTGAAGGTATTCCCCCCAATGGGTCCAGTTGCAAGCCTTTCAGTACTAAATTATGTCCCTAGTCAAGCGCGCCAGTTGCAAGTTGACCCTCCAATGGATTTCCAACTGGAGTGAGGCTGCCTTGAGAAGATATCGAGTGCAACTTATCACAAGCCCCCGAAACGATGCCCATCTCGACAAGTATTGCAATCTCTTCAAGCAGAGTTCTTCTGGGTATCAGAACCTGCAATGCTTCTGGACAGATGGAATGTATGTGATTGATGATAGTCAAGGCGAAGGGTCTCCTGGTCATGAGTAAGTACTATACCTAACCTCGTATTGCTGTATTACGGTATCTGACTTGATAACCTTTAGTTTGTATCTGAAGGATTTCAACAGTGCAGCTCATTATTTCGAACTTATCACTGGCTGCGATACTGTTCGAAACCTCTAGACTTATTCATGTATTGCATTCGAGTTGGAGTGGGTGTATGTCGAGTGGTAAAAGACACGGTGGTATTGAGACACACAGTATACACAGTATGCAAACCTGGACTACATTACTATGTTAATTAAGGGTAGTAAGAACCTCGTAAGCTGGAGCACTAGTACGAAGTCGACGGAAAGACACATCCCGGAGTTAGCATGGATATTAAATAAGACGACCATAATCGTACCAGAGACGGCAGAATCTTTCATCTTCTTCGTCATCAAGCGTTTTGAGACTCGCGAGTTGACGCAGGATACATCAATATCAGTTTGCGCTCCAGGCCGACCCAAGGTACAGTATCTCAAGCCCGATTTCAGAACATTTGTTGTCTATTTAAAACACCACCACCACTATATAAAGTAGAGGAATGGACATCTGGTTAAGCAGTATTCCCCCTTGTTAGAAAGTAATATAATTCCTTTTGAAGGTATTCTCCCTCAAAATACGGTTTCTTATCTCCACTGAGTCGAGCTCACTAAGAGTTTCCAATTGTGATGGAAATCTCATTACCATACCCCTCTGAGGGCGCACCAACCTGAGCGGCCAAATGAGACGGGACTGGCTGGTTTCTCAGAAGAGCAACTCCATTAGCCACGACACTAACAACCTTGTTCCGGGAAGTAGGGTTCGAGAATTTCAGGCCGTTGCAGACGTAGGTGTAAACATTATGACCTCCTTGTCTCACCCACTTTCCGACCATGATGAATGAGATAGTGACTCCAGCCATAAGCATGGGTTGAGGATCCGCAACGCCGTAGGGAACATGAATGCCATCAAGACGCCTCTCAAGGCTGACGACACCTCGTTCCTGGACATTTGACCTGGCAACTCTGTGAATTGTCAGCTTGACAAGGATTGAGAAAAAGCTGCGACATACTTGATTGATCCCACGTCTGTACCGTCAATCTTGCTGTATTCAACATCTCCAATGGAAGGATGTTTGGTGTCTTCTTTGACGTCGCGTTCAACTGGCTTGGTGGTGAGCGCCAGAGCAAGGGATACAAAACCGAGAAGGGTGAAAAATTTCATATTGGAAGTTTTAAAGCAAGGGGATTTGGATATATTGCTTGGAGATGGCGGTAACAGATGGATAGTATCTGAAATAGAACTCGGAGTACTGCGTTCGCACTTTATAATCGCGGACGTTTATAGAGTTTCATTAATATTATAATTTTTATAAAGTCCCCACACCGTTACAGCCAATGGCATAAAGATTAAAAGTTCCCGGCCCGAACCTATATATTAAACTTTAAACCCTGGTTATACGAATGTCCCACTTGACACTGTTTGTGTATAGTCTCCTTGCCCGTACGTGAGAAACTGTCGGCAGTTAGTTGAATGCAAGTATGGAAATCATCAATCAGAGTTCAGTCTTTCTGAACCATTGTGGTCTTGGTGCTTATATATCATGCATGCTCGGCAGTTGTTATGTTACTCTGCACAGTCAACTGCCTAGTGTTTCTAAGGTATGTTATTATTGGTTAATATTAGCTACTGAAGACCGGAACAAGAAATACGAGGCTATCAATAAGTATTGTAAAGAAGTAAAAGTAGTTTGAGGTTAAGTCTAGTATAATTGCTATACGGGCAAGTGAAGAAGGACACTAGATTGAGGTGGAAAAACGACAACGCAGCAAAAAAACCACCATGTGCCCAACCCTTAACTCCAGCCTTAAACGTTTAGGTCTGGAAGTTGATTGAAATCGTGTCGCCTGGGTTGATTGCGCCAAGTGGATCATAGTTAATGGTATGATGAGCGGCGATGTTCAAATTTGCAGCGTCCAAACCCATGTCTACCTCGCGAAGTGACACCTTAGCAGGACCTCCACCATTATTGGTAATTTGGAAGATAAGATCGCCAGCGGCATCAACAATGGCTTTGACTATAACAGCACCGATATTCTGTATCGCAGTGCCGACGTGATTTGGTATGTTCATCCTTCTGTTGGCGGCCCGCTTCTCAAGCGTATCACCGGGAAAGGTATCCAGGCTAGTTGCATTGTCGTGTTAGGGGCTTCAGCTTCATTATGTGGTAGTTTCTAACATACCTGATGGGGTCCAGCTCAGTTCGCTTTTCCAGAGTCAGGCCATTGCTACCTGGTGCCAGGGATGAAGGGGAACCAGAAGGAATCGGAGTGGCCGAAGCTAGCAGAACCATACTGCCGAGGCCAATGAGAGCAGGCTTCATTTTGGTGTCGTTGCAGAGAAATAATGATTGAGTGTAAAAAATGGTGAGAGTAAGTATAGGGATTGTACGAAAGACCAGCCCTTTAAAAGCACGGATGCAGATGGGCTTAAACACCTTTCGTTGTCTGCTATATTCCAGAACATAAACAAGCTTTCCATTATGGATACCTCTACGTAACTAAAGCAGGCAGACTGCTGCCGAAAAGGATGAAGGATTTGCGTAGGAATTAACCCACAAATTAAAATCACCTATGATGATCCTTTACCCGAAAGACGTTGAATGACTTCTCCACCTTCAGCCCCGTATAAACCAAAGCTCGAGCTTCATATAGAAAGTCAAAATACACACTTACAATCTGCCGACAGAGTGAATGAGGCAAGGACACAATAATGACCTGCCATGATAGGTATAGAGCCTCGTCTTAATGTAGTCATTGATGCTTTATGCTCAATTGATGTGGGCATATATGCATCCACAAAAACTCGGATATACGAAACCACGGTGGTGAAGATGACTGGAAAACTTTCAGTATCAATTCGGACATTCGGAAGTTTGGCAGTGGCCGGCGGTCGAGTGTCAATCAGGACTTGGAACAACTGGTCTGCGAGGCCTGTAGTACTACTTCGCAACCCTAGAGCATATCCAGTGTTCTTAGCTCAATGAACAAAAGATACTGACAAATATGATGAAGCATGTAGACATTACATACCACTTACCTACACTGATGGCCAGCTACAGAGCGCGATTGTAGGAGTCTTATAGCAAGACATGGAGCATCAAGACTGGCTGCACGCTGTCAAGCTACGGCCTTCCTACGTGGCCAGTAAACCCTTCCCTGTCCCACTTGGTCTTATTTGGAACTTTGGCCTGAAGCTTGAACTCTACTTTTGAGGCGAGACGAAGCGGCAGTTCTTTTCGAAAAGACTTTGTTGAAACTCCTGGATCCATCATCACGAGAGCGACCCATCTCGCTTACCGCTCTTCAACAAGTCCCGATAGAATCACGGCAAAGATGTTCGGACAACGTTTTCTCGGTGTACAGTAGTAGGTATCTATGTATAAATATGTCCTTCTGCATTGCCCTCTCTCTTATTCGATTCAAATCAGTTCAACCAAGACATCATCACTCTTCAACTCTTCGCTTTATTGCACTCTTTACCACTCAAGACTACTTTCAGTCCTCCCACTAAACACCTTCACCATGCGTTTCGCCATCACCCTTCTTCCCTTCATCCTGCCCGTCTTGGCCAGTGACCACAAGCAATGCGACTGCCAGATCAACAATGGCAACGGCTGGAAGTACGATTGGCAGCTTACATTCAATGTCTGCGCCGACAATTACGAAAAGACCGTAAGCTCTACTATTCTCCACAATCTGATGGTATATTAATTTCGTTCGAAAGGCTGAATACGATAACGGTGCCGGCCGAGTAAGTACTATAACAACGCCCTTTAAAGCATCTCCAACTGACTTCAATGTGACAGTGCATTGCCAACCCTCACATCAGACTCGATGGCGACCGCTTCTACCAGAACTGCAAGGACTTGGCTAAGAAAGGATGGTACCCCGTTGTAAATGGCGCTGTCGACACAACTCAGGCCAAGATTTATGCTAAGCAAGGAGGCTCTGGCTGCTATAACTAGAAGGAGGTTTCGGTCGCTGCGAACTGGGCTTTGATCTTTCAAGATAGGGGTTTTTTGCCCGATGGTTTTCCCCTATAATAGCCAGTCCTCTTGGTGTCTTCAGCATATAGGTCATTGATTTAAGTCTTTATAATTAAAACATTTCCTTTTGAGAACTTAAGCCCTGATAAAATATTCTATCATCGGTTTTCGGCAAATACTTTATACTAATCTGCTGAAATACAATAGTAAGTCCTACTGTAGTAACTCCACTATACTCTTTGCCCACACTTCAGGCTTCAGCATATAGCCTAGATGGCCGCCAGAAATCTTCAGAACTTCCTGGCCTCCTTGTGTGGCGATCGCCTTCATTACACTCATAACTGGTCCATCGCCACTTTCCTCACCCACGGCGAGGATCAATTTTTCTTTCTCTTTGACAAGGGCTTCAACATTAACAGGAGCATTGGTATACTGTCTGAGCTCAAATTCGAACCAAAAGAGAGAATTTGCACGGATCTCGTCGCCTCGTTTGGCATCCATACAGGATTGCATCAAGCTCGTCTCAGGGCCCTCAGACAGGCCCCTGGAGAAGACCTCCATCGCTGTGCCGGGGCCATGAGCTCGATATGTGTCGTAGATGTGATTAATAAGTCCATGGGCCTGCAGCTGGAACTCCTTTGGAAGAACGGAGAAGGCCGGGGGCTCATGTGCAATGAGCCTTGTCACGCACTCAGGATGACTGGCCAGCAACTGTTGGCCAACTACGGCTCCTGACGAGGTTCCGAAGACAGCGGCAGTCCCGTTGCCAGAAAGGTGCAGGATCAGTCGTTGCGCATCGTCAGCATCGGTTTGTAGGCGCTGTTGGAAGTCTTGCTTGCCATCGAGAAAGCTTTGCGAGTATCCGCGGCGGTCCCAGCATACAACGGTGAAGTGAGCGGCGAGAAATTGGGCGGAGGAGTGGAAGACGCTGCCCCGGCCGTCGGCACCGGGTATAACGATGAGAAGGGGACCGTCTGAGCCGAACGTCTCGTAGTGGAGAACGGCGCCGGGAACATTAAGCTGAGGCATATTGGCAACAAGAGAGTGAGAAGGATGGGAAGAGACTCAGAGGGCACTGGTAGATGCCTCTAGCAATCATCAGCCCGCCCATAATATATCTCAATTTCTCAAATACGGCAAACTCCCCGAGGACGTCGGGGAGATAAATCATTATCCACATAACTAAAGCTTCGGTCTGCGGAGCATCGGGGAGATAAGCAACGATTTCCATTGGCGGGAGTGATCTCCTTCTATTTCTTTTCTCCTAGCCTCTCAAAGTCTATCGGCCCTGGGCCGGCAATTGACACGTAGAAGCAGCTAAGCCTACTTTAGTTTAGCGACGGCAAATACCGCTCTTAGTTCAATTGTTAGACACCCTACACTCCATTGCAATACCCTTTGCGTTTCTCAATGATTCAACTCTATAAGTACAATAAGCCATCAAGTTGGGGTATCCAAAGGTCCCCACCAAGATCGATATTGTCGAAAAGACCTGCTTGCTCAGGCAACCTCAAGTGGCCGTCACTTTGACCCCCAAGAGGGTCATAAGGCCCTTGTTCTGCTTTCAGTTAGTGGTTTCCCATCGATATGGAACAATGTCGCGCCAAAGGCAGAGGTTCAAAATATGGAAACTTACCGTAAATTGGGTCCCTATTTGCATTTTCAACTGTTTGGAGGAACTTGCACAGCTTTGTTCGAGTTTCTGAAACGCCTTCAGCACGCCACTGATGTGCATCGAGAATCTCAAAGGCTTTTGTAATAGAGTCTGCATGCGACGGAGGGGGATCTGCTGGATCTCTAGGCAGAGCAGATGATGCTATTAGTACCGTCGTCGCCGAGAGGGTGACAAACATGGCATGGATGCTTATGACCTTTGAAGACGACTGCAGGTTTGTGTGTAGGATGTCCAGTGAAGTTACCGCACTCTGTATGCAGATGTGCCATGTTTCTTTGCGAACTGCGTGTTCGAGGCGTGACGGTGGGGTGCTTAGATCTTGACGTGCCAACACCTGACGGGCTGCTGGAAGGAGAGTTGTGCGCAGGACTAGTAATCTGACATAGAGCAGCCTGTAAATTGTAAGTTCAACTTGCTTAATAGAGTGCCATGATTGTACACCACCTTAAATTCACTACCTCAGCCTGGTAGTGGAGAACCTTTTCCCTTGCGGAACTTGCTGCCCGCCCGCTCTTATACTTTAGATGCTCTGGAAGGTTGTCTTCGATCTCAGTAAGACGTTCGTTAAGCTGAAGTATCTTCATCAGTTCCGGCATCTGTAGTGCCTTAGAGAACGAGGCAGCATTGACTTCACGAACTCCGGCTACAACATCGAAAATCTTCATAGACACTGCCAAGGCATCCAACAATGAGGGCGTTGCCGCCGGCTGACAGCCCTCTCGTTCTTCAAGGAGATATTCGTCATCTATCATCTGAGGTAATGGACAAGTATTATCATGAATCAGTACACTGTTCCATCCAAACAGTGCAGACATCAACCTGAGGCGCTTAGTGGTGCTAGTGCCCTGCAGATAGAGCAAATACCTTTGCATTGTCAAGCATAAATGCCAAACTCGTCTCCCCATCTCGCGCTGTAATTGACTCGTTGCACCATGATCAGCCCGATGCAAGTCTATCGTCTGCGCGACCTGTATCGCCATCGCCAACGTGTTGCAATATCGGTGTGAGTATTTTGTGAAGCTTAAATAATTCCCTGTCAACAGAAGATACTGGACAACCTCGAGACTTGGTCTGTCAAGTGAATCGAGTGGAAGGATGCTACGACTGCGTTCGTAAAAGGTTTCGGCTGTTGATAATATGAGACTTGGTTCTGTCTTTGAGCTGTTGAGGCAGCCTAAAGCAAAAACGATGTTTAAACTTGCTGCAAAGGTAGTATCCAGAGCCTGGTCATTAGATGGTGACTCCCAGACACGAAGGTATCTCGCTTTGAAGCTCGGGATGTGCAGCACAGGAAACATAGGGTACACCAATCTTTCATAACATTCAACAAAGTCATCTGCAACCTCTCTTGAGGGTAGAACGACTTGACTCATGTTCATACCGGCGAATGAAGTAGCGCGATCATTTGGATTGCCTGGCTGAGTTTGTATATCGCTGCCTCCGGTACGTGCAGTTTGGGTGACAGAGGAGATAAACCGCAGTGTTGGATTATCCACGATCGACGACTGGGCATTACCATGACGCGGCAGCGGAGACGGAGTACCTGTAGCAACATGGAATGAACCTGTAAAATTGCTGGGCAGACTCTCTAACGCTTGTACCCGTGCTTCAAGATCTGCCATCTTGGACAGAATATCGCTGGATAGCACGACATTGGGTTCATTGTACTCGCAGGCCGTGTTCTTGGACTCACAAGATGAACACGTCGGGCGCCGGCCGTCGCATCGAGTCTTTTTTGACCTACAGAGCTTGCAAGACTCGGCAATGCGATGGCGTTTGCGGGGGCGAGGCTGATCTTGGGTCGATGATGACATTATTCACCGTGATGAATTTTGCTCGGGGTCTTACGCGGGTGGCGGATGAATCATGACGGAGGAGCCTTCCTCTGGGCGATCCGTCCCGTCAGCAAGTTCTTTCAGTCTCGGACCTTTCCCCGGCTACCGATAAGATAAGCTCGTCAGACTCGAGCGTTGAAATGAGAGTCCAGCCGGATTAAGCTAGCCGCTTCGGATCATTCCGCGAAAGTCCTAACCTGTAGACCACCAACTTGTATGGTATAAACACAATACCAAGAGCCCAGCTTGCAGGTTATAAAAGCCTTGATCCCTGGTTCCAGTATCTGTTCCATTTCATAACATCTCGTAACATTATTCATTTAATGACTACATTCTCCCACCACTCGAAATTGTCCAGCATGTCTCATATTCCTCGTATTGATACGCACCACCACATCATTCCGCCTCAGATTGCCGGTAAGTAAATCCCTGAACCTGATACACGTAATATACTGACTCGTCTCTACAATAGGAAGCGGAGCTGGTATGAAGGGCATGAAAGTTCCGTCATGGAGTGTTGAAGTCGATAAAGTCTTCAACAAAGAATGCAACATCGCTTCAGCGATTTACTCCGTCAGCACGCCTGGTGTTCTTCATATCTCTGATCCACAAGAGTGTGCCAAAGTCGCCCGAGAGATGAACGAGTACTGTGCTCGACTTCGAGATGAAGACCCTAGCGGTGCAAGTGGCTTTTTCGCTACTGTTCCTTCCCTTGAGCATACCGACCTAGTTCTTGAGGAACTGCGTTATGCATTCGATGTCCTGAAAGCAGATGGAGTCACTCTATTCACTAGTTATGCTACTCCTGAGGGCTATCTTGGACACCCTGAATATGTGCCGATTTGGGAGGAACTTAATCGTCGCAAGACTATTGCCTTCGTTCACCCAGCGAACAACGCGGCTTCAGTCTACTTCGATGAACGATTGCCGATGCCAGCATTTGACTGGCCTCATGAAACAGGCCGCACAGCTATGGACCTGATTCTAAACAGACGTCTTCAGCAATTCCCAAACGTCAAGATCATCCTCTCGCACGGCGGTGGGACACTTGCCGCACTTGTCCGCCGAGCTACTATTATAGAACTTCCTGAGTTTGGGGGTGTCATGAGCGCTGATGATATCATGAGCCAAGCGAAGCAATTCTACTTTGACACTGCGCTAGCTGGAGGCCCAGAAATGTTTCCTTTGATCTACAACTTCGCTAAGCCGGGCCATTTGCTGTTCGGCAGTGATTTCCCTCATGCTACAGTAGGTGTCAGCAAGGGCTTTACCAAGTTTGTCGATGAGTTTGAGATGGATGAGGAGAAGAAAAGGGAAATCTACTATGGCGCCGCTCTCAAGCTGTTCCCTCACCTTGTAGGCAAGGTTAAGATTTAAGACTATTATGGCTGCTGTATATGTAACTTTCGCTAATAAATCATCTCTTTCTATACTACCAAAGGCCAAAAACGAAAGAATTAAGTAAAAGAACAGGACAGGAACGAAGGTTGTAAGAAGACTGGCTTCCTATGGCCTTTTTCTCAAGACTTGAATCTTTTGAAAGGACAAGTAGTTAAATCCTGACTTTGTAGACCGCTTATCATTGCAGCCATCGAATCCATGCCCTGCCCTCTTGTGGCTGTGGACCGATTATCATCAAATCATATCCTTGAGGCTTGAACTTGCCCAACACTGATTCTGGAAGTTTTCCTCCTAGTACCCGAATCATTTGCACACGGGGACCATGGGTTGTCCACCAGTTAGATTTGGTGTACCATTGCTCTGTACTGAAATGTGTAAGGTTATAGAGCCCAGTTTCTGGATTCGGTGTCTCGGCAAGAGATTTGGAAGCCCGGAAGGCTGGTCTAGGTAGACTCAAATAGCTTTTAAACCCTGATAGAACAAAAGTAAGGATGGGAACGGCGGATTCAATACTAATAGTAGAATACATAAGTCAGTCGAGCTTTCAGACTTTAAAATGCCACATGCGTTCACTCACCCAAGGTTCTCCATCATGACACTGTCGAGCTCGGACCCGATATCTTTCCTCAACAGTATTCGCATTCTTTTAGTAAGCCTTGGAAATATGCCGTCAACAAATACTCGTACGTATCTGTCGTTCGCCTCGGTTGGAGGTTCCACGTTTGCTTCGTAACGTAGAGTTCAATGACGAAGCTCAGTGGCAAAGTGTATTCCATCTTTTCAACCTGTTGAGCTTGATGGAAGAATTTTGGAAGGGATCTCCATATCTTGGCCAAGAGCCATGTGGACTATTTCCACAGCACACTTTTCAACATCTATTGTGATAAGCAGCTGTCAGGCTGGCATTATAATAAGAGGCTGGCGTGGCGGTCCAGGCAGGTCAGCCCTCGTGAGATTGATTGCAACATTGTCAGTAAAGAGAAATGAGATCGATTGCACAGTGTCACGTAAACTGACGTAAACTTGTAAGCTGGAAATTACGATTATATGTATGACAGGAAGTGGGAGCTCGCCTTCTCATAGGCGTTTGGAGATATCTAACCAGATATGCTAATATCCGAGATGATCAGGTTGCCGGGCCTTATCACGGCAAAGCTATTACCCTACACTATCACGACTTACTGTGTGGGATAGACAGATACTCAAAGCATTTGGAGATAATAAAGAACACACCCTCTCGAACCTAAAGACGACGATAGGCAACGATAGGAAAAGAATAGGCTTCGGTAATATTAACCCTTTCGCTGCAGTTTATGATAGCCAAGCTCTGCTCGCGCCTTGCCAAGTGTAGCTCCGCCGGCAATCATTTCTCTGATACGTTCCTCACTTTTATCAATCCAGTGTGCGACCTCAGCTACCTCACGAGCTCGTTCCCGTGGAATAATTACCACACCGTTGGCATCTGCAACAACGATATCTCGAGGATTAACGTGCACCCTGCCAATCCCGACTGGCTCGTTAACACTGGCCACTTCCATCCTGTCCTTGGCTGTCCTCATCCAGCGCCCAGCCGTAAACATGGGGTAATTGTCAGCAATGGCACGGTTCACGTCGCGGCATACGCCGTCGATGACAGTACCAGAAATGCCTCGAATACCAGCATATTGGGTCATGATGTCGCCCCAAACAGTACAGTCTGTGCGACCCCCATTATCAATAAGGATGACATCACCTTGAGATACGTCGTCGATCCAATCGCCAACTCCTTTTGGCGGGCCAGTACTTGTCGCTGGCACATAACGTACAGTAAAGGCCGGCCCAACAGTGACCTTTTCGTAATTGGACAAGGGCATAATGTTCAACGCTTGACCTGGCAAACCCAGCTTGTCAAGGGCGTCCGAGACGGCAGGCGTGTCTGTGGTGGCGAACAGTCCAACCAATTCTTGGTCTTCGACGCTTGCTTGCTTGATGTCGTTTACGGCATCAATCTCAGGGACAGGGAGACCGTCTTGGATAGATTGAACCGTCAGGCTCTGGCGATAGTAAATACTCTCAGCAGTCTCGATGACCTTGTTAATGTTTTTGGTGGATATGAAAACAGTCCCGGAGCTATCGGCAATGACATAGTCGTTCTGATCGACCGTAAGGCCCCGTAATTGAATTGGAGTTCCAGAGCTGACTTGCGCTAATTGGCAGTGTCCACTGACCATTCCACGACCATAGACTGGATATTCGGCCTCTCGTAAGTCGCGGTGGTCTCGGAGCATTCCGTCAACGATGACACCTCTGACATGGTCTGATTTCAGTCCATTTTCAATGACATTGTCGTAGCACGAGATGCCGTTGATACCTCCCGAGATGACGAGAACGCGGGGGTCTGACGTTCCGTTCGAGGCTGACTTGGAAGGATGGAGTGAAGCAGAAGTACCCGGCTTGACGGCAAATTCCACTGTGCTAACGAGTCCAACAACCTTGGGGCACTCCCACAGTGGTCGCAAGCCGTAGAGAGCTCCTTTAAGTTTGAGGACGTCCAAGGCATCCGACACTGTGTTGGTGTCGAGTGCTGAAAGCCTTTCCAGAATGCTGCGTTCACCCATTGTGGCCTGTGCTGAAGCCTGAGTGATGTGCGAGTCTAGAAGATTTAACAATACACTTAATCCTGCTGGGATCTTAAATATCCCCAACGGCAGTAAGCTATTTGGAGTGAAACGGCGCAAGATGCGTTGTCAGGGAGTGAAAATACTTGCTGAAACTCAGGCTCGGCAGTTGCACGCGGTCTAGACATATGAGACATGGAGTACTCAACATTTTCGACCACGAGGCCAATAAGTCACCGCCGAGAGACACACCGCCTCTGGGAAAGCATAGAAAGCCCAGAAATACTTGACTGCTCAAAAAAGTACAACAACACCTGCTTCCATAGCACACGCCGATTGGTACACGTGGATCAAATTCCAATTCCGGACCAGTGTCTCAGCCAGCCTCAAGCCGAATCCATGGGCCGCCTCTAGGCGATCTGCATGCCTTGTTAGGGCTTATGGAATCTAGACTGGGTTGTCTCAGACAATGCAGGGAAGAGTCCCCGACTCCCCGCAATATCTCCACTCCGTGTCACGATCGACAAGGATCTTCCTGATCCGATGGGCCAATCTTTCTTCGACAAACTCATCGTTCACGTCTGGACACACTTTCATTGGAACTATATTGCGCAGTTCTGGACCCCTTCCTTGCTCTAGTCCAGAAATAGTTAATAGCCATCTTCAAGCCGGAGTTAATGCAAGACAAATGGTAATGCAATGATAAGCTAACATGAAACACTTTTCTGCTCTGGGAGAATCTCGCATATACATGCAATGTACGGAGTACTAAAGACGGCTCGTCATATGCTAAAAGCGGCTCGTCATAAGCTAAGAGCGGCTCGTCATAAGCTAACAGCAGCTCGCTAAGCATAGCCCCATATAGCATTATGTCTGATAAGGACTTAGCGTCTCAATCCCTGTCCTTAAAGTACTTTATTGCAGTATTTTTATAACTTTACTTATCTGTCCATAATTGTTTTAAATGATATTTAGTAAAAGTATTATAATTACAGTAATGTTCGCTATAGAGTAAGGAATCAAGCTGCCTTAAGAAAGAATTTTAAGCTACTAGCTTTAATCTTAGATTTAATTACATGTAATAGAATCTCAATTTGCATTTCAAGTTCTCTGACGTATCCTGAATGTCTAATCAGACTCCAATGGATACCCTGCTGGCTACTTCAGTGGCTACCCCATTGGCTCTACCGCTAACTTTGCGGTTAGATCTTCCGTTAGTTCCCCCATTAGTAACCTCGTTGGTCATCCCCAGAGTCTTCTTTACATCAGCAAGATCCTTCCGATGACTCTTCGCTATAGACAGAACATCCACACTAGTCATTACCAGCTTGAAGTGTCTCAGCCAGTCCGCGTCATCAGGGGTTAGCCTGAAGGCAGGTATCATAAGCTGAATCCCAGTTCTCTTAGATGTAGCTATCAGTTTCTCTACAGCCTCATAGAAACTGGACTCATCGACTCGTCCATCATGGTTGCGGACTGGAAGGCCAAGGGTGACCTTGAGGTCAGAAACCCCAAGCATGAGCGCGTTAACGCCGGGGGTCGCCGCGATGGCATCAAGATTGTCGACGGCAACCTTTGGCTTTGGTCAGTGATTTCACAATTTCCTGGGAATATCGACTCTTACAGTGCTCTCGATCTGGCAGATAACGGAGATGTTCCTGTCGGCAATCTTCTCCGACGTCCAGCCATCTGGAGCAAGATTGGTTATCCCATCAAGCAAAGCAATAGGGGAAACCGATCTCATTCCGCCGTCATAGGCGTGTCGTACCTTGTAGACGGCCGCCGCTGCTTGCTCAGGTGTATCAATCTGAGGAAAGACTATGCCAGCCGCGCCTTATGAAAGCAGTCAGAATGGGTGCCTCATCTACTGCGACGATGATACATACCTGCATCCAAAGCGTACGCTAACAGATCCGAGTCAGGGCTTGGAATACGGACAAGCGCACAAGTTTTGCCTTCGCTCGCGAAGTTGATTGTTTGTATGATAGAAACCAGATTCTCTGGGTTGGTTGCCCTACGACACTGTGTTAGGCCTCGACTTAGACGCTGTGCGTGAGCCGAACTTACACATGCAGAGTGTCCACGAAAACGAAATCAAAGCCTAGAACAGCTACTGTACGGGCCATAGATGTATGCGGGATTCCAAGCATGGCACCGAACAAATGTGCTGGCCCCTTGCTTGGCCCCTCATGATTGACCGCGCCGATGGCGGCGTTCAGGTTGGGGGGCTGAAATAGAGAGAGGGCTCTGTAACGGTCCATGGTGAAATTTTGGAGCAAAGACTTGGAAGAATAGGCTAATCAGCACTCCTCTATGCACTTCTCGACATGGAAATGTCTATCTCATTATATATATGTGTATAAATCAACAACGTCTGTGTTTTTGGTGCATCTTGATATGAGGAATATGTACATGTATCGTTCCACTCTTTTCGTTTGCAGGAGATGAAGATCCAGGATACCTAGCAAGGTTTAACAAGGCATGTAAAACAAGGTTGCTAGGCCTCAACAATACGTATATTTGCTTTCAAATTTGGTGGCGCGGGTGTGGTGAATCATGTCTCAGGTGAAGCGCAAGGGAAGAGTCAAATTCTGATGGAGAGAGTTTGGGTTTCTCTTCCAGCCTTCGAGTCTCTCCGCATCGATCGTGAGTCTCACCCAGCCAACCCATGCGCCAACTAACTAACGGGTAACGTTTTAGAAGAAGAACTGTACATAGCGGGCAGTGACTATCACAGAAGATTATGCAGCTTTGCGAATTGGCAAACCTCTCTTATCTCATCCAAGCCCATTAGTTGCTTCTGGATAGGTGTGCCAGTAGAAAGTTTTAGAAAAGGCTTAAAACGCCTCTATGCCGGTATGTGAAGTGATACAAAAGTACTGGCTGAGAGGTGTATGTATCTATCTTAGGTAGAACTAATGAATATCCTGAGATTATACGCAGGAAACAACGCCACGATGACGACACAGCGGTGACGGCAGTAAGATCACTGCCCAATCAGTTAGTGACACGATAGAAAAAAGCTCTTTGTTGCTAGGTAACAGGTTGAAAATCAAGGCAAATAAAGACATACATGCCTAATAATTGTCCCGTTATACATTCAAAAAAACAATTTCATGCACGAAGTATGAACCCTACCGGTATTCGCTTAGGAAACTAAGCAACGTAGCAATAGACGGAGGAGTCATTCCCGTCCTTACCAAACCCTGGTCCGTGGTGTGCTATGCATTCCAATCTAGCGCACATGCAAACCACCTTGGATCATCCGCCTGTAGATAAGAGCAAAGGTGAGTGGCCTCGGGAGCTGATTTGAGTGCATGCCTAGTAAGGTGGGTTGCAAAAAAAGTGGGATTCATATAAAACTAGTCAGAAATAAACGACCAGCTAGCTATGAGAAATGCTACTATAGAAGACTAAGTAATTATGTTGCCTACCCTGCTGGTACATAAGGAATCCCTAATTCTTTGCAACCCGCCTGCTAGTGCCCCAAGCTCCGTGTTGAGATGCTTGGATACTACGTACTCACTCTTGACCGCTGTCGATCACTTAGACAGGATTTGGAACACATGTATGCTTTCGTCCGGCCGATTGGCCACCCATATCATAGGACTTTTGAGGCCTGACGGGATATGCCAAGCATTCGGAATCCTTGCTTTCAGCTGGGCGATCTTTACCAAATAGATGTATTCCTCACCGCCCTCAATAGACGTCATTGCAAACGAAAATTTACGGATTCTTCTGCATGTTTAGATCCGAACATGGCTTGGCTACTGAGTAGCGACATTACAACTCACGAGTGTAACTCGTGTTGCAAAGTCTATTCGACTCTATTCTCTTACCAAATTATTCATCATTTTCTTCGCCAACCACCTCTGCTACGCTAAGATGGCCACGCACGTAGCGGTGCTCGACGATTATCACGGTCTTGCGTCTTCGCACTTTGCCAGGCTAGACCCTTCACAATATGCCATCCAGTATTTTCCAGCAACATTGCGACCTTACAACCACCCGGACACAACGCAGGCTGAGAAAGATGAACTGGTTCAAAGACTGGAGCCATTCCAAGTTCTCGGTAATCATTACCCCACCGGCTCTTACGCTCTCTCCTGCTGACATCTCTTATCTCCAGCAACCATGAGAGAGAGAACCCCATTCCCCAAAGAATTGATTGACCGTCTTCCTCGACTCAAACTGATTCTCAATGGTGGTCGTCACAATAAGGCCATTGATATGGATGCTTGCCGGTCACGAAACATCCTAGTCACAGGGAACGATGCCAAGATGGCTACTGTTTCTACCCTGGAACACATAATCACATTGATTCTCGCTGCTTGCCGCGATATTGCGGCTAACGACACGGCCGTAAAGACAGGAAAATGGCAGACAAGCCTCGTCACTGGCGTTACAGGCAAAACCCTTGGCGTCGCCGGCCTTGGGCGGCTAGGCAGCTCTGTTGCTCGAGTCATGAATATAGCCTTTGGCATGAAGATTATCTGCTGGAGCTCCAATCTGACCCAAAGTACTGCTGATGAACAAGCCAAGGCCCAGGGATTACCCGTCGATGGCCCAGACGGCGAGAAAACGTTTAAGTCTGTGAGTCGAGAAGAGCTATTCTCGTCTTCTGATATAGTGAGTGTGCATCTGCTTTTGTCAGACCGCACACGCGGCTTGATCACATCGGAGGACCTGTCGAGAATGAAATCTTCGGCATTCTTCATAAATACCTCCCGTGGACCTTTGGTCGTTGAAAATGATTTGCTGGAGATCCTCAAAGCAGGAAGAATCAGAGGAGCTGCGTTGGACGTGTTCAACATAGAGCCTTTGCCGGCGAACAGTGAGTGGCGAGATACGACTTGGGGCACAAGCGGAAAGAGTCGTGTGATTCTGACACCGCACATCGCATACGTGGAAGAGCAAGTCATGAATGGATTTCATGAGCATCAGGTCATGGAGTTAGACAGATGGTCGAAGGGAGAGCCACTGAGTAATATTATTAGTTAGTCAAGTAGTTAATAAGTTCTCTGGGTCATATACAATTCCAAACACAGGCCTCGGTTGCACACAACACTTATTGTTTAGATAGGTGGCCATCATACCATGGTATAACGCCATTACCTGAAACTTGAACCATTAACATCGTGGACGTCGACAGTAATACAAGCACAAGGAAAATACTTTATGCTTGATTACACAAAACTCCTTATTAGGTTGAAGCAGTAACATGGATTGGTGGTGTCTGCCTAATTCACAACTTCAACTACTTCAGCTCTTCCTGCGTAATTCCATCTCGATGTTTGCTAGCCTTCTCCTTATCTTACATTGAATTAAAACAAAAAGTCCTTCCACCTAAGTCCATTACTCCATTGATTACTACAAAGTAATGAGCCAAGTCCTTCATTTAACGCACCATTTGAAAGGTAGCCCCATTATGCTGTAGAGTTTTTGATTCTGGCTAGTTGCCCACTGACCTTTAGCACTAGGCAACATTCGAAGCTGCAGTATAACATCCAAGCTTTTCGCCATATCTTTCACTTCCTGTCCATCCTTGAGTGCAGCATGTGTCTCTTGACCAATGAGATGCAGACCAAGGCCAGTATAGCCCAACAAGACATCATGACCCAGACTACCCGGAATGATTCCATGAATGAGTCCATCACTCCATGCCACCAACCTTCTGGAAGGTGGTTTATCTCTTCTAAACCATCTAGGATACGTTGGATCTCCTCAGGTCCTCCTGACTCTTCTCCAAAGATCTCCCACAGCATCCTTTTTAGTGTGCTCTGGTAGGCTGCAGATGCCATGGTTATGCCAACAGTGCCACCTACGCTCCTAGCCAAAACTGTGATATACATTAGCATCTGGCGATGGGTAAGACTGGTTAGTACTTACAAACAGCAGATGTGACAAGAGCTTGCTGCGAGTGATCGACTGCTGCAAGACATGACACCGTTGCGATGGTCAATACCGTGCTGAAACCCCCGCCAACAAAGAACAAGGCGACAGAAGTCAGATATTTCGGACTGTTGCCGTCTTGTAGGGTTAATAAGACAGTGCCCAGAATCAAGACCACGGCACCCATGATCCCAAATGGTCTATACCTCCCGGTCCACGCCATGGCATATCCTGTTCCTAAAGCACCAATCGAGCCACCCAATGGCGACGGTAGGAACTTGAGGCCAGCAGTTGTGGCAGAGTCGCCGAGTACCTGGAGGTAGAAGGGCACATAGAACGTAGCTGCCATAAGAAGCATGGAGATGAAAAGGCTGGCTCCGCATGCAGAGACAACTGTGCGGTCCTGAAAGAGGGCTATAGGTATGATAGGTTGCTTCGCCTTTCCCTCCCACCAGATAAAGCCGGCGAAGCAAATCATCGAAAGTGGGATAGTCGTGAGGGGTAGGGGGTGGATCCATGGTACTGTGTTGCCTCCTGTGTTCAAACCAAGAAGTAGCAGTATCAAGAATGAACAAGTAAAAAAGACTCCAGGGAAGTCAATTCGAGCAAGGTAAGCCTTATCAGACTGCTTGGGCGGCACCTTGACTAATATCCATATGATGGGTATAATCAACAATGAAGGTGGTACTTGGACCAGGAAGGCAAGTCTCCAACCGACATCGGTGCGGTCATGGAACAATCCACCGATAACAGCTCCAATCATAGCGCCTACACCATACCATAAGTTGGCGATACCTTGCATAATGCCTCTTTTGCGCAGCGGCGTAAGATCAGAGGTCAGGAACGTAGCAATACTAATCATTCCACCGCCTCCGACACCTGCAATAACACGCCCGATGATCATAGTATAATGGTTAGTTGCGCAGCCACAGACCAAGTTGCCAAGAGCAAATAAGAGGTTACTCAAGACAAGACCAAGGCGTCGTCCGAAGATATCTGTCAGACGACCAGCAATAGGCTGAGTAGCTGCATTTGAAATGAGGTATGCTGTGGCGAGCCAAGAGAGCAGGCTAAGCGAGTTAAACTCGCTAGAGATAGAAGCTGAGAGGGTTGCAATGACAGTAGAGTCCAATGCGCCTAGGAAGATCCCGATCCATGCAGTGGTCATGATGAGGATTAGTCGTCCCAGTGGCGGCTCTTCGATGACGACAGTCCTCTCTTCTTCATCTTGTTGTTTTGCACAATAATCGCAGTGTGAATAGTCCTGCTCGTCATCCAGCAGCGGGGTTCTCTCGGTGGGGAGGTGAGAACTATGGATTGAGTTCATATGGGGTTCAGATGCCATAATGCTTCTTTGGGTCGTTGAGTACTTTGACGTGTGTACCGTACTGCTGGTGATAGAGGTGATGTTTAAGATGCAGACCAGATAGTTTAGGAGGGTGACCTTTTATGACATCTTCTTTCGTTTGCCATGTATGTCGACTCATATCAACATTGCGCAACGCGGCTGGAAAGTGGGCAGCGGAGATTGGTTACTCACTGATCAATGCACATGCTGCGTATCCCTTGCATAATACTTGCGTCGATGGTGATCGCCATCGGGGAGCAGATTGGGTCCCCGACCAGGCGTGTGGTATGCGTGAGAAAGAGTACAACCTCTTGACGTTTCTCGCGTAATATTGGCCAAGACATTAGTTCCAAGCGGCAGTTGATTGATGGCTAGCTGAGCTGATAATGATCGGAATATCAATTACCGCTTTGATCCCTGCAAGACACCCTTTTGAGGTTGATCCTAAGACACTTCGTGAGCCGCTGTGGGTACTGCTCATTCTGATGTCGGGTTGGAAATGCATACGCTTTTGAGCCAAAAGTCCCCCCTAGCGTACGCCCCAACTGACCCAAATAGGCAACGCTCGACATTTCCCGCCCGTAAAGAAAGTGGATATCTACTAGATATAATAAAATCAAAGGTGCAGAGGGACGGAGCGTTACCACCGGCCGGCAAGTTGGCGCCCGCTTAAAACATGAGAACACAGTATTGGGAGAGGCTGAACGATATCCCACCTCGGCTGGTTGGCATGCTTGGATATCAGGTCAGGGCTCCTTTTGCAGGGTATATAGATGGGATTAGCCCTAGAAAGGCCGTAGAACAGAAGATGAGGATAAAGCAAGCGGTCAATAGGTACTACATTAAGCTTTAAAATAGATACAGAAGTGGAATTTTGGAGTACTATGACTTCAGAAGAGACCTTTCGCAATATCTGTCACGCAGCTTGGTACCTGGAATATGCTGAGCTTGTCAACTTATGTTAGATATAAGCTTTGCCTAGAACGAACTGTCTAGAGACTCGTCTGGTATGAGATCTGCAAATGGCATCCAAAGAGCAGAAAACAATCCCACAGATGCAACATCAAAGCCTAAAGACGCAGACTTATCCAGCCATTCTGATGTCTCAATCCCCTGAGGTTCTCGCAGGCAGTCAGCTGCAGATGTGGAACCTTGCGAAACTATTTCATCGTTATGGAGTGACTTATCCACCATGATCCTCGCGCGGTCAAATAGCTTGTACGCCGCATTTATCGACACGTAGTACTTTCGCATGTCGTCCAGAGCTACCAAGCAAGGAGATAAATTGTGCTTTGCCAGTTTGCCGGACGAAGACTTGGATGATGCCGTTTCTAGAAAATGGACTGAATCGGCGGGCGGATAGTGAGCACCCTGGGTAGTTACCAGTTGATTAGCGGCGTTCTTATGTTCTATGATTCTGGGGATGTACGTAATCGTCTGGGCAAACTTTATCAGATCTTCTGCCATCATACAATTAATGGCATGGGTCGCATGAGCGGCTGCAGTCCGAAGCTTACTTTTTGCAAGCGCTTTCCAAGATTCCTGTAACTCATCTGGAGCTACCTCTGGTGCTTCGTGGAGAAATGGCCTGTACAGCTATGATAGCTACGCTGCGAATACTGCTTAGCCAATTTCTGTCTATGACGTTAGGGGCCATACTGAGTGCGAAGTCGGTATTGATATGCATGAGAAGCCAGTACTACACTCTGGTCATTGCTCCCGTCATGGATCAAGTGGGCTCGAATTTCATTCTCGCCTCTTTCAATGATATTTCTGGAAGGTCTGGTGCCTTTGATGGTATAGTTAGTTGTAAATATCCCCCATGATGCGCATTTTAGCCATATTCCAAGAAGTGTATCGAGCTGCGCAGGTACGAACTGCAGGTAATCAGATTAAAGGCTATGACTCGTATCATATATTCCGGCATCGGAGTTGAGCAATGATCAAGAGATATCTATCTGCAAGCTATACCTCACGGTAGTAGATGCACCACCGGATACGACGCTACTGGGGCCGAATGCCGTTTCGTGAGGGAGATGTCAGCATGTGAAAGCCTATCGTGTGAGATGAGCTGATAAAAATGCAAGTCGTCTATTATCTAGACTTTTCAAAGGTGAATGACAGCAGAGACCCAAACAGCGCTTAAAGATAACCGAGGCAGTCGCCTTGATAAGCAGTAGCTAGAGCTTAACGGATATTCCTATAAAAGGCATAATGGCTCAACAGACTGAAGACAGGCCAATTAATACATTAGGAACCAGAAGTAGAGAACGGCATTGCGTATCCTATATCTAGATTTTAAGATATAGAATAGAAGATAGAGCATTTAAAATGATAGAGAATTCTAAGGATGTTTTTAGAGTCTTAGGCTATTATCCACTACTTAAATAAACTGTTAAATGTAAACATAAAGGTTATATATTAATTATTATATTTAGCAACTCCTGTAAGATCTATATTAATTAGGGCACTAATACAGGGTAAAACTCCAGAGTCATTCTCTAACACGACCAGACGAGTCGAACATACGGCCTCTACCAACGAGGTTCTAATACTTGTTTTAAGATATTTAGCTGCCTCATTTCGGCAGATTTAACTCCTCAAACTGACTTCACAAACTATGAAGCTGCGACGACTCGACATAAGGCCAAGGTCTGTTATTAAATGTAAAGATTGCGCATAAATGCCGCTATTGCGATATCGGCTGTAACATTTTAATAGAAGAATTACGAAGTCGATCTACGTTGAATTAAGTACAGAAAACTCTCCTCGGCGTAGTAACCCGTCTTCACTCAGCACAATGTGGGGCAGGGCTTTTGAGACATGTGTAATACGGCAGAGACGAGAACCGACCGTGTTATAGCAGCGTATTTCCTGGTCCAAAGTACTTACTTGTAAAGGCCTATTAGGTCAACTCATTGTCAAGATATTGACCATTTCCAACATTGATTGATAACCAAAGCTTGCAACATGTCAACGGCATACTTCAACCATTTTCAGCATGCTATCAACTATTGAAGTGCCAGCTTCCTATTCATCACTGCCCTTCAAGGATATTATCGTTTCTCAAGTGCCAGAAGACTCGCCTGTCGCTACCAAGACTCTTATTTTAGCCTTCAACCGTCCTGATAAGCATAATGCTGTCACTGAGAATCTTCTCACAGAGCTTGAGACAGGCTGTTGACTTATTTATCAAGACGAGCGAGTTCGGGCGGTTGTTCTGACTGGTACAGGGAGGGCCTTCAGTGTGGTAGGAGATCTCCAGACTGGCTTTTCTGGTCTGTTAGCTCATCAAGCGAGTCGACAGTCTATCGATAGATATGGAGACCAGTATATGACCGCTCAATAATTGAACTATATGAACGCTAAAACGATCTTACAGGGGAGGGAAAATTGCTCTGGCAATAGCAAGCTGCACTAAACCCACTGTTGTCGCCATCAATGGTCATGTAGCCAACTTCGGGTTCACAATAACCTTCCCTGCCACCATCCATGTAGCCTGGGATAGAGCAAAAGTCGCTCAACCTTTCGCACGTCTGGGTTTGAGCCTCGAGTCGTACAGTGCCTATTTCCTTCCACGGTTAGTTAGACTTGCTCAGGCAATGCATATTACCACCACCGGTGATACCTTCGTCAGTCCTTTATTCTCAAAGCTCCTCTTGACTCTATAAGAAACTCTATCGTACCTTGTCGAGCTTACCTCCAGTATTGCAGGGAGTGGATCACTTAACAGTGCTAAGCTTATGAGAGACATGCTGGTATGTAAATCCGAGACCCCAGAAGAAATGTATACGTTGGAGTCCAAGATTTTCATCTCACTTGTGGATTCCAAGGATAATATGACAGGTATTAGAAGTGTTACAAAGAAACAACATCCAGACTTCAGTGGGACATTCAATCGAAAGGCTGTGCCTTTCTGGCCTTAGTGGGATGCCGACGAGAACGAGCTTTCAACTTCAAAACTTTGAGTGCTTCGCCAAATTATTCAAGATAGAATCATCACTACTGTTCTGTTTCATTCACGTACTCTGTAATATAAAAGAGTAATGGGGACTGCTGATCAGATCGATCGCCCAGATTAGGTTATCCCTTATGCACCTAATTGACAATGAAAAACACATCCTCGAAAGGATTGGTCCCTTCATTTAACAATGAAGCTGCCCTGATGCTACATCCTTGTAGCCCAGATGATAAGTGCCAGCGACAAAACCGCGGCATCATGAGTTAGGCATATACATACCATTCTGACACAATCTCTAACTTCACAATATCCAGAGCACTGACTCATTGCAGCGACCTCACTGACTGTCTCTCCAACTTCCTCCATACATGTTGGGCATCTCTAGCGTCTAGTCCTCCCCCTAGAATGCCTCCCAAGCTCTCTCGATGATGCTGCCTGCATCTTTTCGTTAAATGATTCGACCCCAGCCATAAAAGAGCCGGTCAGCACCGGAATCGCTGGGCGTGCTCAGTGTCAAGTTGATACCGCTTCCATGGAGCTTCTGGATAGAGTACCAGTCATCAGTTTGGCCTGCGGTGACCTTGCCACCAACTGCCGGCCAATAGGTCGAGCCAATCTTGAGCTCGCGCATGGAATCGGTCAAGGCGCGAATGTATCGAACAAAGTTATTCGTGCTATTGGCGTCGCTATAATTGAGACCGGTGTCCATTGGCGCACCGAACTCGGTTGTGACTGCGCGAGAAGCGCAATTACCCAGGCCGCTTTTGTAGGCCTGAACCCAGCCGTTGTAATTTTTCGCGCCGGTGAAAAAGGTGTAGACATGGTAAGACAGCAAGGTCCCATCCAAACGGCTATCGTCACAGACGGGCTGAAGATTCTGGCAATAACCCGTGCCGCCTATGAGGATTCGCCCCTTGGGCAGCGATGAGTGTCTGGCGACCCAGTTGGCAGCTACGTTGGTCCACTGAGCGGCGCTATAGCCGTGCGGTTCGTTCATGGGTTCGAAGTAGATGAGGCTATTGCTGTTGTACTGGTCTACCACAGCGTCCCACATAGTGTTCCAGGCGTTCAAGTCGACGATCTTGCCTCCCGAAGCTGCGCCGTCTTCCCAGTAACCCAAGATCACCTTGAGGTTGTGCTCAGTGGCGGAATCGATCACTCCAGTGTAGGCATCCCACCAGGTAGAATTGACCGTGATTGTGTTGACTGGCAATCGGATGGTGTTAATGCCGAGATTGTCCTTGAGACCGGTGTAGATAGCGTCGGCCTTGGTTCGGACGGTATCATAGTCATCGGACTTGTCTAGACCGCGGAGGACTAGTGGGCCTTTCACGAAGTTGTCTCCAAGGACAGCCCAATTGACCCCCTGAAAATTGCTGGTGTCGGCACTGACCAATAGTCCGCCGGCCAACGCGGCCAGAAAACCAGTCTTTAGGATACTCGGCATGGTATTGATTTTATGTCGGCTGTATATGAAGTTGCTAGGGTGGGTTGATGTTTCAAGTTGCTTGTGGAATGACTTCTCTCGTAGAGTTATCAAGTCGTTATTATAGATTTCCCTGACTTATATACAACGAGTTGAACCCTCAATGAAGGGGCTGGGCATGGGGTGTCTGGACACCGATACTCTAGCGCCGGACCGATATTCAATGAATAACCCGATAGATAGGCCGTTCATGTGCAACAGCAATCTCCCGAATGATGGCTACCTTGGGCACCCTATGCAGCATGCTGTGGTGAGGCACTGCTTGGGTTCGGTTCTAGTCGAGCCGAGTGTAATTCCTTGTAGCGGTGGCGAACAAACTGCCAATTGGCGCCACGCTTGTTGGACCAGGGTCCTTTACCCCAGAATCTCCCAAAAAGGTTGCCACGGGCCCATTTATCCTCGTTTATGCGGGGAAATGGTCCCGAGATTACGAAATTACTCTAGAGAAGCGCGGGGAATCAGGAGAAAATTGCTCATATTGCATCGGGGGCGACTTCGACCGATGCTGGCGATGTGGATTGTTCGATTTCCCGAGCCTATCAGAATCAATGTCCCTTTTTCGGCAGCAGCATTCATTAGTCCGGTAGCTACTAAGCCATTCGCTCAAACCACGTAATGTTGAGTGTACGTCTACCCAGTGTTGTACTACGCCAGTGTGTCGCCATTGCCGCCGTTCTATGGCGTAATGAGTCGCCGTAACAGGAAAACCTTTCTCTGCCTACTCGCAGTATGGACGCTTACATATCCTGCCTCGCTCGAGGACGTGCAGCACTTGACCGCATTGGAGACGATAGCCAGCATATGGCTCCAGATCTGGTCGTGGCTATCGCTCAGCGAAGTGTGGCGTCAGTTTGCCTTGAGCTCTGTTAATAACGTCCGGTACTATTCGATCTTGCAGCTATTTGCCGCGCAGCTGTGCTCCTGTGTCCGCCCGCGCAGGGTGGCAACGCGACTTGCCGCAATTATATATGTTGAGTTCTGTTAATTTATTAGATATTAACCTAGATAAAGAAGTTTATTCTAAGTTTAAAATAGGGAGATGTCAGCATGTGAAGTCCGATCGTATGAGATAGGCTGATAGCGATGCCGTTCCAGTGCCAGGGGCCCAGGCGATCTTCAGCATCTGCATAGAAATGCCCCATGAGAAAGACTGATTGAATCAATGCGATTTTGTTCTTCTCATAGTCTGCATCGTACAATGTCTGTAGGCCATGTCGGTCAGTTAATCGTATCGGGGACCAGGAGAGAATACCTTTGCTCGCTGAAAGGCATTGCGTTTGAACGTAAGAGGATATTGGAAGAGGTTCATCAAAAACAGACTCTCCTCAACAAACTGACAAGTCAGTGTGTATGTCTTCCTCCGAAGTAACAACGAACTTACAGTTGCAGCGCACATAAAGACTGACCACAGAAGTAGTAAACTGAGTTGGCCTTTACTATAGGCATTGAAGAATTCTTGAGGATCGAGGACCGGTTCGAAGGAATGACAATGATGAAAATAAGCTTTGATGAGAGCTTCTTGGAGTGGTTGGGGAGGCAAGGTAAAGCAACCTCTCCATCGGAGAAACTCAATTTCCTCTGGTTGGAGGGACTCTAACGAAGGCATGGCAACAAAAGAATGATTGCTGTCTGTTAATCTTTGGGGTTTACAAATATCTATCACGAAAGCCGGCCCTCTTTTATCGCCTAGGATTTGTCAACATTAGAGGCTATCGGGCTTGATAGATGGACTCTATCAGCATACCCGGGTAGAAGGGAACTCGGTTGCCATCGCTTTCATGCTCTTCAAGTGTCTCGGCTCATGCCGATGTGGCATTTGCGATCGGAGGGGTTTCAACTTCATCGTGGTGCTCAGCCTGTATTGTTTCATCGACTTCTGCATCGAGTGCTACAGTTATTCCGCCGTCATTGGTGTTCTGGCCGACAACGATAGTGTCAGGGTTAGAAGTAGCAGATGAAGCATTGTAGGCTTGCTGTGAGTGTTACAGGGATAAATCATTGGGTTCATCAGTCATCGAGGCCCAACGAGATGGGTTGATTTCTCTCGCTGGGCCGGAAGTATCCCAGTGGGGGCTCTCGCTATGCGAATTGCGGAGTTGTGCTGCCGAAGGAGTGTGTTCCGAGGACATAGAAGTATCTTGCCTTCCCGGATCAGCCATTGGAGGCAGGACATCGGTATTTCTGTGTTAGTCAGCTATGAATACCGGTGATCCGAAGATGAGGCAAACCGACCGTCGCGGCTTGTGGGTCTTGATCTCACAGGGAATGTTGTCCACAGCGCAGTTGGCACAAGGGGGCCCAGATAATGTGATAGTGCACCTGACCTTACGACTATTGCAGGCTTTGCAAGCTACATATTCCCGCTTATGGGGTCTGCCACTATTCGACGGCATCGCGCAAGTTATCTATTATCCAGACTCTAAAAGGTGAATAACAGCAGAGACCTAAATATTGCACAAAGATAGGCAAGGTAGTTAACCTAAAGAGTAGTTATTAGGGCTTAATAAATATCCTTATAAATAGCATAATAGCTTAATAGATTAAAGAATAGCTAATTAATATATAAAGAACTAACTTTATAATAATAATATTTATAAAGATAATAATCCTGCTCCACTTTTACTACGTCTAATCATTAACTTATAACTGCTAATTCTGAATTTCTATTCCAAACCATACATCAACCTTTAATCCTGCTTCAATCCGACCTTGCCTGTCTTTCGTAGACCGGCTCCCGCGATAATAACACATACTATCATAAAGGCAAACATAGTCCAGAAACTTGCCCGGTATCCCTCCATAAGAACCTCAGAAGACTTCCTTCTGTCATAGTCTTTAGCCACTAGCATAGAAACCACTTGCATAACAGCCAAGCCAAAGGAACTTCCAAACTGAGATGCAGTATTAAAAACAGCACCAGCAATAGATTGCTTATCCTCAGGGAATATATCAGTAACAATAATTAGACCTACAGTAAAGAGCACATCAACAGAGAATGGCATCAAGAGTTGGGCAAAGAATGCGCTGGCCCAGTAAGACCAGCTTGGCTGGATAGTTGCCATAAGTAAGGGGGAGCCTGCAGAAAGGAGGGAGGTTATAACGACAAGCCATAGTGCTGGAACCTTATGCACAAAGAGGCCAGTGGAGAAGTTGAGAGCCACTCCAACCGCCATGTTTGGGAGAATACGAATCGCGGCTTGAAGGGCCGACAGATGCTGAATTTCTTGGAAGCTATGATTTGGGTCAGTTATCGATTCCCATTGTTGCAGTGGGAGAAAAGTTACAAGAGACTAGCAAAGAGTTCTAGTGAGGTCACCACGCCAAAGGACAAGGCAACAGTGGCGCAGATACTAGCAAATGCCGAGTTTTCCCAAAATGAGTTAGGGATAAGAACTGACTGGTCTGAATTATGCTGGCGATGCATCCAACCGATAAACAAAGGTAAAGCCAAAACCCCAAGACAGAGAATAACGATGGTGGCAGGCTCTTTGATGCGGTGGACGTCCGTACTGATGATGCTGTGAAGTTGGTTAGCGGCAATCGAGACGAGATATCAAAGCACTTACGCGAGGAAATACGAAATTAGGGCCATGAAGGCTGAGGCAAGCAACGCACCGACCCAGTCAACCTTTGTCTTCAAACTATGCACAATGTCCTGAGTCCCGAGTGGAGCGGACTTAGGTAAGGACCAAAAGCCAACAGCTGAGAGTAGCAGAGTGATGCCTCCATAGAGATACCATGCCGACCGCCATCCAATCGTGTCAACCAGAACACCACCGATAACGATGCCAAATGAGAAGCCGAGCGGTTGACTTAGCCCGAGACAAGCAAAAGCAAAGTTGCGTCCCCGACCGCGGGGTAAGATCTTGGTGACAAGGGATACAGAGCTGGATAAGTGTAGAGCCAGGGTAACACCTTGCAGTGCTCTCAGGACAACCAATTCCTCACCCTTTTTGATAAATGCACATGCAAGCATGAGGGCGCCGTGAGTGATGCATCCAAGTAAGTCAACTGATCGTGGACCCAAGATATCAGCAACAGAACCAGCAAGAAGCAGTGTAGACGCTGTCGCCAGCCCAAAAACAGAAGCGGGCCAAAATGCAAGCGACTGGGGCAAATTGAGGTCTTGTGTCATTCGAGGGAGACCGACAACAATGAGACCGTTAGCAGCACTGGAAGCAAAATTGACACCAGAGAGCTGGAAAGTCACGGCCGCCTTCCGGAGGCGCGAGGCTGGTCGGACATGTTCGCTTTCGGAACATTGAAAGACTCCATCGGTGCCGGGCGATTGAGTGTCGCTTCCAGACTCGGGTGCCAGTTTTGGAATTGGCGTCAAGACCAGGGCTTCCGTTTGAGTCGCCATGTTGGTTCGGCAATGGCTTTGAAAGAACAGGTGACTAAGGAAGGTTGATATGCCAGTCGATAAGAGCCATCACATAAATATGGCCCATGAAAGCCGCTGACTCTTGCGTGAGTCATGGCGGCCTGTCCGTTCTTTCGCGCTTAAGAATGTGTCGACCGCGCCCTTCCATAGTGGAGAAAATGTGATACCCGTTGGCTCGAGCCGGGGGAGGCCAACTAAGCTTATTTGGGCATAAAACCGTGAGATATGCATAAATAACCTTTTCCCCAGCGAGGCGAGGCGGCCTGGCGTCGAAGCTAAGGAAGAGTCAGACGCTGGCTTGGCGTAGTGAAAAGGGCTCCGCTCCACCTTCTAACATTACAGACCCCTACAGACTGTAAAGTTAGTCTCCTGTCGTTCGAGCCTCACGTCAATCGTTGGTCTAAACGGTCCCACAGTATTTTGACGTCGACTACACCCTACTCCGTAGACGTAGAACGCGAGCGGGACGCCCAACCCACAAGACGAGAAGTGACTTGACAACATAGCTTGCTCAGAACTCGAAGTCCATTTCACAAGTGATGCTTAGTGCTGTATCTGACACTCTCCTCCGAGATGGAAGGGCTGATACTCTTTCCGAGAGGCCGGGTGAGCATCGTGACCGTGCCACGGCGACTGAGGAGATAAATCCTGACCAAAGGCAAGTTCACAGACAAGCTGTACAAAATGTGCATAATTCTATGTCTATCTTTGACTGCGAACCCCGTCACGGCAGCACAGATTACCAGGACTATGATAGGCTTGGGCTTGGAGGTCATCTAGACTCTGCCCCAATGATGTCTGACCTCCTCTCTCACTCGATCGATTTGCTTGACGACGACATGCTCAACGCAGTGACTGAGAACCAGTCTGAAATTGTAATACTTGGCACTGAGTGTGTGCGGGCCCCCGAATCGGAGTCTTCTGTGAGTCCTCACAATCTCCAACCGACCACAAAGATAGGGACCCGATTTTCTCGAGAGACCAACGGCATACTGAAGGCCTGGTTCTCGCGAAGAACAGATAATCCATATCCCAGCAGAGCGGAGAAACAGCAACTTCAGCAGCAGACTGGACTGAGCAGTCTGCAACTCACAAACTGGCTCGCCAATGCTCGTCGACGCTCTACACTATCCTCGAGGGGCCCATCTCCTGGATCGCTTGCGCAGCTCTCCAATCTTAATACCGGGGAGTCTATTTCAAGACCTAGCACTCCGATGGTACAGCCCCGCCGGGGCCCCCTGGGACGTTGGATTGACTCCCCTCCCGAAAACGAGGCAGCGGATGCAGCTGACATCGCTCGCGCACTCAGTTCGCTCTCTCAAGGTGACCCCATCGCTATACTGAGAGTCTATACTTGCAAAATCTAATAACGCCATAGACACCCACACCTCACGATCATTGCGAGGCGATCCCGAGCAGTACTAGTCCGCACAAGACTCTGCTTCCAACAGCGCAAACACGACAAGATCTAGCTGTAAGTCTGGGTCGCTTGCTGAATCAAGGTCTTCATCTTACACCCGCGCCTTGAGGACAAGTCCTAATCGACGACATGGACGGGTGCGAACATTCCGCCGCCGTAGTCGAGGAAGACAACGGGAGGCGATCCAGAGGAAGCACACCCTAGGAACCGCCATCGGGCCCTATCAGTGCACATTCTGCACCGAAACATTCGACACCAAGCACAATTGGTAAAGACACGAGACGTCGATACACCTCCCGCTTGAGACCTGGGTCTGCACCCCTCAAGGTCCCCGTACCACAAAAACCCAGGCCCAGCAGATATTCTGCTCATTCTGCGGCATCAATGACCCAGACGAAGATCATGTTGAGACGCACAACCCGAAATCTTGCCAGGAGCGGACTTTTAGCCGAAAGGATCACCTCAGAAAGCATCTGCGCTTAGTTCACAATGCTACGCCGGTGGAATGGATTATTAGCCAGTGGCGGACACCTCAGCTACAGGAGCGTTCAAAGTGCGGCTTCTGTCATAGAGCCATGGAAACATGGGCTGGCCGAGCGGATCACCTGGCGGATCATTTCAAGATGGGTCACACGATGGCCCAGTGGCAGGGTGACTGGAGCTTCGAGAAAGCTGTGCATGATCTCGTAGAGTCTTCTATTCCTCCATGTAAGTGTCTGGTCTTTATAGAACCCTAGATAACTGTTGAAAGTCACTCATTCCCGAGTAGATCTGATTGCAAGCGAGAGCCAGACACCATTTCCATTCAGAGCCAGCGTGGCTCCGGCCGACTCACCACGGAATGCGTACGAGCTGATCCATTTGGAGCTGACTCACTTCATTCAGAGGCAAGACGCAATACCCGTGTTCGATATGTTGCAGCTGGAGGGCTGTCGCATCATACTTGCCGCCGAGGGTCTGATGCGAGGCGATGCTCACGATGAGGTAGAGGCTGGGTCTTGGCTTAGAGACATATTCTTTTCCAACAACGACATATCCCAACGGGCCCGCTTCAGCCCTCTGAGGTCCAAAACAGAATCCTGTCTCGTCGTCCCAAAGCTACACGGCCAGAGGCAGCTGTTTGATGGATGCCCTCTCGAAGCCCAGTTACGAAACTTCATGCTGGATAGCGCATGGTCCGGGCAGGCCATGCCCAGCGATGCCGAGCTCAGGGCAGAGGCCTGTCGCATCGTCTCCGAGCTAGGCTCGTGCTTCACATTTCTGCTCGAGGACGCCGTCGCGACCTGGCTCACGGCTCTAATTGAGTCAGCCCCCGGATATCTATCTGCCTTCCGCATGCGTGTCCAGATAGAGGCAAATATACGTACTCCCTCCGATGGACAAAATGCATCTTTTGGCGGTCTTTGCGGTGCGGCACACTCGCTTCAGGATGTGATGCAGCCTCCAACCTCGATCACGGCCGAGCCTATCCGACACTTTCCCAATGGTAATAATCTTGGCAACGGCTTAGACTTCTGCGGGCGTCAAGAAGGATCCCTAACTGATAACATGTCATTGGCAAGGGACAATATACTACGCAGGCAGAGTAGGACTTCTACAACTTCACAGAGTCCTCAGGACCACCGCCCATCGTGGATCAAGGTCAACCTCTACTTCCTAAACGATGCCAACTATCACCGTTGGCTAGGGCGAGAGCTCGGGAGATGGGTTCTTTCAACCACGTCGCTAAACAACCCCAACAGCCACATACCCTCAGACGAAGAGCTCCGCCACCAGGCCCGATGCATTTTGTACGATGAGTAAGATATGATAACCCCCAAGCCCCAACCATTCTGACGGTCCTTGCTAGCGACGATCCCTGGAATCATACTCCGGCAGACAACGCTGAGTGGCTGAGGCGGTTCAAGTGTGAGTTCGATATAAGCGGTACGGCGGCCGAAGATGGCAGTTAATTCAAAACCTTCGATCAGATGTGTCTTGGGCAGTTATGGGAGGTAACATCGATGTGCAAAGGAAAAAAAGGATTAAACGTGGTGTGTAGAAAACTAGGTCATGGTGATAGGCTTTAGACACACGAGCGAGACAATGATCATAATAATGTCATACTGCGTGCAACTCCTGAAATGTGAATCACTTAAACCGTAGAGCTATAGACAGGCATAGCCAAGACCTTGGCACACATGCATCGACAATGAACGCGCCCCGCAGGTTTAATAGCGTTTGAGAATGGTCCTAGTCAACACCCAATCTTGTCAATCGCGCCCTATCGAGTCCAATCCATGGGTGACAATGTGTCCAGGGGCAGTTCGGAAGATGCTCACACTTAAAAATCGCCCCTGAGAAGCTTTCGTCTCGGCACCCGTTTTCAGTGTGCATCATAGCCCCGGCCATACCAGTTTGCCCTCTTGGTTGAACGTTATGTCTCCTACAGCATGATCGAGGTGAGTAAGTTGAGATGAGTGGGGATAGGGCTGAAAAGAATGTTATTGATCCACCCTAATTTTGACGACCTGGGCGCTCTAGTTGACAGGAAAACTTGAGAGGTGACAGACTGGGTGATATATAATGAAGCCCCTCTGTCGCAGTTTCCATCTCTTCTGTCAACGTCTCATTATTGTCAAGGATTGTATCTCTTTGCCAGCTCGCCAGCATGTCGACGCAAGATGCAAGCGCCCGAGTAGCAGACTCGTTCAGTATATCAGATACTGATGAAGCTCAAAATACCTCGGAAGGTCCACACGAAACATGTGAGACCCAGATGAGACTATTTGCTTGTGTTTTGGGGTCTTCAATGTTCCTAGCATGTTCTTTTGGCATGTCCCAGCTCCTGGCCTTGCTGGGTGCGAACTAACTGGATACTAGGATGGATGCAGTCTATCGGCGCGATCCAGTCGTACCTTGTCCTCCACCAACTCAACGACTACGCAAACCGAGACGTGGGGTGGATTATCGGAGTCTAATCTTTCCTTAGTCTTCTGTTAGGTCTTCAAACCGGGCCGTTGATGAACTACTACGGGCCCCGAGTCCTGGCTCCCGCTGCTATGAGCTTTACCGTCCCCATGTTCTTCTTTCTTGCCGAGTGTGAGGGATACTGGCAGTTTATGCTGGCTTTTGGGCTTCTGGGTGGGGTTGGTGCTGCAACTACGTCTACCGTGGCTGTCTCGATGGTTGCCAAGCTCTTCGATCGTCGTCACGGCACTGCAATGGGGTGTGCTCTTGGAGGCGCCTGTCTCGGCGGCGTCATCTTTCCGATCTTGCTGCAGCGCACTTTTCCCCATCTGGGGTGGGAGTGGTCACTGAGAATTGTGGGCTTCATAGTCCTTGGTCTGATGTTTGCTGGCTGGTTGTGTCTGTGTTGGTCGGCGAAGCTGCTAAACCCAACCATGGCATCTCAGGCCAAGACAGCAATGCCGAACTTTACCGCCTTCCAATCGAAAGATTTCTTATTCATTACCATTGGTTTTTCCGCTCTGGAATTTGCCATGTTCGGGATCAGCGGCCTCCTCCCTACGTTTTCCTCCAAGGCCGGTTACGGCGAAGATGTTGGCTTCATCCTCCCAGCTTTATCTAATGGATGCTCACTTTTTGGTCGAATTCTTCTTGGATTTGCAGCTGATTTCTTAGGCCACTTCAATGTCCTCGTTTCCATGATCCTAGTAACGTCGATTTTCACTGCAGCGCTTTTCGTTCCCCTGCCCCCCTATACGCATTTGCCTCACTCTGGGGGTTTGGTTCTGGCTCATGGCTTGCCATGACACCTGGTAAATCCAGGATACTAGTCTTGACTATGCACACTAACTCAGACCCAGTTTGCGTCAGCAAAACGTGCGAGCCTGCTGCGTACGGCAGATACTACGGTATGTTGTGTAACTAATAATTGTTGCTCGATGCAAGTTCTGACGTGATTCCAGGGACAATGACTTTTTGCGTCAGCTTGGCAGCTCTGATGGTGGTCTCGGTGCCAGGTAAACTGTTGGACAGGTTTGGGCACAAAGCTGCGTCGAGTGTCTTCCTGTGTATTGTCCTCCTAGGAGGAGTTTCTCTCTATGTTGCAAGATTTTTCCTTATTAAGAGGCTATTAGGGCTAGAGATAGTAGTTTAAAATACTTTAGTAACTTAAGATCTCTATGATACATATTACCAAGCTTTAGCCCTAATCTTTAAACTAAAATATTAAGGCTCTTATATAATTCTGGGCAGGACAACGTGTACACGACCCAAGGGGATTAAACCATATGCCTGATACGAGCTGTGGACCCGCGTGCTTTCGTGGGATGAGAAATGGTTATATGCTATGACTCAGTTCGTCAAATCCGGTGTTTTCCGCCCAACTGAGTTTGTGCTGCGACCTAACAAGAGGCGCAAAAAAGCCAAGGGACATGAGAAACAGGAAGATAAAATACTCAAATCAGTTTATGCATCATCTGTGGCTCGCTACGTCTTCAAGAACAATAGACCCATCATCCCACCAGAGGAGGCCCTCCGAAAATGCAACCTGCTCGCTGATGATGAGACTAGCTTGGCAGATATCGCGACTACAAGGGCGAGTAATCTTGAGGTTGGAAGGCTCGAGGCAGGCTGGGAAGCAATACATAATTGCCTTCAACCGACGTGACTTGCTTTAGGGTGGTATTACTGCGCATATTGAAGCATTAAGATACTGTCTATACTATGCCTGGTATTAACTAGTAATTTTAGTAATTGCTACTATAGTTACCCTAAATAAGCATGTTGACTTGATCGCCCAGTAAACAGATTGGACTAGGTCCACTAAGTCTAAGAACAAGGCCCCACTACATATAATGACACGAATAAGACGCACTTGCTCGCGCTAAGAGAGCGGCAAGTTGAAGTCTTTTACCGATACTAAAGATTTACCGATTCCCTCCGTTTTATATCAGCCACTTACTCCCTTAATTCTTTTATCTCAGTCTAGCCCCTACTCATTTTCATCGCCCCCTCTTATCGTAACCAGTTACAACATGCCGCCCTCTACTACTCGCAGCAATACACGCCGATATCGTTCCGATCCCTCCAATTTACCCCGGCAGAAATCCATCGCGTGAGTTTCAAGTAGCTACGAAGACCTCAGACGCTGTGCTAATTCGCTTCTGTCTTCCATCTAGGTGTCGTAACTGTCATGCTCGAAAGATCAAATGCTCTGGGAACAAACCGTGCAACAATTGTTCTTTGGCATCTGAATGCGTGTATCCAATGCGAGATCGGCAGATCAGGGTAAACCAAAGGTATTATCCTCCCCATCGCTGCCTCGCTCTAGATTTGTCCTTATTCGTCATTTTATGTGGTATTTCAATTTGTTGGAGAAATAGCCTGTTTGCTGTGAAACTCACATGACATAGTTTTCTTGACCGCCTCCTTCAAGAGAATGAGGAATTACGTGCCCAGATCCATCCTGAGTCGGCACAACCCAGAAATCCAGTTGGACCCTCGCAACCGGCTCCGACATCTAGCAACCATCTGCATGTTACTGAAGAGAAGATACTGGAAGAAATAGACTGGTTCGCCCAAACGAGAACTTCTGATACGCCCATCTGGATAGGCGAGATCTCCGATGCAGCGTTTGCGACTCGGTTCCGACAATTTGCCTCGTCCTCCCAAACACCAAGTCACATCCCCCGCACACAGTTCGCATCCGACGACGACCTACGCCTACTGGTCTCTACGAGTCCATCCTGGCCGACACCGCCACGCGCCAGGCTGTTAGTTCAGACAGCGCTTAAATTCCTCCGTTACAGCTATCATGTAGTAAGGCGCAGCGAGGTGCTCTCCGTCTTGGACGTGTTCTGTTCAGACCCTGGCAACGCTGCCCTGGGCCCTGTTGCGAAAGCCAAGATGTGGGCATTGTTTGCACTTGGCGAGTTGCGTTCAAGTAAATGTCTAAGTTCTAGCAAAAGACTTCCTGGGTTGGCGTACTTTGCAATCGCTAGCGATACGGTTCGTCTGATCAACGAAAGGCCACAGCTTGATGTGATCGAAACGACCTTGATCCTGGTAGGTTCTCTTATGAATCATCCTCCTTCATACTGACGGATAGTCCAGACTTTGTATTCTCTCGAAGCAAACCGCCGACACTCTGCATGTACACTTATTGGCTCAGCCTTGCGCCTCTCGACCGTGATGGGCCTCCATCTCAGCATTGGCGACACCTATCTTGCAGATCCTGAGCTAAGGGAGCACCGCATCCGAGTCTGGTGGTCAGTCTATATCCTCGATCGTCTATTATCCTCCAAGATTGGGCTTCCGCTACTGATATCGGACGATGATATCTCGATCGATCTGCCCTCCAATGGTCCTTCTCTCACCTCGGAAAACTTCGGCGATCATGCTCACTTTTTGGCTATTGTACGACTTGCCAAGATCGCCGGGAATATCTCTAGGTCTCTCTATGTCAGGACACCTCAACACGGTACATTTCTTCAAAGGGTTGCAAGAATTCGAGAGGAGCTTGACCACTGGAAGGCAGAACTACCAGATCAGGCAAAGGTTGACTTCAGTCGTACCGACGAGACCGAGGAACACTCCCAGTCTGCTATCTCTAGATTGAAGGTGTCATTTAACCAGGTATGCTGTTCATGAATTACTCAATCTCAAATTAATGGCATCCATTACATATCCTTGCCTGTATATCCGAGTCATACTTGGGTTTGCTAACTCTTCTAGTTATTCATCTTAGCAACGAGGCCTGTACTCCTCTTCTGCTTTCGTCGACATGTAGATGAGGCTGTGGCCACGTCGAGAGGAAACCCTCTTCCAGATGCAGCGCGGGAAACAGCAGATGCGTGCGTCAGCACTGCTCGACAATCATGCCAGCTATTGTTGCGGTCCTGGGTAAATGGCGAATTCCACACCTTTGATTATTCTTACGTACAGCACCTTTTCTCTGCTGCGGTTATCCTCGCGATAGCGAGCACACTCGGTCAAAATACCTCGAAGAACGATAGAGAAGAGTTCGACATTGTTGTAGGCTTTCTACAGCAACTAGAAGAGAATGGAAATCCTGCAGCTATGGAGTTTTATGCTCACATCAAGGAGATACAGGTGGTCCTGGAAGCATGGGGTTCTACACCATGTCAACCAAATAACTTGCCGACATCGGGAGACCTTGGCTCATTAGAAGTCTTCCAGTCCGCAATGGCCAATCAATCATTGGAAGTCCCTGCTTTACATAACATAGAACATGGTCCTCAGGCAGCTGATGGCTCACCTCTGAACCTTTCATTTCTTGATGACTGGATCTACGACAATGCATTTCAACAGATATGCTGGCAGGAATAGTGTAGGACTGATTAATGGAGTTTCTCGTGATGCTAGACTATCTTGTCGATAAAAGACCTTATTGAACAATCCTTCGTATCTATTCCTTGCGCTGTAAAGTGTGATAACCAAGCTTCTCTCTCGCTTCAGCAATAGTAGATCCCTTGGATATCATTTCTCTGATACCTTGCTCACTCTTTTCAATACGACTAGCAATTGTAGCCACCTCGCGAGCTCTGTCTCGCGGCACGATTACAACCCCATTTGCATCCGCTATAACAATGTCTCGCGGGCTGACCCGTACTTTACCGACGCCAATCGATTCATTCACCCCTTCAACCTGGACTCGATCCTTGCCCGTCCGCATCCAGCGCCCAGAGGAGAAAATTGGGTAATCATTGCCGATAGCACAGACATCACGGCACATACCATTAATAACTGTCCCCGCAATACCACGCAGGCCAGCATACTGCGTCATTATATCTCCCCAAACAGTGCAGTCTATACGGCCACCGTTATCGATCACAACGACATCGCCTATAGCCACGTCGTCGATGAAATCACCAACGCTTCCGGGAGGGTCACTGGCGGGTCCGTAACGAACTGTAAAAGCGGGCCCGACTGTCGTCTTGCTGTAATTCGTCAAGGGCATGATGTCAAATGCCTGTCCTGGAATACCAAGCTTGTCGAGGGCATCTGAGACTCCTGGGGTATCAGAATTGGCGAATAGACGAACCAGTTCTTGGTCTTCGGGAGTAGCTTCTTTGGGGTTTTGAGGTTTGTGAGGTCTGCTGGGAGCAGTCGAGGATCCAATGGCTTCGAATTGTGTGTCATGCATGACTTCTGCCACAGAGCGACCGCTTCGCACTTCTTGAACCATTGCATTCTGGCGACGGTCGATGCGCTCGCCCAGTTCCAGGACATCTTCGATACGATCGGCAGGTATGAAAACCACACCGCAGTTATCTGCAATCACATAGTCGTTCTCGTCCACCTTGACACCGTGTATCTCAACCTGCACGCCAGAATCGATCTGAATCAATCTGTTGCGTGCACTGATCATGGTTACACCACGACCAAAGACAGGATAGCCAATGTCCCGACTTCCATCGATGTCACGACTCATGCCATCTATAACAGATCCACGGATTCGTTTGACCTTTGCGGCGTTGGCGATGATGTCACCCCAGGAGGAGATGCCTTCTACACCACCAGCGATGACAAGAATGCGATCGCTTGTTGCTACAGAATCTATCACCGGTGTGATCAGATGTGTCGTAGCTTGCGCATTCTCTTTCTTGAATCCAAGTTGGACAGTGCTGGCGCGGCCGACGATTTTGGGACAGTCCCAAAGAGGTCGAAGGCCATTCGTAGCTCCAGGGAGACCAAGAAAATCCAAGGCGTCAGATACTGTATTGGTATCTAGCGCTGAAAGCCGATGAAGTGTAGTGTCAGACATATTGATGCACTGGACAGTTATCGTATAAAAGATGAAAAAGAAGTCTAGATTGGTGTATTTTGGAAGACAATGATTAGATCCAGCGTGGCCTCCGTGGCCATCTAAACTATATACTCCAAGAGACACCGTCAATTAGAATATTGATGCTAATACCGCCCCCACAAGCATCACGTCCTAAGCGCCAAAAGCGAAGACGCCGATTGGATCGGCGCGCTGTCGTCTCCCCGACCTTGAGCTCCGCCATCAAAGTCAGACCAAGGATGCCGATTGGCTCGGTGTTTTGTTCTTTCGCCAGGAACAGTCCCACTATGGGCCCAGCGACGAGCTACTGTGCGGTGTAAGCCATTAAGTGCGCAATTAAGCAGAACAAGGCTTCTTCAATCCAAGCTGGAATGGTCATTGTGACTAATACGCGATTCTTGCCGCATAGTATTACTAGAAGAAATAGCATCGTCATGTTTAAACTTATAAGAGTTTATATATATATTAATTTTAAAATAGGTTTATTTATACAGATTCAAGTGTTAACAGTATTAAACAAGTTGGTATAAATAGTAAGAATAAAAAGCATTTTTTTTTAAAAAGTTATAGTTATAATTGTAATATATCAAAGCCAAAGTACATCTGAATAAATATGTGAACAATTTCAGTAGCTCTAACCAAGCCTGCTTTCTTATCTGAGCTTAATGGTCTAGAACTGTAACTGCTAGTTCGTGCCTAAGACAGAAAGGAAGCCTTGTGCAACAAAATTTATATTGCTGCTTGTCACTATCAAAATCCATTAGTCTACTAAATTTAGGCCAGGAGATTGGGCATAGTGCTTACATCCAGTTATGGATAACCTGCCAGATGGAAGCAGGTAAATATGATGCTTCGTTTTGAGCTCATAGACCTGATCGCGGGTAAGTCCTGTCATAGAAAACATGCCAATCTGTAAGCTTTGTTAGTTGATACACACGAGACAGCTGGGACAGGTGTTCCTACGTCTGTAAGTAAGTGCTCCCATGACCCCCTCACTGATCTACGTTGTAGCTCCTGATACAACGCCTTTCGCATACCCTTCATCCGCTCACTCATCGTGACCAAGTCTTGTTGCCATTGGTCAAAGAGAGTCGGGCTACTCAAAATCTTGGCTACAATTCTTGCACCATACGAAGGACAAGAAGTTATCTCAGCTCGCGAAAGCTGTGTCAGGAGAGCGGTAACCTTCGCCGCAGTCTCGGTCTCGAGCACAACCAGGTGAAGAGCTCCTACTCGTTCTCCATATAAGCCGAAGTTCTTCGAGAAGGACTGCGCCACTGCGAATTCTAGGTCGGATCTATCATAGAAGTGAGTTATTGCAGAGGCGTCCTGATCCAGGTCTCCAGATGCAAAGCCCTGGCTGCAAGGGGGTTAGATGCAGAACATTCTTTGAAGGGGATGTATGCAACTCACTAAGCCATGTCAAAGACCGCGAATAAACCGGATACCTTGCAGATATCAGCGACAGTCTCCCACTGCTGTCGGGTGAGATCTGCTCCAGTGGGATTGTGAGCGCATGCGTGTAGGATAATGACGTCTCCATCACAAGCCTCCTTGCGCAAGGTCTGTGCCATTGCTTCAAAGTCCACTTGGTGATGTGTCTCATCATAATAAGGGTAGAACCGTTGTTCAATGTCTGGGCCAACAAGCTTCCAAATTTCTGTGTGATTGATCCAGCTTGGGTTTGAGATCCAGACTCTCTTTGGTTTGAGGTTGGCAGCGAGGAACAGGGCAGCCATATGGTTGGCTCCTGTACCAGAGACTGTCTGAATCGAAGCTACACGCTTTAGATCTCGCGTTTCGCCAAAGATCAGCTTCTGCGAGCCAAGGAGAAACTCTGGATGACCGACAAGAGGTAGGTGCTCATGATTGAGATTTGGGTCGGCATGTATTTGTTCCTTTGCCTGTAGGACATGGTTAGCGAATGCTTAATAGGTAGTGAACTTTACTCGACGGTGCTGTACCAGGGCAACAGAAGGAAGGATCCATGGTTGTGCGTTATTATCACGATAGAACCCCGGACACAAGTCAGCCTTGTGCTCAGCCGTGTCCGCTTTGAAGCTGGCTATGAGAGAAAAGGCCGCGTCTGGATTCGCGGGTGGAATTCCGGAAAGGTGCGACATGCTCAAACTGTTCTCTCAGTGTTGATTCTGGAACGGTGATGATATTTTGTTACAGAGAGGTTGGAGGTAATTGTTGGAATACGGTATTGAGTTATAGATCAAGCGGGCGAAACCCTGGTGGAGCCTTCGGGAAGACTAGAGGATGCCGGTCAGAGAACCGGCGATAAACATGCTACCGAGTGAAAGGCAATACTCGCCGCGCGCCAGAACCCGCCGAATCCAAAAACTCGACAAAATCCAAGATAATGAGTCTGGGGTCGGCCATCAGGAACTTCACCGATTGACTTCTCAGAATAATGCCGCGCTTCAATAGAACCGAGTCTGGCTTATCTACAGGCTATGCATATTAACTGTAGTTTGTTGCATAGTTAAATAACATCGAGCATTTCATAACTCTCCAATAGCACTTCATCACTGTCTCTCGTTTCCTGTAACATACCGCACAATGTTGCATACCTCAGCTCTGACGACCACTATTCAAAATCCGCAATTGCGGCTCCTCAACGCTCTTCACGCTAACAAGCGGCCGATTATGACCTTTCTCGGTCTCCCTTCCACACGCACAGCTCAACTGGTAGCTTCCACTGGCCTTGATGGAGTGATCATCGACTGTGAGCACGGACATATCAGCGATGATTCCATGCACAATGCAGTTATGGCTATTGCTTCCCAGGGAGTCTCTCCACTTGTCCGTTTAAGAATGACACATGCAGACTTGATTAAACGCGCTCTTGATGCAGGTGCTCATGGTATTGTTGTTCCCATGATCAATACACCTGAAGATGCCAGGAACGTGGTTCAACACGCCAGGTTTCCTCCCCAAGGGCTAAGGGGGCAAGGCTCAGCGTTTCCTGGGTTTGCTTTTGGGGTTGATATCCCAACTTACATGACCATGGCCAACGAGACCATTCTTATTTGTCTGCAAATTGAGTCCAAGTTGGGTGTTGAGAATGTTGACGCTATATGCGCTGTGCCCGGTGTTGGTAAGCATACTAGCCACCCTTGACTATAAGTATGGTTCTAAGTTTGAACAGATATGCTTTTTATAGGGCCTAACGACCTTGCTCTGTCAATTTTAGGTTACGCCCCTGCAAGAGGCGATGAGCCTGAATTCAGCGACGCGATTGAGAAGATCATAGCAGTAGCAAGGAAGTATGGCAAATGGATTGGCCGATTGTCTAATGATGGCGCCTCAGCTAGGAAGCATCTCGAAATATTTGATATAGTGGCTTTAGGCTATGATGTGCGGGCTATCCAGAACTGGTATCTAGCTGAACTGAAATCTGCACGCTCGTCAGAATAAAATCAGGAATTATGCAAAACCCTCTTAGCACTTGTGACTGCATTCATCGTTTGAAGAAGCTGCAGAGATCCTCTAGGGCTTGTAACAAAGTAATTAATCAGCATAGGCCTATCAAACGACGGAGACTTGCTGCAAATCGGGAATGGCGCGAACGGAATCTGACTCATTAAATGGATCTAGAATTTGAGTTTTGCAATGACTAATTGGGGGACGGCGCGTTCAAGGCGATGCCGAAGCACGGTAAAAAAGTATCTTGCCGAAGTGGGGATAGTGGGTGTGTATACGAGACTGAGTTGGTGTTCCAAATAGGTATAAGTGTTGGATATTTAACCGGTGCTTTGGCATGAGGCAGAGCTGCAGATTAGAGGTCACCAGCAACTACTCGAAAAAGTTTCGAAATCAAAAATGGAAAAAGAAACCGAGCCTCAGCAATTGATTCATCAAACAGTAGAGTTTCGCATCGGCGACCTCTCTTTCAATATATCTACCGTTCGTCGAGATGGACCTTTGATTCCAATTTTCTTCCTACATGGCTTTGGAGGTACCAAAGAAGACTATGTTGACATTGCCCTCAATCATCTATTCACTGGCCGGCCCTTCATGGCCTACGACACGCCTGGGAGCGGAGAGTCGACGATGTCCGATCTATCCCTGCTGTCAATGCCCTTGCTCGTCTCGATAGCAGAACGAGTGCTTGAGCATTTCAACATCACCCACTACCATCTTGTCGGACACTCCATGGGCGGTCTCGTTGCCAACCTACTAGCTCAACGGCAAGCATCAGCGGTGCAGAGCTTTATCAATATCAAAGGGAACCTTGCCCCAGAAGACTGTTTTCTGAGTCGACAGGTCATCCACTACCCATCCGATGACCCAGAAGCATTTGTTGATGAGTTCCTGGAGCGAACACGACGGTCACCACTTTATGGCAATGGGCTATATGCAGCTTCTTTTCGTTCTAAAGTTCAAGCCTCTGTAGTTCGGCCTACGTTTGAGTCTATGGTAGACTGCACGGACAACGGACGACTCTTGGAAGCCTTTGAGGATTTTGACTTTCCAAGAATGTATATGTTCGGAGAGCAATATGCTTCCTTATCATACTTGCCAAGATTGGTAAAGGCGGGCGTGAAGCTGGCTGAGATACCCCATAGTGGTCACTTTGTTATGTATTCGAACCCTGTGGCGATGTGGGAGCGAATTGCCGAGTTCGTGAGCCTGGTAGAGGGTTTCCATGTAGACAAGACTCTTATTATCTGATCATAGATTAATAGAATTCTAATGCTTGAACTTGACTTATCAGTCTCATGTTAGTAAGGAAAACCGTAAGGAAAATATTATTTAAAGTATACACTTATGGCAGGGAAGAAGAAAGACCTTGTAAGTTTTATATACTTCCCTCCTACTGCCACTAGATAAGCTGCGCAGTCTTGAAAGTTTGCGTTATGTTGCCATTTACTTATTCTTCTATCAGTTCTTCATGCGGCTTAAGACAGCAGCATGGCGTATGTTCCTCTCGTTTTTGATGAAGCTTGCTTCGATCCTAGGCTGAATATTGTCTGCCTTTTTATTCTAAATCGAGCTTGAGAATAAGTGCATTATGGGCGACAGAAGCATGTTTGACTGCTGAAAAACCACGCTAACTCTTAGCCAGCTAGCAATATTCTTGTCCTCTAACAATATCTTCTTTAAAAGCCTCCTTTACTGTATTTGCAAATTTGTCATCAGTCAAGACCTTGAACCCCAATACTGCAATGCCCTTTGCTGCCTTAATTGCTGCATCAAATGCCGCAGGCTCACCAGCCGCCCTTGCAAATCCGGGGGCATGCACATTATCAGTCGGAAGAGTTGGGATAATAAATAGAGGATGAAGCGATGGGCACTCGTAACTGACATTGCCAAAGTCCGACCCGCCCCCAGAGATGTGAGGATCACTCATATCGCCATGGAACTGACTATTGAAGTACCGTGACATAATATCAGTGAACTCGTTGCAGAGGGGCTCGTTGGAATGGAGGTCTGCATATGTGTCCATTCTATTAAACGCGCCCGTTATCAGCAACCTCGTCAAGCGGATAGGAATCTGAGATTGGAGTATACACACACTAACTCAAACTCAATACTGCACCCAGTGGCAAGAGCAGCCCCTTTGAAGTAGTTTTTTACTCGATGCTGAAGCTTCTCGTTCTCCCCCAAGGTAAGAGTACGTACACCAACTTCTTCTACCACGGTTCTCGCCGTGATGATATTTGTCATCCGTCCCCCCTCCTTAATGTAAAGATTGAGGCGGTCTGTAGGTCTAATCTGCTGGCGTAGCATGCTGATCGCGCTGTATGTCAACGAAGCAGCATCCAATGCATTGATACCGTTCCAAGGGACCACGCCAGCATGTGCTGGTTCGCCAGTGAAGATACCTCGGAAGATAGCTACCGACCTACCGCCAACGGCCGCTTCGCCAGCAGGTTGCGGAATGTCTAAAGGCGTACTGGCGTGAACCATAAGAGCAGCATCGACATCCTTAAAGGCACCAGCTCGAATGAGCTTGATCTTCCCACCATCACCTTCCTCAGCAGGGCAACCGGGAATTCGCACTCGACCTGGCGTGCCAGACTGCTTGAGTGCAGCAACAATGCCTAGAAAAGAGGCTATCAAAGCAGTGGCAATCAAGTTATGTCCACAAGCGTGTCCAACGCCCTCGAGGGCATCATACTCGGAGCAGGTGATCACCAGACGACCGCCCTGGCCATACTCTGCAACGAAAGAAGTCTCAAGGCCATAAGCGTGCTTCTCCACAGAGTGGCCAAAGGACTCCAAAAGAGTGGTGATATTGACATGAGCCTTGAACTCCTTGTAGCATAGTTCGGGATTACTATGGTAGGCGTCAGTTGGTATATAATGTAAATGACAATGAAATCCATACTACACTGTTGATCTCTCTTAGGGCAGCCAATTCCTGATCAACGACATTGACTATAGTGTCTAAGGTGCTCTTTCCAATAACTGTATCAGTAGCTCTTGTCTCTGTGTGCGGATGCGATGGTTGTTTAGCACTAGTGATAGCAGCCATTTCGTCGAATACCTATTGGTATAGTAGAGACATAAAGGATGAAGATATGAGGGGGTGATGTGGCGCTTGATAGCTTACTGAAGCAGGGGTTGGCCTTAGTTGATAACAATATGATGCTTTTAAAACCGTGCTTGGGATTGAGAGAAGTCATGCTCGTCCGGCTATTGAGACTAATTTCTAGGTTAGACGATATCATCGTCTAGAGGGCCCACCTTGATTCGGCTTCTCGTCTACGAGCGAGACATGTGGATCTTGGGCACCCACTTTCCTAAATGTCACGGATAAGAGAGCTAGGTCTTATCTACCTAGGACCAGGTTCCCCAGATTTGAGATACGAGAGCTAGTACTTTACCAATTGCCGCTATTAACCGAAGCAAGTTCATAGAGATTCCAAATATTGAAGCACTTCCCGTGCCGAGACTCCTTATCTAGCACATTTTCGAGTACCGCTCTCCAACGTGGCCCGAGCTTCGTCAAGATCCAGCCCTTATCAATTGGATTCTTGGTCTCGACTGCAGTCGCTAGGAGTGCTCGTTGTAGGTCTTTGAGCTGAACCTTGCGAATAGTGTGCTGGGCTGCTTGCATCAGCATGGCTAAGACATCCTGGATGTTATCCTCGGGCAGGCCGGCGCATCGATAGTAGATCATCTTCCACGCGTAGTAGATAGTCAAAAAAAAACGGAAGCGTTCTCAATATGGTCAGAAATCAAGGCCTGATGGTGGTCAGCAGGCATTTCAATTGTCTGGAACCCAACCTTCATTGGCTGACTCCATGGTCGACCAGCCAAACTCAGTAATCTGGCACTGGAGCTGGATCATGCGAACTAGCATATCAAGATGTTGAGCCGAGAAGATATCGTCTAAATGTTGCTCAGCTGGGTACACAGTGCCTCAGTTCAGCTGCAATGCTGGCCGTGAGACTACGCGTAGCCGCCTGAGAAATCTTAGACGTTCGGAAATGTATCGCGGAACCTCACCAGCACAACGGTGACCCATTGCATATACATCCTCTCTGTAGACCCATAAAAGCATTCGGCACAAAAAGGTACGCATAGAAGGCGTCATTGTCATGGCCGGCTCTGGTATCGATCTGGTCAAGATGTCCCCTATCGACCAAGCTTCAAGATATCGCAAGACAGCCACGCTTAGCTTGTAATAGTTTGATGGGTGAGGAAGACGTAGTGGAAGTAAAATGTAGCTAGGATCTCCACATGGTCGACAGGGCTGGTGGATTGTCGACTGACTTCTCGGAATGCCGACGATGAGATAGTAAAGTAAGAAATGGCCAGCGGTGACTCTGCTCTACTAGAAGTAAAATCATCGAAATTGCGTCGTATATGGTGGTCTTAGAGTGACACAGCCAGGGCACAACGTATAGCGACAGAACTGTAAGAGATCTTTCGCAGGAGGAAGACAGGGAAAGACCACGCGGCAAGCTTGTAGGTATGTGCCAAGCAAAACCCATCATGATAGTGTCCCAGAGCTTCACATTCCTCGTAGCCCAAAGTCAGGCTACTATCACTGAGAAGAAGCGTCTGAGACAAGAGAATTTGATTAACAAAAGGTGGTGATCCGAGAGGCATGTGTGCCATCATGTGATCTATAGTTTCCTCATAATTTGGAGAGGATGAGGTTATCAGAAGTGATGATTCTTGCGAATCATTCCAAACTCGAACATTTTCCATGTCGACAGGATGAAAGATATCCAAGGTGGCATCTCGTGAACGTTGAGTCATTCGGGCGCCTTCGGATAGGTCATCAAAGGCCGTCCAGTCCAGCGAATTATTACTGTTGCTCTGAGGACTGCATTCGTGAGCGGCTGGCTCATTTGAATAAGCTATCAAGCATCTTGTGGGCTGCAGCATCCGAAGCGATGCTGATAATGAAGATAGTCTCCTGGGAGTCGAGGCTCCATCGTTGGCCCAATATGGACTACAGCTTAGCTTTAGGCGGTCGCATCGCCGACAGACGGGCAGACGCTCAGCACACTTGAAATTTTATGCCCTACATGTGAAGCATCCTAGAGCAATGACCGACATACATGATCAGTGCGACGTTCCCTGGAAGGGCATCATAGGAGTTGCGGGCGGCGCGGCCAAGGCTGCCATCGGTTCAACGCACCTAGTCAAGATCGCCCTCTGTTTTGTCGCTTCCCCACGATTGCTGCATGTGGCAAATCCCTGGACATTCTTGTTGCGTGCCCTTTATGCCTGTTCAAAGCCGTCGTCTGCCGTCTGGGTAGAAATGCGGAGGTGGTGATAGTTGACAATGGCAGTGTTTTCGTGGTGAGCATTTCTGGGCAGTTTCGGCTATCTAACCTTAAGAGCCGGTTAACGGACGTCCGTTTGAGTTTACCGAATCAAATAAGGGGATACCGGCAAGTTGTCACATAAAACAACCTACTATCAGCAGATACATCATGGCGTCAGCTTCCGAAACCAAGCCCGAGACTCTCGATGGTGAGAAGGCCAGATCAGTGATGGATCAGGACGATGATCCCTCCATCTCCAACATCGAAGAAAAACCTCTGGTCAGAAAGACTGATCTTCAGTATGTACTTGCATACTTATTCCTTTGGCATCTTCGAGGTGGCTTGATAGCTCTGCCTCATTCCCGTTAACTGACAAAGCAATCGCATAACCTGATGCCTATTCTCATAGCTATCTATATTCTGCAATTTCTCGATAAAAGCAGCTTGAATACAGCCTCGCTCCTTGGTATTATCCAGGATACGGTATGTCAACACTCATTAACGGGAGCCATATTAGGGATTTACTGACTGAATGGGTAGAAACTAGTTGGTCAGGAGTTCCCTTGGCTTAACAGTGCCTTCTATTTGGTTACGTTGCCGCTACATATCCTGTTTCAATACTTCTCGTGAAGTTCCAAATTGCCAAGCTACTGGCCTCGTCGATGTGAGCTCAAGTGAACAACCTCATCCAAATTAGGAAGTAAAGCTGATAACAAGTGAACATTTTCATATGGGCGGTAGTTCTCGGCTGCCACGGTGCTAGCGAGAACTTTGCAGCCCTTTGTTCCTTACGTGTGCTCCTTGGTGCCTACGAGGCCACCATGAATCCCGGCTTCACGCTCATCACAGAACTCTGGTACAAGCCGTCAGAGCACGCTGCACGCCACAGTCTTTGGTTCTTAGAAAATTCTGTAGGATCTCTTCTCGGTAGTCTCGTTGCCTATGGTTGCACTTTCATCACTGGAGGACCCCTCGCACCGTGGAGAGTGAGCTCGCCTTCTTTGAACCTCTTCTTTCCACGACAGTCACTCCTCCTTGGGATGCCTCTGGCTGTTTATAATGTAATCGTCGTCCTCCTTCCCGCCTGGCTTACTAAGAGATTCCGCAAATCCCGTTGCATTGTCGCTGCAAGCGCCTCGGCCCTTTCGCTAGTAGGCACGATCCTCGTCCGCCAGCTACCAGCAACAGACAATGCTGGACGCTATATAAGGCTCATCCTATGCGCCTCGTGCGCTAACGTATTCCCAATGATGCTGAGTCTCATATCAAGCAACGTTGCTAGATTTACCAAGAAGTCCACGGTCAACATCGTGTTCCTCCTCCGATACTGTGCAGGCAATATTGCTGGTCCACAATTCTTTATTCCAACATCAACAGAGGCACCCAAATACGGCATAAGAAAAGATGATTTCCCTCTCTAGACTTCTTGATAGCTGACTTTACTCCGTGTCTTCCTCTAGACGGCTTTCATCGCTCTATTTGCCATCTTTTGCATCCTTATTGGCCTCATTCTTGCCTTTAGACTATATCTAGCTTGGGAGAACTCGAGGCGCGACAAAGCTCAGGGGGTATATATTGATGCCGAGTCGCCACAGAGAGATGAGATGCCTGCTATTGCCATGGAGGCGACTGATGTGACGGATTTTGAAAACATGAACTTTCGTTATTACCCGTAGTATCATATAACTGCAAGGAAATATGGAGGATTAACCCTGTGTTTAGGTACGGTATCAGGATGACCAGCGTACGCAATAAATCGAGAAAGATTTGTTCTGATGCCCAGTTGCAAATACGCATTGCCAGGGGACGAGAACGACTATGTAATTAGGAACAACTGGAGCATGGCTAATACGATTTCAGAAACGCGATGCTGCCAGTCTATCACGTGACATAGCTTAGTTCTTAGTTCCCTTCGCTGGAGTTTTACCTCTTAATTCACTTATCATTCACTACAGGAAGACAGTAATGGAGACAGAGAAGCCATTACAAAGGAAGAATAGTCGCGTGGCAATTGGATGGTAGGTTTGGTATGCAAAGTTCTACATAACCGCTAATCTAGACAGTACTGCGTGTAGAGGTACGTAATGCTTGCTGCTGTATTGAGAGAAATTGCTAACAGGAGCAGTGCGCCACGTACGATGTATGTTCTGGCCAGGCTTATCCGGATTTATCTAATTGATTCAAGGCGATAAAGAACTTCCATCATGCTCAGCATGCTTGAAGGCAGGCATTGGCTGTGAGCGCGCTCTGCAGATTCGGTTTCGACCAGGCCTTGGCTCGTCAACTGGATATCCCTTCTCCTCCGATCAAACGTGGGTTCGACCGGCAAAATTTTGTAGGCAGTGCAGAAACATCTTGCGACAAAGCTGACGGCTCAAGTGGAATACGTCGACGAGACGGATCGAGTATCACAGGACTACGAGAGGCACGAGCAAGAAGAGTGAGCACAACAACATATTGGTTTGGAGTATGCTAACAATTCAGTGTGTGTTTAGCTCAAGACTTGTCGATTGATCCTGATCTCGCAGAACCGGGCCAATCGTCGTCTGAAGCTGCGCCCGTATCACCGCCTTCACAAATAGTTCATACCATATCGCCAATGCCGGACATCAGTCATCACGACTTTGCAAACTCTCCTGCGAGTAGTCAATTGACGAGACACCTTCGATATAGCTCTGAGCTTGTTCGCTCCCCAGATTCCCCATATTCCCGGCCACCAATGCAGTTCACAACACGCGAGGCCGAGCTCATCAAGAACTTTACTGAAAACATGGCTTTATGGGCTGATGCAACAGACGTACATCGCCACTTTGAGCTGGAAGTTCCCCGCCGGTCGTTGTACTTTCCTGTGCTACGTTATGCAGTTTTTGCCTTCTCTTCGCGTCACCTGAATCGATATAAGGCAGATACTTCGACTGAAGCGTTGGAATACTATAATTCTTGTCTGAGTGTCTTGATAGAAGCGGTTGACAAAGCGAGTGGACATATTGATGAGGAAACCCTTGCTGCCATCGCTATACTACGGCAGTACGAAGAGATGGACGGTGAGTATAAAAACTTATCATTATCCTTCTTTAGTTTGATGCTGACATCTTATTAGCGGAAGATATGGAAATGCACCTGACAGGAACATCCAGGATCGTGAACTCGATGTCAGAGTTTGACTTCAATGGCGGTCTCGGTGAGGCTGCAGCATGGCTATGTCTACGACAGGACATCTATGTATCACTAACAAGATTGCGGCCTTTGAGATCAAACCTTGAGAACTACCTCCAATCTGATATCTTTCGACGCACTGACGACGCAGCCTACGCAAACAAGATGGTTTACCTTCTTGCGCGATCTCTGGGTTCCATCTACCCATCCGATTCATCTATCTCTAATGAGAGCTTGGAGAACATTCGACTAGAAGTTGATGGTTGGTTTGACTCCAAACCGGCTGCTTTCAACCCAATCCTAGAAAGTGCCAGGAACAAGGGCGGAGGGAATTCATTGCCTATTATTTGGGTCCTTTCACCTTTTCATTGTAGGTCGCATCAGAGGCGATCGGACTAATGCTGATCAAGGTCATTAGCCGTGGGCTTGCAATACTATCATATCGCCAAGATTGTTCTGGCCATGTCCTTCCCTTTCGCTACAGACTCGGTCTTTGAGCAGATCCGAGAGAGCAAGAAGGTCGAGGTTGGATATTGATCGTGATCTTCAGAGAAAATATAACTAACTGACGTAGCGAACGATTCAAAGCCACCTGCTCCAGGTAATAGCATTGGCAAGCTCTCATGCAAAAGCAGAGAATGCTTTGTTCACAGCTCGTCATTCATTATCCATTTGTTTGTCACACTCTTCGATAACGCGACCGTTTCTGTCTCTAACACTTTCTGCAGGGGGCAGCGTCTTTACCGATAGGATGGACCAAGATATGGTCCTCGACTTTTTACGACACATACAACAGAAGACTGGTTGGCAAACAGAGTCACTAAGCTCATCATTACAGCAACAGTGGACGCAAGACTCGAATGAGGACTGATATTTAACAATACCTAACACCTATTTACATATTTTTTCCCAAATCTATAACGTATCACAGCTTAGGCTCCTCAATGCGACGTCCAATCTCATCGAACCGGATTTGCTTTCCACTCACAAGAGCCTCTTGCAGGGCAGCGCCAATTTCAACAGCTCTCACAGCGTTTGTTAGCTTGAGGGGCAGAGGTTTGTTATCCAAGCAAGCCTCAGCAAACTCATTCGCCTCCTGTACAAAGGCCATCTCAAAGCGTCCGTAATAGTGAGCGGGTACCTCGCGGGTAATACCGCCGGAGTGATAGTAATTAACAAGGTTGGACTGGGGGTTTCCGTTGACTGTCAGCTTTCCCTCTGTTCCAATAACCTCTGTGGTATCCTCCTGTCCGTGGGCCATCATTCGAGAGCAGTAGTAGTATGCAATCTTGCCGCCCCAAAACTCGACGATCCCAACAGCGTTATCGTAGTCGTTGTACTTGCCCAAGTCGGGCTGCACGGCACGGACACCGTGGGCCGAAACGCTTTTGGGAATGACTTCATCGCCGAAAAACCAGAGAGTCAGATCGATGTCGTGCACGGACATGTCGACGAAAACACCGCCCGACCAAGCAGCGTACTCCACGAAGAAGCCTGAGGGGTCGTGCTTATCGCAGGTCTGACTACGGATTATGGTAGGTCGGCCGATGGCACCCTGTTGGGTCTTGCTGAAGGCATCACGATAGGAGTCGTCGAAGCGGCGGGAAAAGCCGCACATGACCTTCAAGTGAGGTCGCTTCTTGGCTTCGGCAACTACTTGGCGACACTGGGACAATTAAGTTGGGCAACATAAACATTGGCAACAAGAATACTAACAACTTCAATACTCGTAGATAGAGGTTTCTCACAGAGAACGTGAAGGTCCTTTTGCATAGCTTGGATAGCCTCTTCCGCATGAACCGAGGTAGCTGTGCCGATGACAACGGCCTGGAGACCTTCCTGTTCAATCATATTTTGATAGTCATCGTAAAGCTTTACTCCATGGGGCTCGAGATTGACCTTGGCCCAGGCCATCTCGGTGGGATCGGGAGTGAAGGCAGCGACGAGCTCTGCGCGTGGTGTTCGATTGAGAAAGTTGATGGCATGACGCTTGCCCATACGGCCGAGGCCAGCGGCAGCGATCTTGAGCTTCTGAGGTGCCATGGTAATTGGGGGAGTATAAGAATGAAAGGCCGATGGTTGATGGTTAAGAAGAAATGAAGAGGCACTGAACTTGCATTTATATTAATCTTATGCAAGTGACTATAACCTAGCAGGTCTGGGTTCCCCGGAGGTTCCCCGGATGGCTTTCCATAGCCTTCATAGTCTCTCTACATCTGCATCTTGTTGGTGGATAACCTTGTCTTTGGACACGGCCGTCTTTCCTGTGATTTGAAGTTGGCTGTTTGTTGCAAGTCTGGAATAGTGGGCTTGGTGCGGAAAAGAATGCCCAGATTCAGCATCGACTTGCTTTTCTGGGCATCATCAATCCTCCCAGCGAAAAGCGGGTCAGAAGCAGCGGAGAGACTAGCCATCAACACGGATAGACTTGCCCAGTACAGGATGATGGGTGGAGCAAGGATCACGAGTCATGGCTTCGTTACCCTACACAGTAATTACCTCAACAACGGATACACTTTCCCATCTTTTTGAAGTCTTTCGACCACGGACTGCCAGGCATGATTCCTTTCACGCTAATCTGGATCGTCTACCTCAACCCCATGGGGAGAGGGGAATGTGCTGGTTCTCCGCTTCTACCCCAATATCAGGACTTGGCCACGCTCTGATCCGAGAACCATTTCCATGAACGCTCATTGGTCAGCGAGACAGCCAGTACTGGTCTAGACACAGACTGCTAGTCCTGGGAATTTCCGATGATCGATACATACCTCAATATGGCCGCCCTCATCTCTCACACAAAATTATAAAAAGGTAGGGATCATCACTTTCACTCGCTCATCCATCATCAGCTCCATCATACTCTTCATTCAATCTACCTCCTCTCTACAAGATGGCAAAGAACGACGAAGTCTTAGAGTCGTCTCAGACGCAAGTCAGTCACGTCGAAAATGACACTAAAGGAGGACAGGACTTCATCGAAGACTCTGCTCCTGGCCTTTTCCTCAACTTGTGCGTTGTAGCAACCGCCATCGGTGGCATGCTATTTGGCTACGACACTGGAGTCATTTCTGGAGTTCTCGTCGTTCTTGGAGATGACCTCGACGGTCGGCTCCTGACCCCCAGTAACAAAGAGCTCATTACTGCGCTTTGCGCTGCTGGTGCGTTTATCGGGGCCATCATTGCAGGAATCACGGCCGACAAGTATGGACGAAAGCCTGCTATCTGGTTTGCCTCGGTGCTCTTCACTATCGGCGCTGTTGTGCAGGCTGCTTCATACTCGCTGGTCCAAATGTGTGTTGGTCGAGTTCTGGTTGGTCTTGGTGTCGGTTCAGCCTCGATGGTATGTTGCTTTGGCCCCTGAGACAGACAGGTGTATTGTTACTAATATGTTAGCCAGATTATCCCACTTTACATTGCGGAAATCGCACCAGCCAAGTACCGCGGCCGAATGATCTCGATCGACATGGTTTTCCTAGCCACCGGTTCCCTTCTCGCCTATGCTTTCGACGCAGCCTTCTACAAAGTCCCTCATGGCTGGCGATACATGGTTGGACTAGGAGGACTCCCGTCTATCCTCCTTGGCGTTCTTCTGTTTTGGTGTCCCGAGTCACCCCGCCAACTGTGCTTCCATAATCGATCGGACGAATGCCTTCGAGTCTTGCAACGAATGTATCCGACAGCCAACGAGACGCAAGTCGCTCAGATGATGACCGATATACAATACGGTGTCACACGAGCAAAGGCCCTCAACGAAGAGGTCTCAGTTCGCCAGTCCCTCAAGAGTCTTGTAACTGTTCCTGCTAATCGCCGAGCTGCTATTGTCGCGTGCGGTCTTATGGCTACTCAGCAACTCTGTGGCTTCAATACGATGATGTATTACTCGAGTACCCTGTTTCAGATAGTAGGTTTCGACAACCCTATCGCTGTTGGAACCATTGTAACCGCCACCAACTGGATCTTTACTTTTGCTTCCGTCTTCCTAATTGACAGAGTTGGCCGTCGCAGACTCTTGCTCTGGACCATGTGGGGAATGCCTGTCTTTCTCTTAGTGGCAGCTGGTGTATTCACCAAGATACCCATTGATCGGCAGACTTTGGAGCTCACGGATGATAGAGTTGGATGGCCTGCTATTGTTGTTCTTGTCTCTATGATTCTCTTCGTTGCCAGCTACGCGGCGGGCCTTGGATGTGTACCCTGGCAAGCCAACGAGTTCCTACCTATGGAAGTCCGTGCTATGGGGACCATGATGATCAACATGTGCAACTGGGGTCCCAATATCATAGTATCATCTACCTTCTTGTCAATGATGCGTGGAATCTCCCCGTCCGGCACCTTTGGCTTCTACGCCGCATTGTCGTTTATTGGTCTTCTCTTCGTCTTCTTCTGCTATCCAGAGGCTGCTGGAATGACCTTGGAGGAGATCCGCGTCGTCTTTGAACATGGATTCGGTGTTAGCTACGCTGAAGAATGGCGCAAACAGAGGAAGCTGGGTAACGTCACTCATGGGGCAAGCGAATCCGCTCAAGAAGTTGTTTAGTCCAGTGGCCTCAAGATTATGACATGCAATGGTAGCTACACAAGTCTCAACTCTTAATGCAGTCCTTACTCTCAGAATAGATACTTTCTGAATTAGCCTTCTTACACGTGATCTAATGAGTAGATTCAAACCTATGAATTTTGTAATCATAATGACCAACCGCCAAGTGCAAAACGAGGGACGATCAACAGTACCGGGGCGGTGTTTGAGGCCTTGCTTCCTGGCCAAATAAGACAGATTCGGTCAGCATGGAGCACTTGCCATATAGTGCTGCTACTAACGCGGCGCGCTTCAAAGTGTTGACTGGCCCCGGGCAGTTGTCCGGACTCTTTGATTTGATATAGATACTTTGGACTGCATCTAGCACTGACTATGGGAATCTATCAGTCTGCCACTCCGATACTAGTGTGAGATCTAGTACTTTAAAGAGAATACTGCTGTGTTAGACCTTAGAGGATTGGATTTATTGATGAACGAAGCTGTTACTCTTGTGTCATTCAAGTTAAGGTTACCGCTAGTTTTATGCACAATGGCTTCCCCCATAATATCCTTCACCAACCCTGTTGTGCAAAATGTTGTCTTAAAGATAGTAAGAAGATTATACAGTTCCTTGGGGCATCATTCGCCATTGACGAGACACCCTCTACCAGTTGCAAGCGGTCTCACCATTAGGGTGTAGGACAATGCGAGATTTGACAAATCCACAACCTCCTAAATTCTCAACCTTCATGTTGTAGCACGTCTTGACATTCTTATCCTTCCAGATGCGATGGGCACGGTACTTGCCCGGGTCAACGCAAATTGTTTGAGGGCGGCCACACGAGGTGAAGTCCAAGCAACCGCCAGCAACAGTGCCACCGAGACTGCTGCCGACTTTGGTGCGCTGGCAGTTATTGCAGTCGTTGACTCGAATGTCGGAGTTGGATGAGAAGATTGTCAGGGGAGGGTCACCGGGGTTGCTGGGAGGAACAGGCACGGCGGTGAAGGTGTACACCAGGTCGAATGCCGCGTTATAGTCAGGGCAAGTGCCCTGGTCACAAGGTCCAGCCAGAATAACCATAGAGTCAGCAGGTCTCTTGGTGGTACCAGCCGAGGCAGTGTTATTCCAGTTGGCTGGGTCTTTGAATGCCTTCTTGTCAACACCGTCCCAATCGATCTTGTCTTCGATGTTGAGAGGTGACCACGCAGTGGATTCAGCTTTAGGGGCTGATGCCACTGGGGTGGCCGTGACAGCAGCGGCCATGGCCATGATGAGGAACTTTGTGGCGACCATATTGATAATCTTTGGAGACAGGAACTGTCTGGGATTTGAATATTGAGATGGGCTTGTAGCGTTTAGAAGAAGGCGGGCTTAATGCTTTGAAGTTGTGCCTGGGCTGTTGATATATTAGTTGGAACAGGAGGGTGAACTTGCCTCTTTATACTCGAAGCATGACTGTATAATCCTAAATCTCATGAGGTGAAGATACTTCACTCGCCGCAAGTTGACATGCTGGACGATGCATAGAGTGACCCTCGGCTATGTTGCGATTGGCCCCCTCGCAATTCGCTTATTTTGCAGGGCGCATAAGGATGGACGTCTCGCATTCTTACCTACTAGTTTGTTCATATGTTCTGTCTTACTTTTCTTTTGTCGTAAAAATCTGTTAACGTCGGTCTCAGAAGGTGCTACTTCCATAGTGGGGTCAATACAAAAAGACCTTCTAAGTTAGGTAGGCAAGTACTACAGCAAAAGTTCCCTCCAATCACAAAAACCAGTTTCATTGTGAAAGCTATTAATTCCAAAGGAAACTTCCGTCTTACTGCATAGACGAGTTCTGTTCCCACTTAACTCAGTTGAGAGATCACGCATATAGTAGTGTGATTATCTCAGAATCGTATATAAACCAGGGTAGTGCATCGGCCAGTCACCGGTAAAGTGGGAATTCTTAGTAATAAAGGATCGGATTGTTACCTCGAAACTGGATCGAAATCGTTATCGGTCTTACCTTTTCTTTACTGACTGCCACTTGCCTAAGTGATCCTTAGCCGAGTTCGCTGCAATCCTAGGCAATGTTGAATTGGGAAACGGTGCATTTACGTTCCTTCTCGCCAATCCTTTTTCAAATTGGGACATGAGTCTCTCTAAAGGAATACCCTAATAGAACTAGCCAAATCATGCCGAGTACGGGCCGTCGCTTGCACGATGGGGAACGCGGTCCGGCACAATGTGGATTGGTTGAACTATGTCCTTACTCTGACTGGTCACCGCTTCGGACTTTACGCCGTGGACAAGTCGAAATACATGTTATCACCTATAATTTTAAATACCAACTGCCTTTTTCCTATTTAAGAGCGTGGTCAGAGTTAAACTCTAAGTATCTTGTATGTAACTATAGATCCAGATAACATAGTGGTTGGGATAGATTTGAGTGGAAGTAAGATCAGGCAGGGAAAATAAGTCTCGACCAAAGCGGCGCGGGCCGGGACGGACGGACAAACAGGCCAGCCGTGGATCCCACTGTGGGCCTGGAGTGTCTCGGGATGCCTTCCGGGCAAGGATGACACCGGTCTTCGGAGGTTCTATAATCCGAATTAATCCACTTGCCCTTATCTTAAGGTTCTTCGCCTCATCAAAAGTTCAGTAATTTATTAATCTCAATCTAACGTTATCTAATTACTATTTTCCAATTCGAGGTCCCTTAATTCCATTCCCAAGCTCCCTTTAGTGCAATTAGCTAGCTGCAGGCAGTATTTTATACAGCCAGGAAGGCATTGGAGCTCATTTCGCTTGTGCCTCCCTATAAAGAGATCAGGCAGCAGCCCCCATGTCCAGGATAAGGGAACACAAGCTGTCGTCATCATACCCTAGAGCCAATTAGTGTTCCATTTTCAAGCCCAGCTTGATTACATGAGTATATGCATTATGCATTGCTGCCCAGTTACTCCGATGAAGTATTATGTAGGATAAATATTTATGTCTATGACAAAACGCGGACAGGAAGGAGGCATGTAATCTCATCACAAAGCGGCAAATTCAACACCTCTTGCAACGCTCTCAAACATCATCCAACGACTTCTTGCCCGCAAAAGACAAATTTGTAATCATAACAACACTTTTCATTACCGCACGAGTAGTAGTGGTAGGGAGATGGAGCAATATGTTGTGTCGCTCCGAGAGGCTATTTATAGTCGACCAGACGGAAATTCTGAACGTTCTCGTCATCTTTATGAGCTGAGCAGCCTCCTTCGCCAGCATTATGTGGCTTCAAATGGAGAACGAAATCCAGAACAGGCGGTTCTTATTGCTCGAGAGGCGGCTGAAGTCGTCCCCAATGACAGCCCAATGGCTGCAAAGTATTTAAACAGCCTGGGTCGCTTGCTGCGTCACAAGTTCGACTTCAAGGGAGACCCAAGAGACCTTGATGAGGCTGTTCGATTTTTCAGGCAGTCTGTTGATCAGTGGAAAGAAGAGGACCCATCTTGGATCCAATGGTTGACGGACCTTGGAGATAGCATCTATGTTCGACATAATCTCACAGGATCACTGCCAGATCTGGAGGAGGCCATTGAGCTGGCGAGAAGAGCACTTGGAGACATAGCAGAGAATGATCCTGAAGCTATAGACCTTACGATCGACCTCGTGGTCCGGCTTCGTACCCAAAACAAGCGAACAGGGTCTATCTTTGCTGCGGAAGAGGCCATTGAGATTGCCCAAAACATTCTCGAATCATCCCCAGAGGATCATCCATCCCGCAGTACATTACTGCATCTACTAGCTGGCAGCTTTTCAGATCGATTTGTCCTTGCCGGTGTTATGGATGACCTCAATCAACACATCGCGTTTTCGAGACAGGCTATTGATGCAACCTCCTTTGATGATTCAGAAAGTGTCACACGACTTGCAGGCTTAGCTGTGGGCCTCAGTGATAGGTACGCTAGGACTGGAGCACTGGGTGATCTCTCAGAAGCTATCAGGATAGCGAAGATGGCGTTTGAACAAACGGAAGAGGGATCTGACGATTGGGCAACACATGCTTGCAATCTCTCAGGATACCTCCTGACATTGTACCAGAGAACTGGAGACCGGCTGGACCTTGACACAGCAATTGCATTGGCTAGAGGTTCAGTGGACTCGACACCGACCAGAAATTCTCTGAGGCACATACGTCTCGGAAATCTGACAGCTTGTCTAATCGCTCGTTTTGATAGTACAGGCTCCTTGGACCACCTCGAAGAATGTGTGAAAATGGGCCGAGAGGCTAAAGAAGCTACCCCTAAGGAACACGTTAAGTGGCCGGCGCGGCTGCATGATCTGGGAGCCATCATGCAAAGAAGATATCAGATGACGGAAGATCTTGAAGATCTCGATGAGGCTATTGGTTTGACCCAGCAAGCCCTGTTCGCTTTGGGGCCAAACCATCCACAGCAGGCTGATACCATATCTCTGATCGCATTGTTCTTTGCAAAGCGATACGGGGAGACAGAGTCAACCGAAGATCTTCAGCGAACAGAGTTCTTCTACAGAGCTGCTCTCTTTCAAACACAATCGCCAATCGTAACGCGCATCGAGGCAGGTGTGAAACTAATCTCAGTTTGCATGGTCCAGCGGAACATGGAGAAAGCTTACGAAGGCGCCAAATACGTTGTGGATCTCATCCCGCATATGGCTGTACGGTCACTGGAGAGCTCCGACAAGCAGGACCTTTTGCTTAAGATAGGCGGGGTGTCATCTGAGGCGGCTGGTCTAGCACTCTATCTGGATGAAGACCCGTTAGTGGCATTGAGTCTTTTAGAGAAGGGTCGCGGCATATTTGCTTTATCTCTGGATGAGATGCGTGCAGATATAAAGACCTTGGAAGAGCAATGTCCTGATCTAGCAAGGAAGTTTGTTTCGCTTCGCGAACAGCTCTCGGCCTCTACTTCTTCAGGAAAGACGCTGGATACTAAGGATCCTGAATGGAATGTTGACGAGAGTCGACGTCACGAGGCAGGCGATGAATTTGAAAGCTTGCTTCGAGAAATCCGGCAGCAATCAGGTTTTGAGACCTTTCTGCTACCTCCCTCAGAATCTGAGATACGATTTGCGGCGGAGCGCGGCCCCATCGTTATCATCAACACCAGCATGCTACGTTGCGATGCGATCTTGGTCGAGAGCCACCAGATCACGTCTGTGCCTCTGACTGACTTTAACCGCCGCGACATGATTGAGTATGTAAAAAACGGCACATTCAAAAGTGATGAAGCCCTTCAATGGCTATGGGACTGTGCCGCAAATCCTGTATTGAACGCGTTGGGATTTGATAAACCCCCTCCTAAGGGAGATTGGCCTCATGTTTGGTGGATCATGACAGGGCTTCTGAACAAATTTCCTATTCACGCTGCTGGCTACCACTTGAAAGGATCTTCCGAGACCGTCATTGATAGAGTCATCTCGTCTTATCATGGTTCCATACAATCAATCATCCGTAGTAGGAAGCGGCCTACTTCGGCTACTACCCAGACAAATGCACTGCTCGTCGCAATGGAAGCCACTCCTGGGAGCTCTAAGCTCCCCTTCGCGACTGGAGAAATAGCAGCTATCCGTGGCATATGCAGGTCAATGTCAATCGAGCCCGATGAGCCTGAACCAACGAGGGATAAAATTCTGCCAAGCCTGCTGGAATGCGGGATATTTCACTTTGCAGGACATGCCTGCACAGATCCTGAAGATCCGATTGGAAGCTATCTCTGTTTGGATGAAGAGAGGGAAAAATGCCTGACCGTGTTGGACCTGCTAGACATGAATCTGCAGAGCCGCTCCCCTTTTCTTGCCTATCTATCTGCCTGTGGGACGGGTCGTATTGATCATAATGACCTGGCGGACGAAGGAATCCACCTCATAAATGGGTTTCACACGGCTGGCTTTCGCCATGTCATTGGGACTTTATGGGAAGTCAAGGATGAAATCTGTGTAGACATGGCTATGTTGACATACGAAGGAATGATGCAAAATGGCATGACAGATGAAGCGGTCTCTCGTGGACTTCATGAAGCTTCCAAAGAGCTTCGAGATCGCTGCTTGACTATGGCTGGGACTCATCACCGGACAAGTGTGAGCTTACAGGTAAGAGCTGGTGAAAATCAGACGGGCGATGGAGATGAGTTTGGAGGGAGAGGTCTTGACGGGTTTTCGAGGGATATTGTAACTTGCGACGAGGAGCCTGTTTATCCGCCATGGATTCCGTATATTCACTATGGGGTCTGATGTTTAGTTATGCTAATGTTTTCATAAATTGATAACTCACAACTGAAAAACATCCCTTGCTCGACTCTATAACTAAGATCTATAAATGATTACAACAGGTATTAGCTGCATCGTCCTTCGCCGAAGGTCTGACCATAATGGATAACCCGTGCCAAGTCTTAGGAGATGAAAGACTCTCAATACCGTGCATAAGCTGAGCTGAAACCATAATTATTATCATTGGCTGAGAGTACCGAAACTTTGTGAGTGCAAGTCTTTATGTCTCACAGTTGAGACACTTCACCAGGCGAGGCGTTCAGCAATCTGTCAGCTGCTGATATATATGACGGGGAGGCTTACTTGCACTTCCAATCATGGAGTCCAAATGTAAGACATGCTGCGGAACGTCCATCTTCCGAATCAGAACTGGGATTATTAGTTGGGACTTGTCCGTGCGGCCGCCCAATGCGCGATACGACATCCTCTAGTATGTCTCAGAAGCCGCGTATGCGGCTTTGGACGAATCCAGTGACGTGTAGCCGTGGTTGAATAGCGAAGCTTGCTTGTGTCTTGTTAGCTTTGTAGCAAGTCACCGGATCATTGCTGTTGAGGACAGCTTAAGCAGCATGTATTTATGGCAGTACTGGTAGCTCAGCCCTGCAGATAAGTACTTCGTTGTGATCGGCGGCTGGCTGTCCTTGCCCCCGACAATCGAAATACCAGCCATGATCGAGAATCGCCCAGTCGATTCTGTTGGCATCAATACTGCAAACAAGGCGTATGTCTCACCTACATCTCGATTTATTTACCGTAATATTGTCACAGTTCGCCGGAAGAAGGTTGCATTGGGCATGGCCATCAGCCTTATGCATCCTTCGAAGCCAACTGTGTGGTTATAAATGGTATAAGTAACTACTCACTCAGAACTATTTATAAGACTCGACTAAGTTTGCGCATCGGTTCCTTCCACAATCTTTACACGACACAAGTTAACCATGAAATTCGTATCCATTTTTCCCATTTTCGGTCTCCTAATGCCTCTTTGCTGGGCTCAGGCTGACCCCAATACCCTTGCAAGGTACAATCCAGCCAACAGGACAATGTCAGCTAATACCAGTACGTATAGAGCAAGCTATTCTAAACATTGTTGCAATCTACTGACAAAGTTTCCAGCATACTGCCTTGTTCCCATCAGCAAAACACTTGTCAAGACCATCACTGGGTATAATCCCTTGGACATCGACACTGACATCTTGCCTTCTTTCCCTACTGGAAAACACCCACTCATTGTCCAAGCTGGTTATAATAAGGATATTCGCATGACGGCACTGAACCTTGTCCCGCTGCAGATAGACTCTCTCATGCAAGGCTCTCTCATTGTGCCTTTTGTTGACGTCACAAAGGACGGACAAACCCCCATCGGCGTCCCAGTCAACTATTACATTGGTGGGACTAATGGCCAACCGCTCCAGGCCATCGTGCCTAGTGTAGCCTCAGGTGTTTCTCCCTTTGAAGGGACCACCATATTCCCGGCGACATTTTCTCCTGATACATCAGCTGCGAGGGCTCTCCCCAATGGTTTCAATAGTATACAAGTGAAGCCCTTCCTTCTACCAAATACTATCTCTGGGCCTGGAATCTACGCTGAAGCATTCGACATGTCGTTCAAAATAACAGACAGTTCCCCTTATACAGCCCACACTTTTCACTCACTATTGAATATCCCCCAGCTTCTCAACACCAACAAGTGTCAGCGCAATACTGTCTATTTCAACGAGTCGTCTTCTGAGCCCCAGATGGTTACTGGGGAGGTGACTCTCTATCACCAGATTTTGGCTACACCTCCACAGGGACTAGAAGGAGTTTATCGGGATGTTTATTGCTATTCAGCTAATGGTCAGATTGTATCGAGCGTGGGGGAGCCTTGTAAAGAGGCGGCAGCAAACATGGATCCAGAGGCCAAGGTTTAGGGATCACCCTAAAAAGAGACTGTAGCCGTAATATGAACTTCACGGACGAATGATCCACTCAATCCATTTGCGATGATAAAACCTCGATCGCACTACAGAATGCCCCATTCATCAAGGTACTTTATCACTAGTCCCTGAAACAAATACAATAAGAACTGTAGCATATCTGAGGCTTTATGTTAGCACGGTATAGTTACACCAAAGGGTTCGCACTTACGTTGTACCAGCCACTACAAGCTCGGTAGTTTTCGCCCTCGTTAATCCAGAAAGAACCAAGAGGTAAACGATAGTCGACATCATGACAATGAAAATCCGCACCGCAGCTGTCGACACGACGTTACAGACAACAATTGGCAGTAACAAGAGTAGAGTCACCAAGCATATTAGTAGCCCTTTGGCAACACGACTCACAAAAGGACCGTTGTATATATGGACGTTCGGGTCGGAAGAAACATATCGATTACTCTACATCTATTAGTATAGATATCTTGTGTGATGCGGAAGTGGCATACCTCTCGGAACTTGGGCAGAAACTGTACAAGGCGCTCTTCTATCCAACTCTCAAACCTCTTAACTGCGTTATCAATTGTTGGTACCAGTGAGACGAGGTCACGATCGTGTTCAAGGTAAGAAGTCTCGTTCGCAGCCAAACACCCGTTCCCATCAACCCAATTCCTGAGGCTTTGCACATCACGAGATTCCGCATCGCTAAGAGTGAGTGCTAGATTTGTCTTATCTATGAAGCTATCTGCGATATCGTCAGCAGAACAGATACGCTAGTCAAGAAGGTCCATACCGTAATCAACCAGTGCGGACTCTATCCTCGACATGACTGATAGCCTTTCAACATTTCTATCAATGCGACTCTTACCAAGAAAGATCGGTGCCTTTTCCTGTTGGTCTATTTGGTCGAGTTCGTTCTCTAGAATTGATAATTGATCTTGTTTTAGGAGCAATAGCCGTGCTCTGAGTCTGTTAAAGCGCCGAAAGATAAAAAAAGGGCTATGCGATGCGATAAGGGCTGTAAATCTTGGGTACCCTGGTCTGAAATCTTCAACTAGAATGGGGGTTAGATGATCATGCACTTCTCACGGGAAAGACATTTTACTTTTTCCTGTTGGTGGTTTGGATAATTGCGACGGAGTTGCCGAAAGAGGAAGAATGGGCTGACCCGTCATGGTGTCGGCAAGGTGGGATTGTTAGCACACAGAGTGAACTCGTGCAGGACTCTAGGACTTTACAAGCCACTTTCAGGGAAATGCCGGTTACTTTAATCATTGAGCAGGCTCTCGAGGTATCCAATTGAGTGACCCCACGTGCACATGCAAGTCGAGGCCAGGCGGGCAGCATACATAAGGTCAATACCCACTGTTTTGTCGTTATTCCATTTCTCCATTTCTCGCAATTCCACTAGTGTCACCTCAAGATGTCTGACGACCAGCAGTAAGTGGTTGAAACTATGAACTTGGAGGTAAGCTAATGCTGGTCACTCCCAGAAAGAACGAATCGCCTGAGTACACCTCGGGCGGCAAGCGACCATTTGTCTCGACATACGAAAATGTACGTAATTACTGTCACTTGACTCACTGAAGCTGTTGTACTGAATCAGGCTGCGCAGGCACCAAGCCTTAAAGTAGGGGATAGTGTCTATCTGCTGAACACGGATGGGTCCCGAGAGGGCCCGTATCTTGTTGCGACAGCCCCAGTTTCCGGACAATGCACGCTTTGTCATACCGATGGGAACCCATTCAGAAACAATGCGGACATTGATGTGGATGAGCTGGAGGCCTGTTGAATGAGCGCCGCGGGAAAAGCAATGATAAGCACGCATTGCTGGGGCCCATGATTCCTCACATCATTTTGTGTGGCTTTTTCAGGCAGAAATGCATTTGGGGCAGTGTAAGGCAGCCAAAAGGCAAAGTACATTGAAACAACAATGCATATGCATAAGAGTCACCGTAGTAAGACCAATCACATACATATTCTGCGTTACCCCTCACGATAAGACTTACGATAAGTCAGACCCAGTGAATAACGTCACAAATCAAGTTCCAGACCATCAAAAACAATGGCCGAAAAGAAGTTTGTTTCGCCAAAGCATCATGCTATCCTAATTGGCATCGACGCTTATCCTGAGAAATACAATTCGTCGCTGAAGGGTTGTGTACGAGACACGCAACAAATCAGATCATTACTGGAACAGCAACCTTTTCACATCAATATCCAGACCTTGACAGCTACGCAAAGCTCTGATAGCAGCATCACAGGGCCAGTTGAAGATCCTGCTAGCTTGCCAACTGATGACAATGTAATCAAGGCATTCAGAGATCTTACATCTGCGGCTCAGCCTGGAGATTACATCTATATCCATTACTCTGGCCATGGCACCCGCATCGCTCCCACTGCTAAGGCATTCTCCAACCAGCATACTGGAGACTTGGCTCTAGCCCTTCTTGGTGGTGAGAATGGAAACGAAGTGAGGCCACTTGGAGGGTACAGGCTAGCAGTTTCTCTGAATGCAATGGTGTTGAAGGGTCTGGTTGTCACTCTAGTTCTTGACTGCTGTTTCGCAGCAAGTATCTATCGCCTGGACCGTCGCGATATTCGATTCCTTCGAATTGATCCAGACCTGGCATCTGCGTACTTCGCCGACAAAGACTTGTTCGAGCAAGATGAGGAAACACCTGACTCAGGTTATCGCGATATATCTATGCTGCCAAGCTGGTTGATAAACCCAGATGGCTATGCACTTCTTGCAGCTTGTGGTCCTCATGAAGAGGCGGGCGAGATAATCCACAAAGAACAGTCCCATGGCGCTTTGTCCCATTTCCTGAACCTGAGCCTGAGAGATAGCGGGTTGAATCGCAAGCACAAGAACATTTTCTACCGCCTCACCTCCAAATTCCGTGCTCACTCAGTTCAGCAAAATCCTGCATTGTATGGGAACAAAGACCAGGGATTCTTTGGTGAGAACAATATTACGAACTCACGATCTACGGTACTTGTTGTGAGAAATGGACAGCATTTTGCATTGCAGGCGGGTCATGCTCATGGAGTATCCGACGGCGATGAGTTCATTCTGTATCCCTCCAGTGTGCTTGAGAATAACGAGGCCTTTCACGCAAACCTTATGAAAACGACGGTTGAAAGAGCTGGCCCTTTGACAAGCAAGTTACAACTGGTTGATGCCATGGCTGCGACATCTGAGAATGACTGGGTTGCTGAACCACAAACGAGGCGAGCTCTTGGCAAGTTCTCAGTTTCTTTCAGCGATACGATATCTCCCCAGAATACCTGGCCAGAGGCTTTAACAAGATATGGTATGACACACGCTGGCGAGCACGGATTGGCATCCTGGTTCCACGTCGAAGCTATCGGCAACGAGTACAAGATTCTGACTCGAAATGGTGAAGAAGTGATGAACGTCCCGTCATTGTCCCAAAATACATCAACTGCAGATGATGTGGCTGCAGTTCTGGAGCATTTAGCTCGATACGAGGTTGTCAAGAGCCTTTCAAATCCATTTGTGGAAGAGGATTTCCGAACGTCGTTCGACATCAATATTGTACGAGCGGGGGATCGCTTTGGCCCAGATATTCTGGTCGACGTTGAACAAGATGCAGGCAAGGGAGCTATGTTCGAGCTCAAACTTCAGAACCACGGAACCAAAGTTTTGTACCTGTATATCCTTGACCTTGGCCCTCTTTGGCAAATTGAGGATATATATTGTGGCAGCTACGTAGTGGTTCCCCCATACAACCAGAATGAAAGGTTCATGACGGGCAGCTTTACCAAGAAGTTCAGAACCATGGTACCCGATGAGCTGAGAAAGCAGGGCATTGAAGAGTGCTTTGATACTCTCAAGGTCTTGGTCACGTCTCAGCCGACTTCCTTTGACTTGCTGGAGCTTCCCAAAATTGGTCATGCTCTCAAGAAGAGATCACCAGCCGACAATGATAGGTCCGCCGGTAGCTCTTTTGAGCATTGGATCGCTTTTAACTTTCCGCTAAAGACGTCACTGGCAGCAGAACTAAGAGCCACGAAGACCTGTTGACAGTCTAGGGAGACTGCTATTCTTGAACCGGTATATTAATGTTAAAGGATTTAGGCCTCTTCTAGCGAGTGCGTCCATGGTGTCACCGTTTATTTGCACTCCTAATCCGTAATTCGATGCAACAGCTAACCACTCGTAATAATTAGTCTCGTTTTCTTCTGGAACAGACCAGGCGTAAATCCAGACCCCATAAGCTGTGGCTTGTCGTCCATACGGCACAAGCCATCGTCGTAGCTCCACTGCATACACTCGGCGCATGACTCGCAAGCTGCTTTGTAAGAGTAAGCGCCAAGCCTCCTAGCCTCTTCTTCAGGTTTTCCGAGCGGTGGTACGTCATTTGGCATTGAGACCATGCCGATAAGCGGCACAGAACATAACGTAGGATATAAAACGGTCTGGACATACCCCGCAATATTAAGACCCTCTAAGCGATATCCATTACTCGAAACCAATAACCGTCGCTGGGGCCACTAAGCAATCAATATGGAAAAACTCGACCAAGACATCTTGGAAGCCACCACGAACATGCCGACAGAGCCAGAGAAAGACGACGCTGGAAAAGAGTCTCTTGAAAAGCTAGCAGACTTATTAATCGCTCGGTATCAGCAAACTGGAAACACGGATGACCTTCGGGAATCGTTACGCCATAAGATGCTGCTATTTCGCTCCTTGCATATTCCTATTGAAGCATCTCTTTGGTACGTGGTCATTATAGACGAATCCATAGGCTCAGATGTCCCATGTCGTTACGAAGAGACCAACGACCCTGAGGACCTCAGAGCAGCCATCACTATCTGCTGGCAAGTTTTCTTTGAAGAGCCCAGAAATGCTGAACATGAAGCACTACGAGTGAGGCTACCATTCATACTGCGTACCATAACACTACTATTATATGAGGAGTCGGGAAGCTTGGGCGATATAGAGATGGCAGCGTCATACTCAAGACAGGTTTTGCCTTTTGTTCCAAATGATATCGAGGACCGAGCCAACCCTCTTGATGAGTTCGCTAGGACCCTATTCAAGAAATACCAAGTGCAAGAGAATCCAGATATTCTCACAGTTGGAATACCATTATCAAGGGACGCCATTTCCGCCACACCTGAAGGTCATCCCGAGTTACCAGCTAGAGTAGCTAACCTCGGGGCTTGGCTTTTACGACGCTATGAAAGAAACGGAAATACGAATGATCTTCGAGAAGCAATTGAAAAGACAGAACTCGCCATTAGTCTGTTAGACAAAGATAATTTTAATCAACTGAGATTCCTAACCAACCTTGGGATCATGCTATTTCGACAGTTGGAGCTCACCTGGGATGAGAATGATCCTGAACAGGCTGAGATTATGGCATCTCGCGCCGACATTGGTAGAGGTTTGCATGTAAACAGCATTGCACACCCACTACTTGGAATTGAGGCAGCGAGAGATGCCATCCGTATCTTCAAGTTTCACGGAAGGCTAGAAGAAGCAAATTCACTTACTCAAAAGGCATTGCAGTTACTACCAATGGCCTGTCATCCAACTATCGCACAACAGGAACAGCAGCACGCCATCCAACAGATGTCGAGGTTCGCAGCCGAAGCTTGCTCCCTATCACTTCTTGTTGGAAAAACGCAGGAAGCGCTTCTGAGTATTGAATTCAGCTGTGAACTCATCCTATACCATTTGATTAAGTATCGAAACAAACTACCTCTTCTAGAACAACAGAGTAAGAGGTCGGCAGAACGTTTTGACCAGTTACGATCTGCAGCCGCCCAACCCGTGGATACCGTGAACCAAGTCACTATACAAGATCGGATTGTGCCAGAAGCTCAGGACTTTGCCCACGACCATGACTTTGAACTCGCGGTGATTAGGAACCTACCAAACTTTCAAAACTTTCTTACATTGCCAAACCTAGACGACTTAGTCAAGGGAGTCACTGATGGGTCAATCGTGATAGTAAATATCACTGCCCTCAGCAGCGATGCCATAATTATCCTGCCGTCTGGGAAAGGAATCAGGTCCCTCAACTTACCAAAGGCAACATCCGTGGGGAACCTATTTCTTGACAAATATTCGAAAGCTTTCGGTCGTGTAAGAAAGTCCCAGGGTTTAGAGGAACCGGACATAGAGAGCGACAAGGATCTGTATGACGAACAGTTTCTGAGTTGGCTCTGGACTGCGTGTGTCTCTCCGATCGTAAAGGAGATCGTAGAGTCACAGTCATCATCGTCAACCTCTCGAGTTTGGTGGATCGGGACGGGTATCGCCAGCAGATTTCCGTTCCACGCAGCAGGAAACTCCGAGGGTAGCACTTTGGATAATGTAATCTCGTCTTACATTCCATCTATCACGTCTTTGATCGAAGCAAAAGCCAGCGTGACATGTAGTGGCATCAACGGCAACAATGGCGACAGGAACTCATTGAGGATCGTCATGACGCCCAGAGATTCAGATGAATGTCAGCCCCCAGAGCCTACAGATGTGCGGCGAATAATAGAGGAGGCTCTTGGGGTGACCTTCAAGGTGGTGGCCCTGTCAGAGCCATCACTTGAAGAGACATTGCAAAGTCTGCGCAGGTCTCAAGTTATCCATTTTATTTGCGACGGCTACTCTGATCCTCTGAAGCCGTCCCAAAGTTACATTCAAGTTCACAGGTGCTTATCCCTGGGTGCAGGCGAGGAGAAACTGACTGTAGAGTTGACATCTAACAACACAACTTTGGACAAGTCACAAATTGCTTTCCTCTCATTGTACCCCTCAGCAGAGGGTAAGGCCAAGCAATCGACTGATGGAGGGTTAGGCATCATCAGTGCATTCCAGTTGGCTGGATTCAAGCATGTTGTGGGATCTTTATCAAACTCCGATGGCGCTTCTCATGCTCATGTTACTGAGAGCTTTTATCAGTCTATAAAAGAGAATGGGTTGGTTGAAAACGCGGATTGGGTGGTGGCAGAGGCACTACATGATGCTCTAAGAAACGCTAGAGACCATGACAAAGATCCACATTGGTGGGCTCCATACGTTCACTCGGGTGCTTAAGTAATAGCATACAGATTAGGCTCCAACTGCCAGTTCGAGCTCAGTATAAAGATAGACAAGCCCATTAGCGTTTTGATAGACTCGAGCCCACCATCTAATAGCACCCGCGACGCTCATTATCAACGGAGCTGCGGCTGGTATCATGGCAGGCCATGAAACCAATATCTTAGAAATCCATTCCCAAGCCAACTCATTCGCAGAGAACATTTTATCAAGCGCCCGTACAATCCATGCGTTTGAGATGCGCGACAGGCTAGTCCGCAAATTCAACACCTACTTGACCGATGCCCACCACGTTGGTAACAAAATCTCGCCTCATTTTGGCACCTTGCTTTCAGCCGAGTATTGCATTGTCTACCTGGGCTACGGTCTTGCTTTCTGGCAGGGTATCCGAATGTTTTCTAAGGGTGAGATAGACCAGCCTGGAGAAATCGTCACGTAAGTAGCTCTCGCACAGGTTGGCCAAGTTACCCGCTAACAATCAAGTGTTATCCTCTCTGTTATCATCGCCGCCACCAGCCTCACAATGCTTGCGCCATATTCCGTCGACTTTACCCGGGTATCTGTTGCTGCGGCGAAAGTCTTTGACCTCATCGACCGCGAGTCCGAGATTGATTCATTCGACAGCACCGGTAAAATACCATCAGAGACGATAGGAGAAATTTCTGTCGACAATGTTACTTTCGCCTATCCAACCCGACCCGGTATCGCAGTCCTTGACAACTACTCCGTCAAGTTTCCTGCTGGAAAAACTACTGCCCTAGTTGTGAGTTCAAAACGTCGCCGATATGGAAGTGTGTCTAACTGTCTTTTTTAGGGTCAATCTGGATCCGGAAAAAGCACTGTCATCGGCCTCCTTGAGCGCTGGTATAATCCTGAGTCCTGCACGATTTCGTTAGATGGCTGCCCAATCGATCAGCTGAATCTGAACTGGCTCCGAACCAATGTCCGTTTAGTGCAGCAAGAGCCAGTCCTATTCCAAGGAACCATCTTCGATAACATTCGGTCTGGCCTAACTGGCACTGCATGGGAAGATGCGCCAATAGACGAGCAGATGCACCATGTCGAAGAAGCTGCTAAGCTGGCGTTTGCCCATGAGTTCATCTCTAAGCTACCTAATGGATATAATACCCAGGTTGGCGAGCATGGGTGCCTGCTCTCTGGTGGCCAGAAACAACGTATTGCTATTGCGCGCAGTATTATCTCCAAGCCCAAGGTCCTTCTTCTGGACGAGGCTACAAGTGCACTTGATCCTGAAGCTGAAGGTATTGTTCAAAAGGCGCTAGATACGGTCTCTAAGGGTCGCACGACAATTGTTATCGCTCACAAGCTTGCTACTATCCAGAAGGCCGACAACATCATCGTCATGATGAAAGGACGCATCGTCGAACAAGGTACTCATCAGTCTCTGACCATGTGCGGCGGTACCTATGCTCAACTCGTGCAGATTCAGAACCTCACAGCACAGGGCGACGAGTCTAGAGACATTACGGACCAATCTGAGCCCCTAGATCACGTCCCGATGTCTACTGAACCAAGCAGCACTTTGACTCGGCATGAGACCTCCCACCAAAGTGATGTCGATGGAAGCAAGGATCTAGGTGGATATGATCAGCATGAGCAGCGCGGTGTCATCTCTGTCATTATTCGGATCGTTGGCCAGACGCCTGAGCTGAGGTTGGCATTTATTGTCATCCTGATGGCGTGCATCGTGGCAGGTAAGTGGTCTTCTAACTCTGGTTCTGTCAACCCCCCTCGGTTACTAACATCTCGCAGGCGCGACCTTTCCCGGCCTGGCCATTCTTATTGCCAATATCGTGGAGGTCTTCTCTCTCACAGGATCTGAGATAGAGCTTCAAGGCAACTTCTATGCCAAAATGTTCATCGTCTTTGCCTGCGGGTGTTTCGTTGCCTACTTCGCTTTAGGATACGCCACAAACGTTGTTGCTCATAATTTGAGTCACAAGTTCCGCAAATCTATTCTTGAGAACATCCTTCGACAGGATTTGCAGTTCTTTGATCGAGAAGAGAATACCACCGGAGCGCTGATCAGTCAAATAGACTCAAACCCACAGGCTGTCCTTGAACTTATGGGCTACAACGTTGGTCTTATCCTTGTCGCCGTCTTCAACATCACTGCCTGTAGCGTCTTAGCTATTGTGTATAGCTGGAGACCTGGCTTGGTAGTCACCTGCAGTGGCCTTCCCCCTTTGGTTACTGCCGGTTATCTTAAAATCCGGTTCGATGCTAAACTGGATCGCGAGACGTCGAGGCTCCTTTCACTCAGTGCTTCTATTGCTTCCGAAGCGATAAATTCTATCCGGACTGTTTCATCTCTCCCTATTGAGAATTCGGTGCTGTCTAGATACTCCCACGAGCTGGATCTCGCATTGGCTGGCTCTAAGCGACCTGTGTTGGCCATGATGATCTGTTTCGCCTTTACACAGTCTATCGAATACTGTTTTATGGCCCTTGGCTTTTGGTACGGTTGCTACCTTTTATCATTTGACCAGATTAGCATATATGCTTTTTTCGTTGCCTTCTTAGGCGTCTTCTTCTCTGGCCAGTCGGCTGCCCAACTTTTCCAATATTCGACCAGCGTCACTAAAGGCATCAATGCGGCCAATTATATCTTTTGGCTTCAGGACCTTCAGCCGTCGGTAAGGGAAACAGACGAAAACCGTGGAAACGGCCCTGAATCTGGCGATACGGTGAACATCCTTGATGTGCACTTTTCTTACCCTCTTCGACCCGAGATGCGCATCCTCAGAGGCATAAATGTCAATGTAAGTAGCACGCTTTGCCGCTTTGTTCTCACGGCTAATCATTTCTATGTAGATAAAGAAGGGTCAGATTGTTGCTTTCGTCGGAGCATCTGGTTGCGGCAAATCTACAATAATCGCTCTACTTGAACGGTTCTACGACCCCACAACAGGCTCAATCGACATTGACTCGACCTGTTTGACTTCTCTCAACCCTCGACTGTATAGTCGCATTGTAGGACTCGTTCAACAAGAACCCGCATTGCTTCAAGGTTCGATCCGCGAGAATATCGAGTTGGGTGTCGATGAACCCTCTGACGATACAATTTCCTCGAGTGCCACAGGAACGGTCAGCGATAAGGAGATCGAGTCGGCGTTGCGAGCTGCCAATGGCTGGGATTTTGTGTCATCTCTGCCTGAGGGTCTTTCTACCCCTGTTGGTTCTCATGGTACCCAGCTGTCTGGTGGCCAGCGGCAACGCATTGCTATTGCCCGTACACTTATACGCGATCCGAAAGTGCTGCTTCTTGATGAGGCGATATCGGCGCTTGATACAAAAAGCGAGAAGATTATATAGAATGCATTATCTAAGGCTACTCTAGATAGTAAGAGAATTATAATTGCTATTACTTATAGGCTTAATATAATTAAAAATATAAATGTAATTTATATATTTTATATTAAAAAGATTAAAAAAGTAAAAATATATTAAAAGTTAATTATATAAGGCAGTATATATTATAAGATATATAAGGTATAGGCTTTAAATTAATAGCTAAAATTTATATTTTCTTTTTTAATTTTTAGGTAGATATTTCTTTTTATTAATTTTAAATTATTATTATTATTAAAGTATATATATTTATTGCGATATTAAGTCTATAAGGCCTAAGCTATATATATTAATTCTCTTTTTATACCTTATGTCTATACTATATGCTTACCTTATAACGTTCCCTGCTGCAGCCAGATGTAGGTTTAGACCTCTAATTGTGGCGGTGGCCTTCTTGTCTTTCCCTATGCCGCACTTATAAGGTGCTTTACTTTAGCTCCATGTTATGCGATATCTGCCATATAGGAATGAGTTTGTACTTTAATAAGAGTATTATTTTGAGTTAGTAGACCCCATAGCTAATAGCTTATATCGCGCGCCTTGCATGCATGAATTAATTTATTATAGATCAGTTGATTTGTAATGATTGAATTGATTTATAATTTATGAATTGATTTGTAATATATTGAGCTATCCTTATAGAGTATAGAGTAACCCGCACATTTTACCGCTTGTTAGTTAGCTTATCTGCAGTTATAATAACTCTAGACTCCTGCCTCTTCTATATTTTACCCCTTTAAAAAGCTGTGTAAGCTGCTATAATAATTAATCGGCTTGATACAAGTACAACGCTTCAACATGGCTTCCCACCTTGGCATAATCAACTTGTTTTCCGTCCAAGACACTGTGGCTGTTATTACAGGAGGAGGTTCAGGCCTTGGAGCCACGATTGCTCAAGCTTTAGAAGTATGCTACATTCTATCTCACTTTAAATCCGCGAGACCTACGGTGCTAATGAACGGTCAAGGCCAATGGCGCTCGTGCTGTCTATGTGCTCGGCCGCCGAGAGGAGAAGCTGAGAAACATAGCAAGCAGTGCGGTTCACGGAAGAATCTATCCTATCGTTGCCGATGTCAGCTCCAAGGACTCTGTGGCAGCTGCAGTCGAGCAAGTACACCAGCGCGAGGGACACATCAATGTTCTCATTGCAAATTCCGGCATGATAGGACCCAATGTCGCGAAGTTATTCTCGGGCGGCGAGACCCCTAGTTTGGACAAGCTGCGTGAGGCGCTATGGGACGTCCCTATGGAGGACTTTACGCAGACGATGAACCTAAATGTCACTGCTGCGTTCTACACTGTGGTTGCCTTTCTTGACCTGTTGGCCAAGGGCAACGCAAGCCGTGACAGAACTGGCCTCCCCTCTAGCCAAGTGATTATCACGACATCCATCTCGGCCTTCTCACGGAAGCCTGCAGCGGGCTTCGCTTACAGTGCGTCTAAGGCTGCGGCAACGCACCTGGTGAAGCAGTTGTCCACATGCTTTGCGCCCTACAAAATTAGGTGCAATGCCATTGCTCCAGGCTTCTTTCCCAGTGAGATGACTGAAAATATGCCCTGGATGAAAGGAAGCAATCCTCGGCTTGAAGGCAATCTGTCCAATGAGACTTGCCCTCTGGAAAGAAGTGGAACAGAGGAGGATATAGCAGGTCAAGCTCTGTTCCTGACGAGCAAGGCAGGAGCCTATGTGAATGGTTGTATACAATTGCTTGATGGAGGGAGGCTATCAATACTACCAGCTACCTACTAAGATTGCACTACAAATTATTGCTACCGTGCCAGTGGAGGACATTGCACTTTTGTGACATGGACATATGTCTACGAAACCACACACTTCAGGCAGCTCTTTCACTGTAATCTATAATGAGCTGAAATTTAGTTCGATCTCTAAGCTTTTGAAAAGGCCCAATGCAGTGCCACAGAATGATTTGCTGCTCAAGGTTTGCAGCAATTTCTGATCACTTCATGCCTCAGTCATGTACCCTTGCAGACGGCGATCTTCAAGTCCTCATCAAGTTTTCTCCCTCTGATCCATACTCCGAACATGCTTATGCACACCAGACTCACTCAGGCTCAACGCTATGACAATATACGCCCAGTCCAGCACCTTCGTCACATAATTTAGGAGGTGTTCTTCAACATCTGTTGTCTGGGGTGGTGGCCGTCGTCTAGGTAACCTGATGTATATGGCGTGAGATATCAATCAAACCTTGGCGTACATCCGCAAGGTTCTCAGACACAACGGCAAACTGATATTGGTCGACCATGCTTAACCTCTGCTGCCACCTCCACTAGTAGATTCAATGGCTGAGATGGATTTTTCTCTGCCGGACGCCTTTTGGAATCTCGCCTATGCCAGCCCAGACGAAAAGGGTGCCAATATGATGATTTAGTCGCTCAAGGATATCGCTACACCGGCAAAAGAAAACCACCACGCACCAGAGTTCTCCCAGATCACTATTGTCCGTCCTGTCTCTGAAGCTGCTAATGCCAACGAGGCGGTGGGAGCTACTATAACGGCCACCGAGGAGCATGGGCTACCCATTAAAATTTGCACATTCCTCAAGTTGACCAAGAGAGACATTCGCGGCCACATCTGCATAGTTCTCTCAGAGCTTGACCAATCAGTTTTGGTCAGCTTTTCATCAGAAGAACTCTCTCTTGCAGCGTCTCACACAAGAATCGGCTGGTGCTCTTTGGGTTACAAGGGGAAGTCTTTTGGCAAGTGCTTCAAAGCCTAAAATGTCCATGTTTCACGGCCTTGCTCGCTCACTTCGTGCGGAAGTAGAGGGTCTGCCGTGCATGACCGTGGACTTCGATGTCAGGCAGAAGTTATCACCCAACAGGATGGTCGAGTTGATCACGAGTCTTCGATACAACATTCCTTGCTGAGCGGCACAGTGGTCTAGAAACAAGGTCAATCGTCTAGGTAGATTGCGGCACTTAAATTTCTATGCTGATCTTAAACTATCCCGTCCACCTCTTGGAATTTATTCATGGCTCTGGGCATCTAGTTGCACTCCCAATTCTTGATTCTATGCAGTAGCCACCCACTTGTAATCAGCAGTCTTGTCTTCCTCTGAAACATGCCAGGTGCAAATCCAGACCCCATAATTAGCTTGTCGTCCATACGGCACAAGTCATCATAGTAGCTCCACTGCATACACTCGACCCACGACTTACAAGCTGCTTCGCACGCATCCACAGACTTCCAGGCGTTGGCCCAAAGACTGCGATTGTACTTGGACTGCGGAGCAGGAGGTGAATTCGTGTTGGCAGAAGTAATAGCGAAGAGACTGGACATATTGTCCCACCATTCTCGTCTCTTGCCCAAATCTGGAGCGATGATCTTCTTGAAGAAATCTTTGAATAGCATGGGCCTCTGTTTTGGTGTCAGCACGACAGGTTTCATCCAATTTCACGTGGTACGGATCTGACTAACTTTGAAGTTCCAGTTCTTCTCCAGCTCGTAGTATCTCGCTATATCCCTGCTGTGCGCCTTGTGCCACGACAAAAGAGGCTTGCACCAGTTCTCACTCCTGAACCCGAACTTCCAGTGCACCACGGCATTGAACCCCCAAGTGAACTTCTCGTCACCGCCATTCTCCCCGAAACGGATTCCATTTTTGTTCAATGCACGTCCCAGGATGTGATCGCCACAGCCGTGCTGACGGGTGTATTCGGCAAAGTCCTCAACGAGCCGCGGGTTCTTCCCGAACGACATCTCCCACGCACCCCGTGAGAGCGCGAAGCCAGAACCTCCATGTGCGAAAGTCACGTTGGCGATGAAGGCTGAGCTGCCAAGGTAATGTGGTGCCTTCCAGTCAAAGGATGACAGATAGTCCAGTACATTAGGCAGGAAGATATATGCATCGTCCTCCATGAAGACATACCAGCGTGCGTGGGGCCAGTTCTTGCCGGCGTGGTCCATAATGGGCAAAAACTTATACTTGTCAATTACCCAGCCGCCCACAGGACCTTCATGGTCGCCTTCTATATTAGCATGCTCAATGTAGACGTTATTCTCAACGTACTGAGGCACCGCATGGTAGACGTCGAAATCTGGATGCGACTTGGTGGCTTCCGTCATGTTTTTGAGAACATCAATGGTTGTAAAGTTGCCCATCGTCTCTTCATAATCCGAGTATATCACAACGTTTTCCGGGTTGACTCGCTCTGGTGAAAGACTGGTGACCAAGTGAATGAGCAGACGGTGGTACATCGATGTCCCACCAGTCTTCAAGATCAAGAGAACATCATGGCCCTCTAGTTTTCCATGACCACCAGGCTGCGTTTGCTGACTTTGGTGGGAGGGCTCCAAAACCAACTGTGTTGCCGGCTCAGATTGTGAATTCACGGGAAGTCTCCTTGCACCAAACCTTTCCACGGATGAATTGAGAAGGGAGTAGTACAGCACTAGACATGTGGCGATAATGAAAACTGGGAGAATTCGGTTGTCCCTGTAAGTAGTGAACATCATCCCTGTGGAATGGGAAGGTATAGAAGACGATGGCAGCTGCTTTGTGGGCGAAAGAATTAGATGAATAGCGTGAAGTGCTAGTCAGAGTGCATATGGATATATTTAGAGGATTTAGGGTGAGGAGCCGAGATGACAGTCCAATATGGGATAGATAGGGAAACGTCGGAAACAGCGGCTATCATCAGAATATCCTGTTTCATGTTTAGGGCAATTTAAAGTTTATAACGCCCTTGCGCGTCGTAATACTTCCGCTTAATGGGTAAAAAGTCGAGAAAACGACCCGTATTATGGACATCTACCCTCTACCCCCTTGCTAATGATATTCACTCCAGTTTCCTCAAAGAGATGGACAGACCTACTCTTACTCACCCTAACATTTGACACCGCTACATTATAAGGACCCTGGAACATTAGTAGTACTGGAACCAACCAATCGTAAATCACTACTATAACATTTTGAGTTTCTCGTCAAATGAAACGTGGG